AAAGGTATGAAAAAAAAAGATATCATATTTCAGGATTTTTACCAACAAAAATGATGGAAGTTGAAAGCAAACAGTTTAAAATCTACATCACTTATGAACAGACTTTAATATTTGTTTATAAAAGAGCATTTTAAAACCAATAATGACGAATTAGTATTGATGCTTCGCATGTATTTTTAAGTTGTGTTAATAATGGTGAAAAAGTCAAAATACGTATTTACTTAAAAAGTCTACGTCATAATAAGGATCTTATCAAACCGGACATGCCTAAGAACTGACCATGTACCTGTTGACCGACATGTACTGAGGTAGGAGCTATTTGTCTTGGAACGATTTACGCACCTTTCAGTGATAAAACATGTATGAAGATATCTAACATAGAGTACTTGTTCACCTGTTACACTTCTATCTATTCTTAATGACAACGTATGTTGGTCAGTCCATACAGATACGAGAGCGATCAGGCGCTGTACTACGTGACGTAACGACCATCAACTGGAATACTAAAAACGTATCTACTGTCGTGTAATCTTATTTTAGCGCCTTTCGCATTTTCTCCGGGGCACTTATTTAAGTACATGGCTGTATATTGAAACACATTGTTTTCCAAGACCATTTGCTAAGCTAGGATATATATACATCAATCGTTCAAATATGCGTGCGCTAAAACGATAGTATGTACCTTAAATCGCTCAAATATGAGTAAGCTAATACATGTTCATGTATTTACCATTTGCGCTGTGTTAAAATAAATGACATTGATCGTTAAAATATATAAGCGAAAATATTTACTATTGTTAACTAAATATGAGTGGGCGAATATTTACCAGTACCATGTAATCGCTAAAATATGAGTATGCGAATATTTACCAGTACCGTGTAATCGCTAAATTATGAGTATGCTAACATTTACCAGTACCATGTAATCGCTAAAATATGAGTATGCGCATATTTACCAGTACCGTGTAATCGCTAAAATATGAGTGGTAATATTTACCAGTACCGCAAAATGGCTAAAATATGAATATGGTAGTATTTACCAGTACTGTGTAATCACTAAATTATGCGTATACTAATATTTACCAGTACCATGTAATCGCTAAAATATGGGTATGCTAATATTTACCAGTACCGTGTAATCGCTAAATTATGAGTATGCTAACATTTACCAGTACCATGTAATCGCTAAAATATGAGTGGTAATATTTACCAATACCGTAAAATGGCTAAAATATGAATATGGTAGTATTTACCAGTACTGTGTAATCACTAAATATGAATATGCTAATTTTACCAGAACCGTGTAATCGCTAAAATATGAGGATGCTAATATATACCAGTACCGTGTGATAATATGGTAGTATTTACCAGTACCGTATAATCGCTAAAATATGAGGATGCTAATATATACCAGTACCGTGTGATAATATGGTAGTATTTACCAGTACCGTGTAATCGCTAAAATATGAGTATGCTAATATTTACCAGTCCCGTGCAATCGCTAAATTATGAGTATGCTCATATTTACCAGTATCGTGCAATCTCTAAATTATGAGTATGCTAATATTTACCAGTACCGTGTAATCGCTAAAATATGAGTATGCTAATATATACCAGTACCGTGCCATCGCTAAATTATGAGTATGCTAATATTTACCAGTACCATGTAATCGCTAAAATATTGGTATGCTAATATATACCAGTACCGTGTAATCGCTAAATTATGAGTATGCGAATATTTACCAGTACCGTGTAATCGCTAAAATATGGGTATGCTAATATTTACCAGTACCATGTAATCGCTAAAATATGAGTATGCGAATATTTACCAGTATCGTGTAATCGCTAAAATATGAGTATGCTAATATATACCAGTACCGTGCCATCGCTAAATTATGAGTATGCTAATATTTACCAGTACCATGAAATCGCTAAAATATGGGTATGCTAATATTTACCAGTACCGTGTAATCGCTAAATTATAAGTATGCTAATATTTACCAGTACCATGTAATCGCTAAATTAGGGTATGCTAATATTTACCAGTACCATGTAATCGCTAAATTAGGGTATGCTAATATTTACCAGTACCATGTAATCGCTAAATCATGAATATGCTAATATTTACCAGTACCATGTAATCGCTAAATTAGGGTATGCTAATATTTACCAGTACCATGTAATCGCTAAAATATGAGTATGCGAATATTTACCAGTATCGTGTAATCGCTAAAATATGAGTATGCGAATATTTACCAGTACCGTGTAATCGCTAAATTATAAGTATGCTAATATTTACCAGTACCATGTAATCGCTAAAATATTGGTATGCTAATATATACCAGTACCGTGCAATCGCTAAATTATGAGTATGCGAATATTTACCAGTACCGTGTAATCGCTAAAATATGAGTGGTAATATTTACCAGTACCGCAAAATGGCTAAAATATGAATATTGTAGTATTTACCAGTACCGTGTAATCGCTAAATATGAATATGCTAATATTTACCAGTACCGTGTAATCGCTAAATTATAAGTATGCTAATATTTACCAGTACCATGTAATCGCTAAATCATGAATATGCTAATATTTACCAGTACCATGTAATCGCTAAAATATGAGTATGTTAATATTTACCAGTACCATGTAATCGCTAAATCATGAATATGCTAATATTTACCAGTACCATGTAATCGATAAAATATTGGTATGCTAATATATACCAGTACCGTGTAATCGCTAAAATATGAGTGGTAATATTTACCAGTACCGTAAAATGGCTAAAATATGAATATGGTAGTATTTACCAGTACCGTGTAATCGCTAAAATATGAGTGGTAATATTTACCAGTACCGTAAAATGGCTAAAATATGAATATGATAGTATTTACCAGTACCGTGTAATCACTAAATATGAATATGCTAATTTTACCAGAACCGTGTAATCGCTAAAATATGAGTATGCTAATATTTACCAGTACCGCGTAATCGCTAAATTATGAGTATGCTAATATTTCCCAGTAACGTGTAATCGCTAAATTATGAGTATGCTAATATATACCAGTGTAATCGCTTAAACTTAAGTGCGTTAGTATTATTATAGATAGCTATATTATAAATACGCCAATATAAAAAGGGTTATAGAACAACTGTGTTTGTGTTAAGATTCTTTATAAAAGTGATATTAATTCAAAACATTTATAATAAATCAACTCGTTTTGAAATAATCAGTATTCAATATATTTTGAATGAGGTATGATTTTAAACTGAATAACATGAATAATTTGTGTCAGTTTACGTTATTATGTTTTTTTTGTTGAAACATGTCTTTAAGCAAACTATTCTTGATGCAGTAAAAAACCTGACTTTACCGACACCTGTATGTAATGACATCCTATAATAGCGTACATAATTTTACGTTGAAAATAACGCGACCGACTGAAGATCCCTGATGTAAATGAAGCCAGTTTTTACTGAACAACTGGACCTTGGCACCAGAGTCATGAACAGGACAAAGGTCTTAGATTAACTTTCAACGTTAGTTTGAATTTGCATAACATTAAATCAAGTTTCGTTGATGATCCCAGAGCCCCTGCCGCGATGATTTATGTGCAAAACGTAATTTATATTCCTTAAGCATTAACAGTGTCTATGGAGAAAGAATATTCAATCAAACACATGGCTAAAATATACCTTTTATGTCTGTTATCAAAACACAATCATTTTCTTTCCAGAAGCGTTTTGAGGACAGAGGCTATCGAAATATATATATGCATGGGATATTTTCGTAATTCAATGGCACACTTCAGTAATATTTATTTCATTAAGAAGTTTTGTAAAAGACCTTGTGTAATTTGTGTACTTTGAACTTTTCCCGGACAAAACGAAATTCTTTCATTCTTTCTCAAAAATCACATATTGAAAATGTGTGTTAATGGCATAATGAGTTAATTGGGATTTAGACAACTGGAGGACGATCTCTACAGATGTGTCTTCTATTAGGTACAAGGAAACAAAGGTCCTTTCTGAATGACTTACACTAGAGCTGCAACGATACTCATACCTCACACTACAATACGTATCGCGATGTGATGCTTACGATACGATATATACACTTGCGCGATACAAATATCTGCATAAAAGGTCTACTTCATAATGATTGAGTGCAAGATTTTATTGAGTTTATCATAGACTTTTATAGTAAATACTATCGAAATCTATCTTTGTATAATTTTTAGTACTTTTTGGTATGACTGCACAGTGGACCACATCTTTACTGAAGGATTATTAAAACATAAGTAGACGTTTTTAGAGTTTGATATTTTTTTTATTGATAATTTAAGTATTGTTATTATATCGCGATACAGGCAAACAAACCATTTCGATACGATACACAATAAAGTATCGCGATACGATACGATTTATAGTTACAGCCCTATGGATATCTGGTAAAGTTTAGATGAGGATTGTAGAATTAACGAGAGGTAACTCTATCTTTTAAATATCATTTGCGAATACAGTGAGCAGGTACTGATGGCATTGCATATTTTCTTTAATATCATTTCTCTATGATGAGTTACGAAAATAAATCATATTGACCAGTTACAAGAAATGTATCGTGATGTCTTCATTACTAGTTTTGACGCCTTTATATATTTCAATCTTTAATAAATTGAATTTAATAATAACAAATTAAAAGATCCAAGTTACTTATAAAATCACATAGTTTCTTTAAACTGATTGAATCAAAGAAATAATATGCATGTTGAACATTGCTTAGCGTGACACTAGATTTCATTTTTGATAAATCTAGGTAAGAACAGTAATTTTACACAGACTCGAGAAATTAATGAGGTTTACGCAACAATGTTTGACCCATTGTGTTTGACATATGGTAGAGTTCATACATGCCTTAACTTAACACGCGTGACATTGACGTCACCAAAGATCCAACCCTCTTATCTTCAAGTCACGTATCTCAGATTGGCTCGACCAGACTAATACAAAAACTTGGACCAAGATAACAACACGAATTCGACATTTTTATAAAGGTATGTATCCATACTATTAACATGCGTTCATTTTTGACCTAACAATTATATCGAATTTTTTGTTGGCACCGATGAGTCCTAGAAGGATGAATCAGCTGTTTAGTGAAGCGTAATTCATTTTCGACACACTGTATATATTACAAAATTATAAAAGTGCAATCCCATGATTGTTTCTTACGTTCAATTTGGATTTTCACCCTTTTTGCCCATAGCATTACCAATGAGTCATAGAAGAACGAAACAGCTGTATGGTGCAGTGTTATTCAATTTTTGGATTACTAAATATTACCAAATTTTATTGGTACAATCTGGTATTCAATATGATACATCATAACGGATTTAGGAATAATAACATACCTTTTCCGTAACCGAGGGGTTCGCCCTAGTGGTTTGTGCATGAGTGAATTTCAAAATCGGCGAAATATAAAACCATAGAAAAAAAACAACTAACGACTAAAAAGGTACCAAAAGGGATTTAATTTGGCTACATTCGCTGTCACCAAAGATTGTGCAAAATTATATACCAAGCTAATGATAATACGAGGCATTAATATCTTCATGGACATATTTAATTATATACATATCAGAAAAAAAATGTTAGCCCGTTTATTGCAGAATACTGAAGATAAAAATAACCATTAAAAATAAATATCGGTTATTGCTTTATTTTCGCAAAACACACCAGACAGGCTGCGTGAACATTAATCCCCACTTACAAGTTCTGATCATGACAACCGTGAAATATAGGCACCGCGATTATAAGCAACTATACCATAACAATTTAAACCCGGCTAACAATGTACAAGAACGCACAAGAGATTGTTTCAATATGACAACAATCAATAGGAGCAAGAAAGACACTAAAATAACAGGAAAAACATTATGAGCTTCCACACAAGGGCCGGATTCATACCAAGTGTATCCTAACAGTAAATATGTTTGGCCCCAACGAACTTTAGTCACAGCTGTAACTAAAATTATCTGCTAAAATCTCTGTTTTAGATATATTTTCATTCGCAAGCCACAATGACTACTATTAACAAGGACATGTTTCTCTAAAAATCATCAAACGTATAATTGTCAACCAATTGTTGCATATTATGTCCGTAAATGAGATATAGTGAATCCCAATGATGGAAATGTGCCACTGATTTATTAACTCACCATTGTCGACGTCATACCATTAGTCTACGATTACTAGTACTATTGACGCATCTACTGGTGTTACTGGTTCACACTCCCGGTCTGTACCTCCCGCCCCGTAGCATGCCGGGCTGAATTTGCCTGAGTGTTCCTTCCATGAGTTCAATGACGTAGCGTTTACAACTCCAGGTGTTAGATTGCTCCAGAGTTCAGTCACACGGTTTGAAAAGCGTTTCCTCTTAGGTTTGTTCAAAAACGGGTTTTTGTAGAGGTTTTTGTTGTATCCTTTAATGTTGTACATGTTCTGTCCAGCCGCGAAGATTATGAATTTGTCTATATTGGCATCCACCAGACCGTTATGTATTCTAATGATGGAATTCATAATGTCTTCAAACGTTCCTCATAGCTTAAGTGTTTCAGACGAGATTACAACCTTGTTGCACAACGCTGCACATTTTCCAGTGTCTTATGGTCCCTTTTGTAAATAGGAATCCAGACTGATGTGCAGTGCGCCAAATGGGGTCTAACTAGAGATTTGTAGAGATTTGCAAACATGTATGTGAAAGATTTAAATATTAGCCTTCTTTGCTTGCGCATTGACATGGTCAGTGAATTTCAAGTTGTTATCGAAGTCTATCCCTAAGTCCATCTCGTGTATCAATTTCAGAATTAATGAAGTATTGTTGTCGTCACTTAAAGTATAACTTTGATCCGATACCGTGTTGCCAAGCTTAATATTCATATATTTAATCTTGTTTTTGTACAGTTTCATTTGCCATGTCTCAGTCGACTGGCTAATTTTGTCGAGGTTCTCCTGCATTGAATCTATACAATCGGGGGATGATTTTTCACCGCAGAGTTTTGCTTCATCCGCAAACAGTTTTGTTATGTTCCTAGTCACATCTGCAAGGCCATTGACATAATTTTAGGAACAAAATCGGTCCCAAAACGCTACCCTAAGGATTTCGGCTCGTTACTGGGGTTGTTTTTGACACATTGTCGTTGATCACTACGTGTTGTTCCATGTCGTGCAGAAAGTCAGGTATCGAATTGCTAACATTTCCATCGATTCCATACCCCTCAACACTTTTCAGGAGCCTCCAGGAACTGTATCGAACGCTCTACAAAAGTCAAGATACACCGCATCAACCTCATTTATCTTTGTCCAGAGATGAATTATTAAGATGTTTTATCAAGCGAATTAAACTTGATCTGATCTCGGCCGGGTAAGAGTATGGACATTAACTAACAACTATTTATTTCGGGCATAACAGTATAATTCAATTCTTGTTTATTACAGAAAAAAAATACAAGAATGGGAATTTTTCAGGCAGTTGGTATGTATTTTGTGTGCAATCTTTACTTTTGAGAGTTGATATTTGACCAAATCTCATTCGATATGTACTAATGTAATTTTAAGATGATGTGTTAATGATAGCTAGCTAGTATATTTACATAGTTTAACCTAGTTCATTGGGGATCATATTTCCGAGGTTAGTTAACGTAACTGGTTAGCCTAACATCGAACTTTTTGGGAGGAGTCTATACATACCAGATGCAACTTCCACCAATTTATGTCTTCTCATTTGTGTTTAAAACTTCTTCTTTTTTCTATCAGATTGAATTCAAATTCAAATCGAAGTTCATCGCAACTATTCTTTTGGAATAGTGATATACATAAATGTATTTGTCTTGTTTCGCTAAAAGACTATTTTTCACGACAATCTAGATATTCATGCTAAGTTGATTGTCCATGCTAGTATGGTCGAAATAAAAAAAGCAAGGGACTTGATTTTAATACACTTTAAAGTTCCCTTTTAACATGATAAATATCATGATGTGAAATTGCATCGAAAACAATGTCAAGGTGTCTATTGAAATATGATGTATTAGTTTAAATACAAAGAACATAAGTTAATACGGTTAATGGTTAAATACAACAGATACTGGTTGTGATTGTCAAGGACTATTAAAGTGTATGCTAGTATGACTGTTCTTGTGTAATACCACATTTACAACCAATGTTAAGTATAGAAACTCACTAAGGTTCGCAGTTATGTTTTATCAAGGCGTTAGCTACACATTTTCTGTGTTTTGGTTAATATGCTTTGACGCCGGTTTTCTATTTATAAAAAATGGACAGGTAAAAGTATATTTGCTTTATTTGAAAGAATAAACATATAAAAGTATGTTTACTTATAAAGTTGATTTGCAAGCTGATGATCAGTGTTTGCAGAAGTAGCGAATTTGATTTCAGGATCAAAACCTATAACATAGGAAATAACATGGAATGCATTACAAGATCGTGCTACTTTTGAGTGTCCCATAAGATGTTTGGAATGTAGAGTCATAAACCATAACCTGCTCTTTATATCATAAGTACACCACTAGTGTTTGCGATGGTTTGTCGATTCAGTGTTTTTTCTAACTTTTCTAGGATGGTTGCTTGTGCTGTCTGTTAATGGTAAGTGGTGGTTGTGATATGAATGACACAATAAACCCAGTAATTATTGAAACATTGTACTTTAATTAAAGGATATTTACATCAAAATGTTATATTAACAATAATCATGTGTATCCATCAACCACACGAGTGTACTCATTTTTGCATATTGTTTGCTTGTTTCTGCTTCTTTTCTTCGTTTTTTAGATTGGTTTTTCATCTTTCGTTTTCTTCTTTTTTTTCGATATTTCTACATCATTTTTATAAAAATGAAAAATCGTCCTGGGTAAATATTCAGAAAGTTTCAAAATAATTGAACAGGCTAATTTCTTTTATATATATGACTACAATAAAAATGCATCTTGGCGTATTTCACCTGAGTCATTATTGCTGGTGCCACAGATATATATTACCTGCTCGCCGATTTCCAAATATCAGGAAATTTTACATTTGTTCTTTTTTGTAATTTGTTTTTCACGTGACTATAAAGCTAGTGTAATGATAAAGTATATCTCCCAAGTTTTCTGAAACATTACTTTAAATCTTGGAAACCAACATTCATATTTAAATAACTTGATTAATGAAATAATGACACACGCAATAATAATAATAATTGATTTACTAACCATTACGTACATGTCCTATCTGTTTTTCTGTACAGTACATAAAATCTCAACAATGTGTCAAATTTAAAATATAGACGTCATTGCATACTGGGGGTGGGTATAGCAAGCCATATGAAATTGATATATATTGCAATGTTTTGTAATATGGAAATATATCAATAAATTGTATTTCCAAACATTTGTTATTTTATGATGATTTTGTGCAGAAAATCCAAAAAGTGATCATCATTTGAGTACGGTGGTACATTTAGGACATTCACAATATTATTTTCTACATTAATTATCTCGAGTGCTCGATATAATCAATGTAGAAAATAATATTGTGCATGTCCCTTTTTTTTCTTTTCTTTTTTCCCCCCAGTACATGTACAATACACAGGACATCATCACACATACACACATTCACACATGTTGAAATAATGAAATTCATTCCATCATCATCATCATCATCATCATCATCATCATCATCATCATCATCATCATCAGCAGCAGCAGCAGCAGCAGCATCAACAGCATTAGCATCATCATCATCATCATCATCATCATCATCATCATATCATCATCATCATCATCATCATCTCATCATCATCATCATCATCATCTCATCATCATCATCATCATCATGTCATCATCATCATCATCATCAACAGCATTATCCGTATATCAGCATCATCATCATCATCATCATCATCTCATCATCAACAGCATCAATTTTTGCATGTCCTTAATGTACCACCGTAGTTTAGCAATAGGCAGATACATTGAAAATTCATTTATATAGGTTTGGAAGGTATCACACCAAGCTTCATTTGTATAATATGGACATCTTGACTTCAATTGCATTTCAATATAGATCTTGCTAGATAAAAACATTGCAATATTATTGTCGACCGCTTTCTATAATATATACCCAAATTGACGACGCAAAACTGTGTAATATTCTAAATTCACAACTATGTTACCCATCTTTTCACACAAAGGAGGTTTTTTTTTTACTTTTTGAATACTATTCCATTAACGAAACAACTAAATGATTCATATCAAAAAAGTCCTTATCTATTAAGTAATTATGCAATTTTATATAATTATTTTGTTGAATATTTTCATGAAAACAAGAACATAATTGGAATAGCAATGACATAATCCCACACAGGTGACAATTCAATGATACACACACAGTCAGAAAATTCCAGAAATGTTAACATGTACTGTACATAACAACCGAGTACAGGACAAATGAATTCAAGGCTGCATATTTTTTCTAAATCAGCTAACGCTATAAATGTACTCGTGATTTGTTCTGGAAAGACAAAAGGACTAAATTAAGGAAAGAGTATTCAAAGGTTATCTTATATTGTTGGAGGCACGGTAGTCTAGCAGTAGGTCGTCGGGCTCGTGACCGAAGGGTTACGTGTTCGAGTCACGACACGGCATTGTATTGTATCTTTGAGCAAGATACCTTACTCTGCTTGTTTCAGTCTTTTCAGTTGTAAATAAGTATGTGGTTGGGCAGTGCTAGAATTGGTGAATGCTAGCTGTGAGCGCCGAAATGGCAACACCGGCTGTTTGCTCCCCAGAGAGCCGAGAAAGATATTGGCTGGTTGCAAATGCCCTATAACCACCGATAATAATTTGTGAACCGCTTTGAGACGACCTCCGAACTAGGTTGTGATAAAGCGGTATATAAGAACCTCAAATTGTTATTTTTTAATATTATTATTTAAGTCGTACGGAGTGACGTCATATGTATGCAGTGTGACCAAGCAGCAGACATCGACGAGTGTCTATCTGCAGGAACGGTCAAGTGTGGAGCACAGGAGGTGAGTCAGATGATAGATAGAATCTATCACTCCTGGTTTTTTTTATACAGACACAGTCTCAACCCGACTGTAAGCGTTTTGAGGTAAGCCACGATGTTTTGACAGGTGATCGGACGTGGAAAGGAATAGAAACACCTGCCCGACCAGATGGGTTTTGCTCTGGTACTCCGATTTCATACCACATTAGGACCCCCCGCGCGCCAACAGCGGGGCGAACAATAGTGATTAATATAAGTTGAAACAAATTGTTTCATAATTGTTGTAAAATAAATCAGGTTTATATTTGTTCCAACTTTTAAAATCTAACCTGTGGCTTGAGATATCTTTTGTCTGCATCACACAGTAGTGATAGGTGATACACTGCGTCATCACCAATGTTGCATGAACGGCGGGACATATTTGATCACGTTATCATGGTATAACATTGCATAATAAGTTATGACGCGATTATCACGTGTTCGGAATACTATCGTGTCTGAGTATTTTTGATAGGTAGGTTAAGACAGGTTCATCTTTATCTTAGCAAAAATAGCAATGCACATGTGATTTGTGGGTGAACAGAAAAACTGATTAGGTCTACGTCTATCACGGAGGATAATGTTCATTCCTGTAGAACGATTACTGGTAATTATTAGGGGATGGGGTAATTTAAGAAATTACAGAAATAACAAAATAAAGTTATTCAGCCCAATTGCATTAGTTTTTCATTATATATTTAGGTCTTTTAAATAAAAATGTGAGGTTTTCAATTGATTTTGATGATACCCGCCCATGAAATAGAGAGGTGTCATAGAGACGCATACGATTTTCGGCTCGTTTAAGTGCATTCAAGTGAGATAAAGGTAAGTCAGTCGGCAGTAAAGGTACGTCAGTCGGCAGTAAAGGTAGGTCGGTCGACAGTAAAGGTAGGTCAGTCGACAGGATAGGTAAGTCAGTCGACAGTATAGGTAAGTCAGTCGGCAGTATAGGTAAGTCAGTCGGCAGTAAAGGTAGGCCAGTTGGCAGTAAAGGTAAGTCAGTCGGCAGTAAAGGTACGTAAGTCGGCAGTAAAGGTAGGTCGGTCGACAGTAAAGGTAGGTCAGTCGACAGTATAGGTAAGTCAGTCGACAGTATAGGTAAGTCAGTCGGCAGTAAAGGTAAGTCAGTCGGCAGTAAAGGTAAGTCAGTCAGCAGTAAAGGTAAGTCAGTCGGCAGTAAAGGTAGGTCAGTCGGCAGTAAAGGTAAGTCAGTCGGCAATAAATGTAAGTCAGTCGGCAGTAAATGTAGGTCAGTCGGCATTAAAGGTAGGTCAGTAGACAGGAAAGGTAGGTCAGTCGACAGTATAGGTAAGTCAGTCGGCAGTAAAGGTAAGTCAGTCAGCAGTAAAGGTAGGTCAGTCGGCAGTAAAGGTAAATCAGTCGGCAGTAAAGGTAAGTCAGTCGGCAGTAAAGGTAGGTTAGTCGACAGGAAAGGTAAGTCAGTCGGCAGTAAAGGTAGGTCAGTCGGCAGTAAAGATAAGTCAGTCGGCAGTAAAGGTAAGTCAGTCGGCTGTAAAGGTAAGTCAGTCGGCAGTAAATGTAGGTTAATCGGCATTAAAGGTAGGTCAGTCGACAGTAAAGGTAAGTCAGTCGGCAGTAAAGGTAGGTCGGTCGGCAGTAAAGGTAGGTCAGTCGGCAGTAAATGTAGGTCAGTCGGCAGTAAAGGTAAGTCAGTCGACAGGAAAGGTAAGTCAGTCGGCAGTAAATGTAAGTCAGTCGGCATTAAAGGTAGGTCGGTCGGCAGTAAAGGTAGGTCAGTAGGCAGTAAAGGTAGGTCGGTCGACAGGAAAGGTAAGTCAGTCGGCAGTAAATGTAGGTCAGTCGGCATTAAAGGTAGGTCGGTCGGCAGTAAAGGTAGGTCAGTCGGCAGTAAAGGTAAGTCAGTCGGCAGTAAAGGTAAGTCAGTCGGCAGTATAGGTAAGTCAGTCGGCAGTAAAGGTAAGTCAGTCGGCAGTAAAGGTAGGTCAGTCGGCAGTAAAGGTAGGTCAGTCGACAGTAAAGGTAAGTCAGTCGGCAGTAAAGGTAGGTCAGTCGGCAGTAAAGGTAGGTCAGTCGGCAGTAAAGATAAGTCAGTCGGCAGTAAAGGTAAGTCAGTCGACAGGAAAGGTAGGTCAGTCGACAGTATAGGTAAGTCAGTCGGCAGTGTAGGTTAGTCAATCGACAGGAAAGGTAGGTCAGTCGGCAGTATAGGTACATCAGTCGACAGTATAGGTATGTCAGTCGACAGTACAATAACGTCAGTCGACAGTTTAGCTAAGTCAGTCGATAGTATAGGTAAGTCAGTCGCCAGTATAGATACATCAGTCGCCGGTAAAGATAAGCGAGTTCGATTATGTAACTTGACCAATGAATAAAGATAGGAGGCATTGGAAGCTTTCGCAGATAAGTCGTCAAAAAGTGCATAACCTGAGCTTACCGACATAACAGGTCAGTTTTTCTGTCAACAGAGGAGATAGTTCACTCTGTACAGAATATAACACAGTAATAAAAAGGTTAACAAGAATATAGGTAAATTGCCAGCGATAGAGGAAGTAATATAATGTGCAGTTTGGCAAAAGCAGTGTAAAATTGGAAAAGAAAGAAATTAACAACTCTTTAAAACGTTTTTTAATGTTTTATAAACTTATTTTTGCAGCAATGTTTTCTAGAAAAAGTAACCACAAAAAACCTGAATTTTGTGTACAACGCTGGATGCAGGTCTGCGTTGGTGAGTCTGAATTCATTTCAAACTTATTTCTTAAATGCTTATAAAAAAATGTTGATTGCAGAATTGAAACAGGTTATAATTTATTTATATTCTGTCCTTCAATTGTTCATTCATTATATAGCAACTTACATATGCCAAATATAGATGATATGTAAAAAAAAGAGATCAACTGATTAAACAATAACGTTCATTGCTTCGTCTGCTTTTTTAGGTTCATAAAAATAAGGTTTGATACAGGGGTTTGTCAAATTAATAAAAAAAAACCTGATAATGCGGATGGTAATTCGTATGTGTATACGGTTGTATAAGTTGGTTTGTGTTAACGGGTACACGTGTATAATGTGAATGTATGTGTGTTACGGGTGTATAATGTGGATGTATGTGTGTCACGGGTGTATAATGTGGATGTATGTGTGTCACAGGTGTATAATGTGGATGTAAGTGTGTCACGGGTATATAATGTGGATGTATATGTGTCACACGTGTATATAATGTGGATAGTTGTGTGTCACGGGTGTATAATGTGGATGTAAGTGTGTCACGGGTATATAATGTGGATGTTTGTGTGTCACGGGTATATGATGTGGATGATTGTGTGTCACAGGTGTATAATGTGGATGTTTGTGTGTCACGGGTATATAATGTGGATGTATATGTGTCACACGCGTATATAATGTGGATGTTTGTGTGTCACGGGTGTATAATGTGGATGTATGTGTGTCACGGGTATATAATGTGGATGTATGTGTGTCACGGGTGTATACGTTGGTTGTGTGTGTGTCACACGTGTATATGATGTGGATGATTGTGTGTCACTGAAACATGTGTATAATTTGGATGTATGTGTGTCACGGGTGTATACTTTGGATGTATGTGTGTCACGGGTATATAATTTGGATGTTTGTGTGTCACAGGTGTATAATGTGGATGTATGTGTGTCACGGGTATATAATTTGGATGTTTGTGTGTCACAGGTGTATAATGTGGATGTATGTATGTCACGGGTGTATAATTTGGATGTATGTGTGTCACGGGTGTATAATGTGGATGTATGTGTGTCACAGGTGTATAATGTGGATGTATGTGTGTCACGGGTGTATAATGTGGATGTTTGTGTGTCACGGGTGTATAATGTGGATGTATGTGTGTCACGGGTGTATAATGTGGATGTATGTGTGTCACGTGTGTATAATGTGGATGTATGTGTGTCACGGGTATATAATTTGGATGTTTGTGTGTCACGGGTATATACGTTGGTTGTTTGTGTGTCACACGTGTATATGATGTGGATGATTGTGTGTCACAGGTGTATAATGTGGATGTATGTGTGTCACGGGTATGTGGATGTATGTGTGTCACGGGTGTATACGTTGGTTGTGTGTGTGGCACGGGTATATAATGTGGATGTTTGTGTATCACGGGTGTATAATGTGGATGTTTGTGTATCACGGGTATATAATGTTGATGTATGTGTGTCACGTGTGTATAATGTGGATGTCTGTGTGTCACGTGTGTATAATGTGATGTATGTGTGTCACGGGTATATAATGTGGATAGTTGTGTGTCACGGGTGTATAATGTGGATGTTTGTGTGTCACGGGTATATAATGTGATGTATGTGTGTCACGGGTATATAATGTTGATGTATGTGTGTCACGTGTGTATAATGTGGATGTCTGTGTGTCACGTGTATATAATGTGATGTATGTGTGTCACGGGTGTATAATGTGGATGTATGTGTGTCACGTAGTATAATGTGGATGTATGTGTGTCACGGGTGTATAATGTGGATGTATGTGTGTCACGGGTGTATAATGTGGATGTAAGTGTGTCACGGGTGTATAATGTGGATGTAAGTGTGTCACGGGTATATAATGTGGATGTATGTGTGTCACACATTTTATGATATTTGATTATGTGTGTCAGGGGTGTATAAGTTGATTGTTTTTGTGTGACGTTGTATAATGTGGATGTATGTGTGTTACGGGTATATAATGTGGATGTATGTGTGTTACACATGTATGTTATGTGGACTCTTGTGTGTCACGGGTGTATAATGTGGATGTATGTGTGTTACACATGTTTGTTATGTGGACTCTTGTGTGTCACAGGTGTATAATTTGGATGTATGTGTGTCACGGGTGTATAATGTGGATGCTTGTGCGTCACGGGTGTATAATGTGGATGTATGTGTGTCACGGGTATATAATGTGGATGTATGTGTGTCACGGGTGTATAATGTGGATGCTTGTGTGTCATGGGTGTATACGTTGATTGTTTGTGTGTCACGTTGTATAATGTGGACTCTTGTGTGTCTCGGGTATATAATGTGGATGTATGTGTGTCACGGGTATATAATTTGGATGTTTGTGTGGCACGGGTATATAATGTGGATGTTTGTGTATCACGGGTATATAATGTGGATGTATGTGTATAATGTGGATGTATGTGTGTTACACATGTTTGTTATGTGGACTCTTGTGTCTCACAGGTGTATAATTTCGATGTATGTGTGTCACGTGTGTATATTGTGGATGTCTGTGTGTCACGTGTGTATAATTTGGATGTCTGTGTGTCACGTGGGTATAATGTGATGTATGTGTGTTACGGGGGTATAATGTGGATGTAAGTGTGTCACGGGTATATCATTTGGATGTTTGTGTGGCACGGGTATATAATGTTGATGTTTGTGTGTCACACGTTTTATGATTTTGGATTATGTGTGTCAGGGGTGTATAAGTTGATTGTTTGTGTGTACGGGTATATAATTTGGATGTATTGTGTCACAGGTGTATAATTTCGATGTATGTGTGTCACGGGTATATAATGTGGATGTATGTGTGTCACACGTTTTATGATATTGGATTATGTGTGTCACGGGTGTATAAGTTGATTGTTTGTGTGTGACGTTGTATAATGTGGATGTATGTGTGTTACGGGTATATAATGTGGATGTATGTGTGTTACACATGTATGTTATGTGGAATATTGTGTGTCACGGGTGTATAATGTGGATGTATGTGTGTTACACATGTATGTTATGTGGACTCTTGTGTGTCACAGGTGTATAATTTGGATGTATGTGTGTCACGGATGTTTAATGTGGATGCTTGTGTGTCACGGGTGTATAATGTGGATGTATGTGTGTCACGGGTATATAATGTGGATATATGTGTGTCACGGGTGTATAATGTGGATGCTTGTGTGTCACGGGTATATAATGTGGATGTATGTGTGTCACGGGTATATAATTTGGATGTCTGTGTGTCACGGGTATATAATGTGGATGTATGTGTGTCACTGGTATATAATGTGGATGTATGTGTGTTACACATGTATGTTATGTGGACTCTTGTGTGTTACAGGTATGTAACATCATGGCAAGCCTTGGTGGTGGCAATGGGCGCCGTGACTTATCCCGACCATCGCGAGAACTGGTGAACTGTGCTCAGTGCTGTAATACTGCTCCAGGTGTAGCGACTAAAGGGTCGTGCAACTCTGAACTCTGTGGGGCAAGTAAGTGGCATTATCTACGCATCTATAGCGCGTCCATAGAAACATGATAGAAATTATGCACAATTATCTAAATGTAAAAACGCCAATTGCAATACATCACTGATTCAAAATATCGGAATGATAGGAAAGATGAAGCTAACTCTGTCCTGTAAATAATAAAATCAAATATATATTAGTAATTTAAAAAGTTTTCTATTTATGAACATACACATGTACCTGAATAATGGCCGGAAGTCGCAACTAGATTCAAAAAAGGTTAAAATTGGGTTCAAATACATCTTCTATTTCAACATACAACGGATCAGGCGGGTATACTCGAATGTCTGACGTTGATCGGACAAATTGTCCATTAGTTACCTGGCAACCGCAGTAGCTCAATTAAGTACTTGTACATCAAATATGAATTAAATATGGTAGGTAAATATGTACTGGAAAGATCAAGAGCAAGACTTTGGAGACTTGATAGATCTCATGTTTTATTTATACTACAAGCTGGTTTATGTAAAATTTCCCCGCGAAAACTTCAAACATCAACCCTTTAAGTAAAGCAGTAAAAATTATGGACGGTATAAAGAATTATACTATGTTCATAGTTGAATATATTTGTTGTCAAAATGCTATATAATGGTTAGAAGGTTTCAAAGAGAAACTGGTTCTAAACATATTTAAAATTTGATTAAATGTTGTCACTAGCTATATCTAGCTATACCAAGTTCAATGTTTGAGCAGAAATAGCATATACACAAAAATGTATCTGCAATCTGATTGGTCGATGATTTTGCGTAATGACCTTAATTTCCGCTCCTGGTTCCACATACAACATTAAACCTGGTTTGAAATATCAAAATGATTTTTAAATGATACTTTCCTCGAGGTTTCAGTTATTTATATTTTCTGCAATATCTGGCCGTGTGCATCTGTGTATTTTCCGGACAAACTGTGGTGTTCAAAGGTCAAAGACTTGTACCTCTGACCTTTCCAATCTGTACTCAACCAGCATAAACCCTAATCGAAGGAATGTCCTCTGTCACTAGTTATGAGAACTTTCATTTCTGAGAAAGGCAAGCAGCGAGAAAAATATATGGTTTTAAAATATTTGAGAGTACACTTTGTGGAAAAAAGGCAGATACCAGGATGAAACTGCGGAATAACTCATCAGATTGATTGACATTCTGGTAGACACTTTCTTTGTGCAATCACCTGTGTTTGTGTTGTATAGTAAAATGCTATTAAATGGGTAACAAAGTTACACATAAAACAGAGGTGATTTCACCTTTAAATATTTAGTAACAAGATACAGTTTGCCAAAAATGGATAACACTGCACCATACAGCTCTTTCGTCCTTCCGGGATTCATCGTTGATGCTAGGGAGCAAAAAGTAGACGGACTTAGTATATTCTGTTTTCAGTATTCTAGTTGTATTTCCCAATACAAAATGGTTTGGGTTCTTTTTCTAGGACCCAGCGTTGATAACAGTATCCGATGTTTCGCCTGTGATAACCTAGTATCAGGCTCTGCTGCTTGTTCACAAAAATCAGTCTGCACCGATACAGAGGTCAGTATTAATGTTTGTAGCACTTACATTCGTCATATTCAAGTAAGTGGGGGACTTATTGGTTTTACTCCGTTTCTTCTTCTTCTTCTTCTTCTTCTTCTTCTTCTTCTGATATATTTCTCAATATACGAAAAACCAGATTGAAGCGGGACAGGAGCCACATACTTCTTGTGAATATGTTTCCGGATGTGGCAATTCCCAGTGTAGCCATACGGTCGTAGAACAAACTGTAGAACAAACTGAAGAACAAACTGTTGTGAATTACGGTATATGAACTGTATCAAAAGTGAAATGATTTTTTATACTTTATTACACTTTTCCTTATTATGAAATAAATACATGTTTTATAGATATAGGGATAATTATGTTCTGACCTCGAAATCTAGAATTTTCGAATTTTTCATATCTACATCTGATTGACAAATATGAATTACAAGTTTATTAATAATAGAGACACTAGAAAATACTATCTTAAAGCGACATTTTTTTTTCTTCTTACGAGATCAAACTCCTTTGGAGAAATGCTTTTTTGAAAGAAATGATCTGCAGATGTATTTTGACTTCCAGTGTCGGTCCCGGAATTAAAAAAAATATATATATTTTTAAACATACGACAGTTTATAGCAGAATGACTTTAACANATGTCTTGAGCAAACTGGGGACTTGACAGTGTTATTATATTGCATAGCCGGTGAAATTGTCATTAAGTATTTTAAGGGAAATATTTCGTGATGTTTTGAAATCAAACAAAATCTTGAGTTATCGATGTGGTGTGATATGATAGCTAACTTTGACTTCTCAACGTACGTAGATCAAAGAGTACAGTTACAAATGGTTATTCAATGATCACTGGTCGAACTGATTACATAGATTTCCGCATAATTCCGCATTGAATAACTTAATTTCAAAACGCCATCTTGTTTTTCCGTTTTTTGTTGCAGGTGTGCGCTACGTCTATTCACATTTTAGGAGGTAATCTGATCAAGTATGACTTCCGGTGCGAGGAGAAGCATGTAAGTTTATAAAAAATATGTTTTCTTCCTAAGTGATGTTTAATTGACTTATAACATATAACTGTATACATCTTCTTTCTTTGCACATCTACTTGACGAACTTACCGAGTAAATCTGCGTTCATAGTTATATGAATAAAATCCTTAGCAATTGGTGTGAACCTGACGCCTTTATATTTTCGTTGTCAATGTGGCCCTTGGCAGGCTATTCCAATAGAACAGTGAACAACTTTGATGAGCTAATGTTGTTCGGTCAAAATTGGTTCATTGACCATACGCAAGCAATACAGTACCTAGCAAAGAACACGTTAGATCTTATTATTGATGGCTACCTACATATTTTAAGATTGTAAATATGTATTCAATTCTTTGTCACTACCCCGTTTCTCGCTTAGAAAACGTGACATTACTTGGATTTGACCTAGATTTACATGGCGCGTGAAGTCGATGAAGCAGGAGATACTTTTCTTTCTAGAACACCTGATTTTACTCTCTTTGTATTGTTTAAAAGGTCTCCGTATACATTTTCCCGTAGTTCATAAGTTACTCTAGTTTTAACAGTTCCGTGTTATTAATAAAGAGGTAAAAGGATCGAATACCCGTAGCGGAGGTGTCTTATTAAAAAATAACTTTTTACGTATATTCTTTGCTATAGTTAACACATAAGCAACTGTAGCTCGGGAAAATGCAGAGCAAACTGTGAAGCCTATCTATTTTGAAGACTTCATCATTTAAGCATCTAGCATCGCTGATGAGATTTTATTAGAAACAACAAACATGTTGGGTACGCCAAAGTTTATCTTTCTCGTGTTAGCTAACTAAACTTAAGATTTCGTAGAGCATTAGAGTTGCTAAAAGATTTCTTTAAAGTATTGTTATTCCCATCAAGAAAACCTAACCTAATGAATGATATCAAAGTTTAACTTTATGCACAAACAATGTACGTAGTGAACGTGTCGCAAAGTTTAAAGACTGATTGATCCCTTTGGTCAAGACTTAAACGTTTCGAAATCAAGGCTTCAGTTATAGCCTCGACAACAGGACCAATCAACCTTGTAACGTTGCGACACGTTCAATACGTACATGTTTAAAGTAAAACTGTGATATTACGTATATATTTTCAAACTGCGGAGTCTTGTTGTAGTCCAGAAATGCTATAATGGATATGTTCTATCCTAGAGGCGGACGTATATTCTTGTTAATGTTATATATAGCGTATTATAATCGAATATACGGTTTAGATAATCTTACTGTGAGATATAGTTTATTTTCCCAAGCATTCAGACCGAAACACGTAAATATATTATAAATAGTAGTTTTCGCAATAACAATTATTTCTCATTAGAAAACCTGCTCAGCAAATTTCAAATTTCATTAAAGTTGACTGAAACGGAAACGACTTTGAGATTTCTTCACTTGCACAATCACAGATCGCTGCTTGGAATCACCAAAATTATGCATTTACGTTTAACTGTGACGTCATTTCTCTTATGACGCTACAACAGGTGCAAAGGCAAACTGTAAAAATTGTTTTATGTTGTTATAAATTTGCATTTACGTCTGATTATAAAACTTGTCAAAGGAAATATTTTTTCTTTTTTAATTCCAACAGTTCTGCGAGGCTATGATACAGAACGGCATCCAGAACAGAGCATCCCAAGCTGGTGGCGTGAAGATATGCGACGCTTGCTGCAAGGACTCGGAATGTAACAAAAAGGACTGCTTTCAGCTGAGAAAAAGTAAAAAAAAAAGCACTTAATCAAATTATATTTAATTTCGTCAGTGCTGCATTATCCTTACCTAAATATCAATCCAATATACTCGTCAATACTGATGTGAAGTGTATCGTTTCTAAATCTATTTATGGTTTTAATTTTGTTTATAACAACTGTTTATGATATGGTGTTAACTGTTCTTTAAATATATATATTTTTTGACCGGTTATTAAACTGTTTGTTTTAAAAAACCTAAGCTGAAATAACACAGATACTTATAAAGTTGTTGCGTAATGTTCAAATCCTATTCAAGACAACAGGGCAGTCAATTACTGTACATTTTTTTTTTATCTATATAGCAATGGCGACTCAGTTTGCTAACGTAACTGCAACAACAACAGCTCCAAAACCTGCCACTGCTGTACCTACTACAAAACCAACAACTCCTGCTGCAACAACCACAAAACCAACAACTCCAATCCCAACAACCACCAAACCAACAACTCCAATCCCAACAACTCCAGTACCAACAACCACCAAACCAACAACTCCAATCCCGACAACTCCAGTTCCAACCACTCCCGTCCCAACATCAACAACCCCGGTGCCAACCACTCCCGTACCAACCACGAAGCTTACTCAGCCACCATCGAATAAACCATCTAGCCCAGTGCCATCGAGTGGAAGTTCAAGAAAACCTTCAACGTTCGCACCTAACTTTACCGTAATTTAAATGTTAATGTGATAATACTGATACATTAATCAGAATAAAGACTGACGGATGCCATTCTTTGAATTCTTCATACTTTGCTTTCTTGCTGTTTTGGATGCTCTAACAAGTCACAAAAAGTTTACTAAGGTTTAAGACCTCTATTCCATTGAACGGTTTATTTACTACTTGAAATATGAAACACTATAAATTAAACAGAACAGGAATCATTTCTACTAACATTTCCAATTTTCCCTGAAAAACTCTATCGATAGATGCTCTGTTTCGAAACAGAAACTGTGCCGGGCAGAATCTCTAAAAATGTAACGTTAAATAGCTTAAATTAAATTCAAGAAGAAAGGTAATTTTAACGAACTTTAACCTCCGAATTTGGGCTTAATCTTCTCATGATTCTGGGGTCAGTTCTCGTCTATCCAATAATGTACACACTGGGTTTGAATTCATTGAAGTAATTTCATATTAAGCACAATGTAAAAATCAGCTTTTTTAATATTCGCAAGCTAAGTTAAATCAGTGCATGGGTGTTTTAAGATGTTTTAAAATCTAGCTGTAACCGAGACGCAGGAAAACGTATAACACACTTTCGTAAATAAGATGAATTTGCTGTTTATCATATTACTATAATTACAGCAATTTAGTTCTGTACAGTTGCCTTTGTTCATATGTACATAATAATTTAAGTTAAGAGTCATGCAATGAGGTGGCAATCATTATCTTACTGTGGGCGAATATGAATGTTAATTATAGAGAATGAAAATAAGGTGACCATTATTGACATATCCTAGATAAGTGTCATATAGTCTTGTAATAAGATGATCATTATTGCTATACTGAAGATCAATGCGAATATGTGAAACGGTCCAGTTTAATGAGTATAATTTGTTCCAAATACTTGTGGATAAACGGGATACAGCTGTTTCTCAAAATATTTGGTTTTGGCAGAAAATCATTATTATAACCGATTGTGAATAAATAGGTTCAGACAAGTGGTTCTACAAAATATCATATACAATTTATAACATCCACGATACTCCAGGGGTAACGCTCACTTACATTCTCGTTCTCTGCACCCCTGAAAGATGTCATTACAAAATCGACGGCTCAGTGTGTGCCAGCATGTTGATGAGACAAGAAGGTTAGTTTGGCCATGTAATGTGCGTCAAAACAATCTGGCGGTCGTGTAACGGTAAAATTGACTGACTTTGAAGTCGAGTATCGATTGGTCAGGGTTTTATTTTATTTGAGAGCAATCAAATAGCTAGCCGCGTGCCTTCAATTTTACTATGACATGTACCCGGATTTCATAGAGCTTAAGCGAGGGTAACCTCTTGAGTGTCAGTGACTGATAAATACCAACTTTAGTTGTTTATTCAGCTTCTTGGGAGTCGTGTGAGAGGCAGATGTGGCCAAGAGGTAACACTACGGCTATACTTGCAGTCATCCTAGCAGGGATTTTCGTTGATGAAGATTTTCTCCCGCTCTCCAACTCCAGCAGATCAGATGGAATGTAAAATGGTCTCGATGGGTGCTACAGTGCTATCGTTAGGAGAAATAGAGGGACATACCGTTTGATGTAAGGTTCAACCAAAACCTTTATAGAGTATGATGAAAAGGCAATATACCAAAAGGCTATACGAGGCAATTTATAAAATACAGGCCCGTTGCTGCTAAGGTAACTCTGTAAAGGTACAGAACCCGCAACAAATAACAAAACAAGCACAACCAGTTATAAGATATGTTTCCAAAGATAAGCTCGAAAATTATTCGCAGCTTCTCATTACTTGGGATTTTGACTTAGGGAAATTACTTGGAACGACAATACAACTACATGTTAAAAGGAATAGCACATGACAATCAGATGTATAAAACTTACTCATTCAGTTGAACTAATATGTGTTACTGGCAACTAATTACAGGGAAAGAAATAACGCGCCTTCAGCCCTAGATGATGTACTTACAAATGCGAAAATGGCAGAAAACCTCAAGTCCCGTTCATATAAGACAGACGAAAACTCACGACAGTCCTTGGGTCATGATATTTGGCCTGTACCTTGTTCATGTGAATGGATTTAAATTTTGTAAACGTTGAAGGCCTTGACCTTCGTTCATGGTCACAAACATCTATTGTGCTAAAATAAAAGTTTTGTATGGGGAGTCAGACAAGGCTATCTTTCCTTGCTTTATTTGTTTAAAGTTGACGATATAAAATAATATTCCTTCATATTTGGCTTAATGAATGGGCAATAGGCAAAATAAAATAATAGCTACAACTGTAAGCCAAAGGCTAACTTATACCCCCGCTCCTATATAAACCAAAACTGTAAGCTAAATGCTAACTAAGGCAAAGCATTGCAAAGCAATCCATAGTCTCCCACCAGTATTTTTCTAAGTATATAGGTCACTGACATACTACTTCTACTCCCTCCCCATGCCAAACATACTTGCATTCCAAATCGTGTTAGCCCAGATGAACCAGTTTTGCTGAAATCGTCCTAGTAATTAAGGATGAGTTGCATTGTCAAGACAAAGATTTTGAAACAAAAGGCCATAACTCCTTAAAAATGGTCGAAATGAAAAAAAATACTACCCTGATGCACGAAATCAGGGGGTAATTACCATATCTGTCAAACTTTCATTGAAATCGGCCCAGTAGTTTATGAGGCAGACAAAGGTTTTTTTTCAACAAAGGGCCATAACTCCTTTTTAAATGGTCGGAATGAAAACCTGCTACTTGGACGCACGATGTCAAGGGGCAGTTACCATATCTGTAAACTTCCGTTGAAATTGGACCCATAGTTTTGGAGAAGTTATCTGGACAAGTATTTTTTCAACAAAGTGCCATTACTCCGTAAGAAGGGGTCGGAATGAAAAAACATACCTGGATGCACAACTTCAGGATGGTAGTTATAATAGCTGGACACTTTCGTTGAAATTTGTCCGGACAAACTTTTTCAACGGACGGACGGACGGACAAGCTGATTCCAGTATACTTCCTTAACTTCGTTGCAGGGGTTATAATAATTGCGTATCTTTGTCTATAACACAATCTCAACCTTAAGTAAGTCTCGTGAGGAAAGATTACTTTGGCAGAATACATATTCATGAGTAACTACTACTGCACATAACCTTAAATCATGCGTTATAAAATAAAGTGTTTTGGTATGATACAAAAACAGAAAATGTATCGGTATCTATCATAATAAACATTGATAATCAAATCTCTATGATTATGTGAAATTGGGCATTGATCATGTTTGGCATGCTAAAAAAGTACTTTACCGGTTTTGATATTACATAAAATTGGTTCTATACAGAATATATGTATGGAAAGTGTTTAAAGAAGTTTAAAATATAGACTATACTAGACTATAGACTATATAGAATATAGATATTGTAACTATACAAACGCAAGTTGACAATGTTGGTTATTTTTTTTAATTTTGTGAAAATTTAGCATGTTTTTCTAATTGAAAGTATCACTACTTTTACTTCATGTATACCATTATGACATATCTAATATCAAAATAACAGTTCTTTTGTACACTATAAACTATCGTAATTCATTTTCAAAATAACATTCGACTGTAACATTTACCTGTAATTTTGGTAGGATACCCCCGTCACTCAACCTGGTGTTATGCAAGGAGGTCCACTACGGTTATCAGTAGTAATTATGAATAATCATTTATGCAGTTATTGACCATTTTATGTAAATACATATGGCAAAAGAATAAAAAAAATCAAAGTGGGGCCAAATGTTGACCCCACCTTTGGGCTGTTTTAAATCTTGTTATGTTTTTTTCCCTGAAACTAAATATGTCGAGCAGGAAATGACCCGGACATCGAAAGGGTCATCCTGTTCGAAACAAAGAAACACCAGAGACATTCAAAAGCACAACGAGGAAACGGCAGAAAATGTAACATGTCTACATTGTAAAACCCTCACCAATTCTAAACCCCAACAACTAGCCAGACCCCTGGCAACAATATAATTAGATTGAAGACAATTTTGCAAACTACACTTTTTAAATCTTATTTTTTATGCCATAATAAACCAATGAGACCCGCGCAAGTGTATATGGGTCGGACCATGGCGGAAAAATGGCGTCACTTCCGCTGATCAAAGCAAGTTTTATCGCGATTAGTCAAATCGTGGTGAATATGCTTGTAATCGGACTCGATCTATGTATCAGGGTGACTGAATCTATTAGAAAGTACATGTTTAAAGAGCAGTTTAATATATCAACTTAAAAGAAAGATATTTCCATAAACATTTGTTCCGTATAAAGTAGACATAATGCTATCATGATCGCAATTAACTGTTCGCGCATTCTTTTCATCGTGATTGTCGTTTAGTTCTTACTTCGAAATATTATTAAATATTCATTTCTAATTTGTTTGTAAAATGAATCAAATCAATTTCAATTAAGCAATTTCAAATCTCGTGATGAAATAAAAAAAAAAAAAAGATAACCGGCTGCGACAAAAATAATTACAGACATGGCTGGTTACAAGAAAAGAAAATCGGCAAACCCAGATCAATTCACCCCATATTCCATAAATAAACAATTCATCAAATTAAGGAAATAAAACAAAATTCCAAAAATATAACTGCGGGAAGATATCAATGGAAACCGGGGTCAGTGATGCAAAATGAGAAAACAAGGAACGGCTTATTTACCCGAGCTACATGGGTTACGAGCTAGGTAGCAGGTTGTGTACACAAGTCCTGGATGATTGAAGTGATGCCCTGTTGCCATGGTTTCTACTTTGAATCGAAATAATGAGGGTGTGTGTGTGTGTGTGAGTGTGTGTGTGTGTGTGTGATCAGGATTCACGTGTTTATACTTTATTTAGAAAACATAACGGTTACGAAATAGAGGAATAACGAGATACATACAGAATTTCTTGAGTGATATGAAACCAAAATAATCAAAATTTGTTACGAATCAAAAATCAAAAATCAGCAAATTCACTAGGACCTTTTTTTTTTTTTTTTTTAAATACGAGAGTTTTTAATTAGACAAACAAAGTCACCAGTGGTGTTTTCTTGGTAAATATTTTGTTGACATACATGGAAGTATCTAGAACTTAACATCTATTTAGGGCCAGTGAAATATGACCTCGTATGGAATAGTACAGCAGGACAATTCCCGCGCACTAAAAAGTGCCAGTACAGATATAGTTAAAAATACAACGGACACGTATCTCAGGGTTAATACGTACATCAACAATGTAAGGGGGAAAGTCAACAGAAATGTGGATATGATCTTTAAGACGCCAATTACGTGGACCAGGATGTACTAGATATATAAAAAGTATTTGTATCTCCTACTAAACCCTTTATAAGACCATATTTAGGGACCTATTGCTTGGGCGCCCGAACTTAATAAGATATAGATAAAGGTACATATAATGTATAAAAACTTCATTAATTTTGTAACAATTATGAAATAAGTGTTTTTTCACCTTGTTGGCCCTGATGTTAGCACGCACGGGGGTCTCCAAGTGAGAGGAAACCGGAGTACATGGATAAAACCCGTGACTTTTCACATATCTTATCCAAACATTAAGCTCTCCAGGAAAATACTGGCTATGGAATTACAGAAAACTACGGTCATATAATGTAGCGGTCAACAAAAATCCTTTACGGGGTAGATACGATCCGGGACAACTCCCTCAAACTTAGCAACATATATGGCCAGTGCCGACCAAAGGCAGTATTAAATACTGAAAGTATCCAAGTAGGACTTGTAAAAGATCTAGAGGTCCTAACTTCTGTCTGAGAGTTTTTTTTATGATTGGAAAGTTTTCCCAGATTCAAGTCATAGTGAATGTAGCATATCTTTTTTTTCTCTCTCATTCAAGCCGAAACTAGATAAACACTGGCCAAACTATTACCACATTCAGAATAGTATCGTTTTGAAGCTGGAATGTCGCTGTACAGAATATCAAGCTTTGCTTGTTAAACCTATTTAATGTATACACATAGCCGGGGTATCAAATGACTAAACTGTTTTATATATTGCTTATTAAAATTTAAATAACCTGTAGAAAGATTAGGCTTATTTTTTTGTGTCATACTGAGTACTATAAGCAAACTTTTTATATATATATACACGGCCGGATAGCTTTCAATCTAATTAAAATCAGATCCGAATGCCCATTCCTCTATGATACTCTTACATTAGAATGTAATTAAGAGTATCGTAGAGGAACGGGAATTCGGATATGATTTTAATTAGATTGGATAGCTTTTTAATGAAGTCCACTCCATACGCCTTCGAAAATCATACCGGTAGAAGGCTTAGACGTAAATATATAAAGCTATTACGTTTAGAGCGACGGCTTTGATCAACTTGACGCTAATTTACACCCTAAATACATACGTAGGCACGTGCACGCGCCGCACATGTGAATATGTCAGTTTAACCAGATGGCATACGGCTAGTAGTTAGGGTCTCCTGTCTTAGGTAGCTCTGGAACAAAATCTGATGGGTTGTACAGAGTATTTGAATAGCAAATTATATCTAGAAATGGCGCTATATGAATTGTTATAAATAACTAATGTTATAACGAAAATGAATAAATAAATAACGAAATAATCATAAAACTATAGATATACTCATCTCGTATTAGTCTCAAAACAATCGTGACGTGGCCCTGTGCTCATTTTACTTTATGACATTTTGTTATTCGTGTGCATTAGCAAGATAGAATTAATTAATGTTAATAAACCCCCAGGACCTGATAATATTGCACCTAAATTAATAAAAAAAATCTATTACCCTCGCTAATATTGCCTCTAAAAATTCTTTTCCAGAAAACAATTTCACTAGGTAGAATTCCACTAATATGGAAATCTGCTAATGTTAATGCACTGTACAAAGGTAAAGGCTCCATGGAAGACCCTAATAACTATAGACCAATAGCTGTTACTTCATGTTTTATTAAGATCTTAGAAAAAATTGTATTCAAATATGTATTTAACCATGTAACTAAACATCACATAATTAGTAACCATCAATCTGGCTTCCAACCTAAGGACTCAACAGTCAATCAACTATTATCTATATATGATACAATAATTAAAAACTTAGATCAGGGTAAAGATATTAGATTGGTTTTCTGTGATATTAGCAAATCATTTGATAGAGTTTGGCATAAGGGATTATTGTATAAATTAAAAAAAATATGGAATCTGTGGAAATCTTTTTGATTGGTTTGAAAATTATGTATCAGACAGAAAACAACGGGTGTTATTTGAAGGGTACAGTTCTAACTTTCAGTCCATCTTTGCAGGTGTTCCACAAGGTTCATTTCCTGGTCCTTTTCTTTTTCTTCTTATTATAAATGACATAACCCATGCGATAAGTACAAATATTAATCTAGATTCTGTTAACGAATGGGCAAATAATTGGAAAATTAAATTCAATCCCAATAAAACCATAGTACTAACAGTGTCTAGAAGGAATACAAAGCATCCCCCTCTTTTCTTTAATAATAATTTATTACCTGACGAAATAAGTCATAAACATTTAGGGTTACTTTTTAATTCTAAAGGTACATGGGGGATCATATTCATGATATTTTTAATAAAGCTTGTATTAGACTAAACATATTGAGAAATCATTGGACACATTATTTTATTCTTATATAAGACCTGTGCTTGAGTATGGTGATATTATCTGGAATAACTGTACCATTGGAGAATCTAGTATGCTTGAATCTGTTCAAATTGAAGCTATGAAAATTATATCGGGGTTAAGAAGTGGGACACACCTGACTATCTTTATAATATTATTGTACCTTTTATCAATGATGCTAATAACCCATATGGATTGAGACATACTAGATTCTTTAATGTACCTCAAGCTAGAACTCATATATACAACACTAGTTTCTTTCCTGAAACAATGAACTTATGGAACTTTTATTAGATTCTTCTCTAACATCTGCTAATTCTCCTTTTTCGTTTAAATATAAACTTAAAAACTATTTTAATAACCAAGTAGATAATATTTCCTTGATATTTTAACAGTGCAATCCTAGGAATCTTAAAACAATACTTTGTCAAATCAGGCACAAAGTAAGTGACTTAAACTTTGATAAATTTACTGACCACCTTATTTAAGATGGCAGTTGTTCTTGTGGCGCACCGCGTGAAGATGCTGATCATTTTTTCTTTTTCTGTCCTAATTATTCTGATTTCAGACGGGATTTTAATGAAATATATAATGTAGTAAGATTTATTAGTCTGAAATTACTTACATCAGGAAATAATGAGCCATCACCAGAAACTAATAATTATATATTATCTAAATTTGAGAAATGTATTGATTTAACTAATAGATTCATCTAACTCGAATATGATTAGTATATTTTTATTAAATACTTCCCGGTATATCAATCTGCTCCGATAATGTGTGTGTGTGTGTATAACATCGAAAGTGTGACCTAGACATCTACGCCACTGGTAGAAGAGTGAGCCTTGGTATTAGTGTGTGTTGTTTAAACATTCAGCCACATCATTAATTCATATATACATATTTTCCATATAAATGTCCATCTATTTCAATAAGTAATTAATTATCGATACTTTTGTAAATATATCTTATTATTCTGTGTAAATGTATATATGTTGTACCGGTTCAGGAGAAGACTAATATAGGTACTGCCTGTTGTCTTATCCTTTTGTAAATACATGTACAATAAAAATTGTTGAAACCAATGCATTAGCAAGAAGCTAGATCTTCATTCAAGTGATAAAATTCAATTCAAATCTGCCGCGCTTTTTCACTATTTGACAAGCGTTTTATCAATCCAGATCGAAATCTAAACATATACCTGATCTCGGATCATTGGACCACATGTAAACAATGTGTTGATAACTTGATAGGGCTAGCATATTTCTGTTTCTGCTCTGTTTGTCTAAGATATCTGAAATAGCGCATCGGTAAGTTATGTATTTATGGATTCACATGTAGTCCTACGTAATTCTTTCGTGAAAACGTTGAGACATGGCGGTTCTTGGCCTGTACACAGCTATATAGCCAACGGTCGACTGCAGTAACGTTATCTGTGAAGCCTGGGCCACAGCAAGGACATCATAATTGGTTATAGCCATATTTGGACCTAAACTGATGAGGCGTTCATAGTGCTATATCATAACACTATGAACACCTCAGTTTACATTTTGTAGGTCCAAATAAAATCTTAGCTATAGCAGAGACATGTATACGTCTCTGGCTATGGCTGTAACGAATTCTCAGGTCCAAGTGGCCTATGATGTCCTATGTTTTTATAATAATTATCCCGTATACTTACGCAGTACAGTACATTTATGTTGGCTACACCAGATGTTTTGTGCGTTCGTATGGTGATAATACTCTCCAAAGGGCAAGAGAAGCAAACTAACGTACAAATCACTAGATATTGATATGCATATGTTTTAGGTATAGTGAGTGTTTTATCCGTGTAAACCCATAATATAAACGTTTACAGATAGAGGTGGCTAGTGACTAGTCTAGTGGACTTGCTTAAGTCCCCATTTTTAGCCATGATGCCCATATGCATGTACATGTACATGTATTATACAGATAAGTTATCTATGGTTTAGTGTACATCTATTGTATTTTATATCTTTTCTCTAACTATGTGATTCTTTGAAATACAAATGTAAAATATATATAATATGGGCTAAAGCATACTTGTAAAAAAAAACTTCAGCTCCATGTGTATTTGTACATACAAATACATTGTATCTTGTACATTCAGTGAATTGTGTAAAAAAATATATAAAAAAATGATGAGTCCCAAGTGGTTCTCAAAAAAATAATGATTCCCCCAAAAAATCATGAGTCCAGTACTCATATATCTCAGTCCTAAACATCACACTATTAATAATAATAGGAACCTGACATTTTTTTTCGACTACTAAACTTTTCTTTTTCTTCTAGATAAACAAAACTATGTTGATGCATGATGAACCCTAGCTAGGATTTGTGGGGTAATGTGAGGACTCCTGCAGACAGAGTTGGGGCTTTTCTATGTCTTCTTCTTTCAAAGATATGTTATAAAATGGTCTTGAATTTGTTTTCATTTAAATCAATATTAAAGAAAATCCTGTTGAAATGCAATAGAAGTAATAGATAGATTGTTTTAATGTATCTGTTTTATTTTCTCACCTGTCAGGTATGTGGTGGGTGTGGTGGTGGCTGTTGGCAGTGGTAGGGATCGTGGCAGTGGTTATAAAGATTTACATGGAGATGATTAAGGGAAAGTGTACGAGTAAGGCTGACCTCACAGGCAAGACTGCCATAGTCACTGGAGCTAACTCTGGTATGTATGTGCATTTGACAACATGCAAGGGGAAAGTACTAGACATATATTGCAAAGGTGTGAACCTCTGAAACCTCCAATGAGGGAGATCGATATCTTGCCTCATTCAAAATCTCATCCTGGATACTCCAGGGTTTACGGCTTTACGCTCACTTTCGCTCTATGCACCCCTGGAATATGTCAAAGCAAAATTGAAGGCTCAGTGTGCATTGCAGCACCACCTTGTGGATGAGATGGCAAGACCAGTTGGATCCTTTAATGTACATCAAAAGAGTCTGTCAGTCGCGTAACGGTCAAACTTACTGGCTTTGAAGTCGGGTATCACTCCTCTGTAAAGGACATGTATTAGCCTTAAAGATTGGTCAGGTATTTTTAGCCGAAACTAATCAAATAGCTAGACACGTGCCTTCAAATTTGCTATCACATATTCTAGGGGTGCAGATCTAGAGAGCGAACGTGAGTGTAACCGCTGAAGTATCGAGGATGTCAGTATCTCAAATGAAGCGTAAGGTGCATGAAAAAAAATAATCTGGCATTTTGGCCCATGGAGGAAATGTTCACAGCGCCAATCTCACATTGCTTAGTTATGATATATACACACATTGTGCTAAGCTTGTTTTCCCTGGGCTGTCAAAGTCTTCTTAAAATAGTAAGGTGCACATTGTTTGGAAAATCATGTTTCACTTATTTATATACTGTAGGACCACCAAAAATCTGCTAATAAACTTTTAGTTGTATCATGTTTATAGTAAATTCATTTATTTTTTTATATATTTGACCAATATTATTTTATCGTTTAAAACATATAACTCTTTTTTTCAACCTCTGAAATGACAGGTATTGGGTTTGCCACAGCTGAAGACTTTGCTCGCCGAAACTGTCGGGTGATCATGGCGTGTAGAAGCCTGGAAAGAGGTGAAAATGCATGCACAAAGATAATCGAGAAAACAGGAAACATCAATGTTGTTGTCCGAAAGCTAGACCTCGGATATATGGCAAGTGTGAGAGAGTTTGTGGATAAAATCTTGAAAGAAGAACCTCGTCTTGACATCCTCATCAACAATGCTGCAGCTGCAGGTATGTAGATTGGGCCGCATACATAAATGGGAATTTTTTAACTGCCCTGGCAACTATTACAGGACACGGTTCAATGGTGATTGTTTAACTCACTCACCCCTGAAATTTCAAAATAAACTATTCCAACCTTTTGAATTGGAAGAGTTCAAATGTGTCTTCAGGGGTGAATTAGTTAATGGTAAGGATATATGGTTTAATGAATATAGCTGATTGCTTTCGTTTTAAAGTTTGATAATATGTGTTCAAGAGATGGCTTCAATTGATATTAAGGTATGTTTAAACTATTATGTACCAGTAATGGTGTATGGTATAAGCAAAAACATGTTTATACATGTACATATAGCGGTTCAATGGTGTTTGTACAATAGAAAATGAACATATGTGCAAATTGGTATACATGCTTATATGTTCCAATGGTGACTGCTTGAGACATTTCCATTTGAATATTTACCCTAACCATGCAAGGCTGTTAGAATAACATGACAGATATTCCAGATCTGAAGTTGAAAAACGTTGTGTATATCCCAGGTCTGGGGAAGCAAAAGTTTATTTACAGGATTTAATAATACAGACGTGAATTGATCAAGGGGAGGTAAATCTTAGAAAGTTCTGTTTTAAGTTTAAGACATATGTAATAGTATCCACACACAATTTGTTACCTTGTATCAATAGATTAAAATTAAAAAAAAATGAATTCACTATACAACTGATTGATGACGTACAATGGTATGTAGTAATACTAGTTCAATCTTACTTCACCCAGACCTTAACAAGACACCCCCATAACAACATATTTGTTTCAATTCTGGTAATGGGACCACTCACACAGTTTACTGGACAAGCACCCTCCTGTGTGTATTTGAAAATAAAATGATCAATCAGAATATCTACTGGCCAAATTAAATAACTTCTGTTTCAGGCTATATCACTTTATACATTATATGTTGAATAGTTGAATTATTTTTCTGCAAGGTATTAAACAGAATAAGTTATCACAAATTCAATGAATTAACACAAATCATCGGCTTGCTTCAGCAACCATGCATATTTAAATGATAAATGTATGCATTTTAGGAACAAAACGAAAAATTACATCGGAGGCCCTGGAATACACACTAGCCACCAACCACCTCGGACCATTCTTATTGACTAATCTACTTTTGGGTAAGCATATGCACGTTTTTACAGCATTAATCATCTGTTACAACAAGATAGGAGTAAAATGCTCTCTCATATCTTTGATATTGTTTTATCATTTGAACTTAATTAGTAAACGTGAAGTGTTGAAATAGACTTTGTCTGTCCTACTCTTTCATGAAGAGGTTGCTGTAGCAACCAAAGACGCTACAGGAAGTGAGTAAAATATTACCTGTAGTGTAGCGGCCATGGGGTAATATTATTTCATCACATTTGAAAAGTGATTTTCCATCAGAGTAATTGATATTAGTTACTAGGGGTGTCACAATATGCCAAGAGTGTATCATGATATATTGCAATACAGAATGAATATATTGCGATACGTATCCCGATATATTGCATAGGAAGGATGTGCTCAATTTTATAAAAAGTTGTTGTCAGAATGTTATCAAACTTAATCATATATAATATGGATCACATAGATTTAAGATTTTTGTCAAACCAACCATCGATTACAAAGTTTGAACTAATTTCCACCACTATTAAAAGCCTCTTTTTTATGCATATTGGCATATCTGTTAGAATTTGTAGTAATTTGCAAAGTTAAAACACCACGCAGAACGAGAAACATAAAAATAAGCTTTTAATAAAATATTGCGATACAGCAATATTTCATCTCTGTATTGTGGTACAATACGAGATACCCGTGTATTGCGATATACATGAACCTGTTTTCCGATATATTGTGACAGCCCTATTAGTTATATAAATTAACAATATAGTACATTCTTCTAGGTGGTTCCTATGTGTTGTTTATACATTTGTAGATCTGCTGAAAAAGAGCGGCCCAGGTCGAATTGTTATGGTTTCCTCTCTAGTCAATATTATGGGAAAGATAAACTTCAATGATATGACTTGGATCAGGAAGTTTGAGACAGGAGAGCCGTATTTCGATACAAAATTCGCAAACATCTTGTTTACAAAGGAGCTGAGTAGAAGACTTCAAGATTCAGGTACATGTCTTTTTATGAATTACAAACGTACGGGATATTATTACACCTCAATGAGTTTCGAGGACAAATTAAATGAACTGCAAAGCAGTTCAACATTTGATACATCCAAAGAGTCATCAAAATTTATCCACTACTATGAAATCGGATGTTTTTGTGAGGACAAAACACCATTTCGTGGGTACATGAATTCCTGGATTACAAGTAAATCTTTTGATCTCTGTTTGCTGGATGTTGAAACATAAAAATTTCTAAATATCGTTCATTGTGCTAAGTTGCATTTAGTCCCAATATTAACCATCTCTTACAGTTTCACTAATTAAATCTGCAAGATATAGAAGAGTGTGGTAAAAACATATTGATTTATACCACAAAAGATTATGAACAACAGTCAAAGTTCTGACAATTGAATAAAAAATAAATATACACAAAACAGAGGAAATTGCAAAATTTGGCCTCTTGAGTGCTTTGACATCCTGTACGACACTGTACTCCTATTTCTAATGAAAACCATACAACGATACCTGTATATTCCGACATCTGTCAAATCTAACAAAGATGTTGTGTCTCACAGGTTGTCGGACAACATGTTGTGTTACAAAGGGTGTCAGATTAGACAGGTTTGTGATTTCTTGAAGTGGCCAGAATTACTATTTTCAACATGTTAAAGTTAAATGTTATTTATTTAGGCTAAGTGTGTGAGATAGATCTACTGTTGAGAAACACCTTGATCAATATTGATATGTTATACAATCCCATTTTCAGAGGTTGTCATTAACTGTCTACATCCAGGCACTGTACGGACATCGCTTCTCCGTCATGTTCCACAACCGTTTAAAATATTAATAGACTTGCTTGGCATGGTCTATTTCAAGGTAAGCAAAGCCTCTTTATTTCCTTTTCAAATGATAGGATCCATTTTAGATTAGGAAATATGTTTTGTTGTGGTATGAACATTTTCTTGAAGTAAACTTGGAAAGAAATCCATTTCGTATTGGCTGGATGCTTTCAAGGAAAGCTAGTCTGAATTGTAATTAGAAGGGTTTGGTGTATTTCACTATCAGATCATAATCTAAACCATTGACATGGTAAAACATATTGTAATCAGCAGGACATATATATAGAATTCATATAATGAAGGCGATGTCAAATTGGCAGGATTTATGCTTAGAAAAAATGTTCTCTTTTTAAATATTATTATTGAAGTCAAGATAAATGTAATGTTTTTAGGAAATCCCTGATATACACTTTTGCAACAAGCACAAATGGAATACCTATACTACCTACATATCATATGTAAGCCCTGTTCTCTACAACAACAACCCCCCCTCCCCCTTCCCATTGTACAGGCATGTTAAATGTTAAGCCTGTTTACAAACAGCTGTGAGGTATTCAGTTGAGAAGAATGAACAGAGAATGAGTTTCTATTATGTTTTCAGAGTCAGGAAGAAGGAGCTCAAACGACCATCCACTGTGCAGTCTGTGATGCAACTAAGGGCGTTTCTGGTTGTTATTTCATCGACTGCAAAGTGCAAGATCATTCTTGGTATATTAACAAGAAGGCTTATGATGAAGGTTTGGCCAAAAAGCTCTGGGAAGTCAGCGAACAAATGACTGGGCTAACAACATCATGATGTAAACATATACTTATTCCATATTGTAGGGTATATATAAAGCTATATGTCGGAGCTAGACGAAAAGGGTAGTCTCGAGCTGGACTAGTGGTTCTAAAACCTACTAGCCTGTGAATTGTTTTACAAAAAATCTTATCATAAGTTTTACTCTTTAGAGGAATTTTCACAAAATTTCTTAGGAGAATCTTAGGTGACAAATTAAGTGAAACTTATCGATAACTTGCATGGCCCCTCTCTTAAGAGTAAAAAAAAATTGTAAGTGTAAATATTGATAAAAATTAAACGGTTGGATAAAAACAACAAACTGGCTGCTGCGTTTATTATATTATCGCAAACAAAAATCTTAAGAATTGTCTAAGAAATATTTTTGCATTTACGAATACTTTCGTGAAACTGACTCAAAATCTTACAACAGTTAGTAAGAATTTTTGTGAAAAGATTCATTGATGGACTAGTCAGACTCAATAGACTTTCATGTGGTCTATGAAAATAATTTTGTGCTAATATTGAGTTCCTTCATTGACAGCATTGGTATATCTCATCAATCACGGCATTCTTAATACACAATATTATGAATAGTAATTATCAGTACTAGTCATATTCTAAATGGTTTACTTTTTTCACCCTTCAAATGCACTGTTGCAAAAAATGGGGTTGTTATAATGTCAATAAGTTCAAATGGACAGAATTTACTGTATACCGGGAAATTTCTCCCCAGTTCAACTTTCGCCCTTCGCCCTTGAAACCAATTTTCGCCCAGTGTTAGTTTGGCCCTTCACATTGAATTACTACATGTGTGCTATGTTGTTTACTTATATTTCTGTAGTGATAGATTTACCCTCATTACGAAGGGTGAAAAACTAGGTGAAAGTCAACTGTATAAAAAATGTCCCGATAAACAGTATTATTTATGTCATTGCTATAAAATGGCCTTCAGATGTCAATGTGTGAAAATATGTATAACTGTTGATAAACAGGAATTCCACAGAAAATCTGAAGTTACCTCTAAACTATGGTAAATGTGTTTCTTTGGATGAATTTTCAAGAAAACATGCATTGTATTTCTCAATATCTATTGATAGGACAGAGGTTAATCTCGAACGTCTTTTATGGTCAGTATATCATATGTTAGAATTTTTAACATCTGGCTTTTTTTCATGTTGAATACATATTAAGTAAGTTTAGTAACATGTTAAATCCATAAAACTGTTTTTAAACTTGGAAGTTGATTTTGAATTCCTAACACTTAATCAGATCAGATGTGTTCACTGATGACAAAATGATTAATGGCAGACTAAACCTGTTTTAATTTTGTTATTTTTGGTGTTTTTTCTATTTTTGTTGTGATGTTGTGATGTGTTATTTGGTGTTGGTCCCTGCTTTGGTCTGTGATACATTTTTTCACTGCTTTACCATGAACAGGCATTATAATTTATTCAGTTTTATTTTGTCTTCAATTTTTACAAGGTACTTACTATGTTCATGTAGGGAATGCATCCAGGAATTCCAGTTGATGCACATCCTAATTAAAATACAGGCGTTGATATATCGTTAAGTCATATGTCTGTATTTTAATCGAGTAATAATATGCACATTATTCTGATACTTATATACATGTGAATATAATTATTGATTTGGTTTACCCGAAATGGTGTTAAAATTTATTTGACAGAAAATCTATGCATGGTTGTTTTGAATGAGTTTCATTTGTTGTGTGATTTGGAGTCAAATAAAGAAAAGTTTAATACCCTATTTGAGTGGGTGTTTAACAAATTTATATTTCTTCTAAGGGTGTTGTTAAATTTCACATTTTGTTAATACCTATTGAGAGTTCTTTGGTTTTTCCACTTCAAAAACATCAATTATTTAAAAAGTAGCTCATTCAAGCACTTGTCAAATATTGAAAGCATAAGCTATCATTTAAGTGATTATATACAATTAAACTCATATATTACTTCAGGATTAACTTGAATATATTTTTCATGTTGTGGAGCTATAACAAAAAAAACGGAGTGTACTCTAAGTAAACAGCGAAGCTGTTTATGATCAGAGTACACTCCGTTTTTTGTGTTATAGCTCCATATAAACATGAAAAATATATTCAAGTCAATCCTTATAATTTAATTCACTATACATAATCCCTGTGGAAATCAACTTTTATTGATGGACTCTTTTTCTCTGAGAAATTATTACACGCTGTATCAGCCAATCAAAAGCGACGTTACAAATAGTGACGTCATTTTTTTACGTTAGGGCTGATAACATACATTTGTAAGCCAACGAAAATGCTTGTTACAAGCAAGATTAAATTAAATTTACTTAATACAAATATTTCTGCTGTAAATCCCTATATTAACACTACCTGAAGAAATTTCATCTATAGGGCTATGAATGCAATGGGATTATTGTCAATTTGAAGTTTTGAAGGTTCTTTTGCCTTTTGTAACATGAGTTCATCTTATAAGCAAACCTTAATGTCACATTGAGGAATTAAGTCTACTCCAATGTTACCCCAACTTCATCAGACTCATAATATCAGGGAAAATTAACATTTAGTTCGATAAAAACTACGAAGAGAATGTTTACTAAAATAATATAATGTCATTTGTTTCAATGTTCATGAATGAAATACTATGATATGAATACAACTTATTTGCAGATAAATGTCCATATTCCATATTGATAAGAATACAAGTTATTTACATTTAAATGTACATGTACATATTCCATATTAATAAGAATACAAGTTATTTACATATAAATGTTCATATTCTATTTGAACTTAGTCCCTATAGTGGTGGATGGGGAATAAACTTTTTAACCTTCTGTAGGAAAACCACTGATACCTTCTAATTATGGATTTTTTTAGGAAAATTAACCACATTGTAATTATGTATATGAGCACAACATATATACATATGGCATACATGTGAATTTTACTTTAGGAATGCAAAACATAACCTTACGTTTGTATTATAAGCTATGCATTTTGGTCACCTATCATTAATCTGAGTAATACATTTCTGATGTATACCTTTGCATGCTTTTGTGATTATTGATAGAATTTTACCAATGAATTTTCTTTTTTTACTATTTATGTTTGCATTTATAATATTAATATATTGACTTGGAAATATTGAAATTAAAATTGAAAACAAAATGCATTCAGACTTGTTTTGTGTATCAACAGAGCAACTCATTATAACTGACTTACTAGGAAATATTATCACACAGAATTTCAGTGATGAAGCAAAACTTGTTGTCTTTGAAAACATGACATTTGTGGATAATAATTTCTAAAAAAAAATACAGATTAATATTTATTTATAAAATGTATCATCATAAATCGAGTTAAAACATTCCGGTTCATTAACAATACATTATACTTCAACAACATGAACGATATTTTTTTTATTAAATCAGTCTTTCAGTGTGCTCATCATATTTGTATTGGTTTGAATATACTTTTAAAATTTTATAATATAAATAAAATAAAAAATACTAGCGCATTCATACTTATTGCACAGGTCTAGGGATCCATCATATCTTCAAAACTCAATCATAAAATAGTACACGGTCTCTTTTCCTTCATGAAATATATTACGAAAATAAATCACGTCTATTGATGAAGTTAGTGTGTGTTACAGTTTGTCAATATGAATTATACCACGAAATATCTACTGCAGGTAGAGGGGAAATAATTAGTTCGCTACACAGTGTGGTTCTAGAAAAAGAAGAATCACCTTTGATGACAGTAAATTGCAGCAACAAATTTCATATGCAACTTTTATTTCTGTAACTTTATTACTTGCAGTGTTTCTCCTCTCTTAATTATTTCATCTTATACATTGGATATTTCCAGTTATCCAGTTTATTTCGATTGCAACAAATCGAGCGAAACGAGATTTCATTCAATAGTGTGTTGGTTATCCAATGTATCAGAAACGCTAATACACAAGAACGTATCAGTATAAACACTGTTCGCTTCGCTATTCAATACCATACAGTACACACATGTATATATTTTCTATTGAAACAAACTGTAGTGCAGTGTGTATATGCATTACTAGTTATATTGCATTTGTCTACCGTACGCATTTGTTACTGATCACTCGCGGAGATCGGTAATACTCGGGTGACTGTAATTGTGTAATTGCCTTTTCAAAATCAAAAAACAAAACAATTAAAAATTGAATTTATTGCTTACATGTCTTAAGATAATCTTTATAAATTCCAAATTTTGTTGATTTCATGTCGGGGTTTCCTAAAAATATGCTTCGTTATCATTTTCTTTATTTTTCATTAAGCTGACAAAGTCTTGAGCAACTAGTGCAAACATTTAAAAAGAACCTTTTTATAGAAACAGACCCAGTCTACCCACATTTCAATAGATTCTTCAGAACAAAGAAATGCGTTGCCGCTATGATATTGACATGGGTTGACGATATCCACGGACGGATATCACTTCCTTGTTGTTACCATAATGTTTGACACAACACAACTGTCCTTTTTAATCGTTCTAGTTATAACTTTGATAGGTAAGTATATATTTATTATCTGGTTATTTACATGAAATATTCTGTGTTGTTACTGAAATATCAAAATAACCATTGTGTAACTCAAATGTTGATTGGCAGTTGTTACTATTCAATGAACGTATTGTATTGACACAATGGAGCCATTATAAACACGTTTGAACTCTCTATAAAGGTAGGGGCAACGCCTATGGAGATTTAACATAAGCGNGGAGATTTAACATTAGCGTCGGCCCCCACTTGGAATTTCAAAACAAAATGTATGGGTATAGGAAGCTTAAATCAGTAGCAGTTAGTTTCAGAATTCATTTTATGATAAATGGGACCTCATTGACTTACGCCAGTATGGGTGTTAAAGGTCCTCCTAGATCATTTACATGACACAATTACAATACAATTATATCATCATTATTCCAACTGTTATTTTGATACCAAATACTACTCTATTCAAAGAAAGAATTGTTCTTTTTATTGAAGATTTAAGCAGAAAAATATGTGAAATTTCATTACTAATGAGAAATTTTCTATTTTTGACACGTTAATTCACATAGTTCTAAAGCGAATCTATTTTTCATACTTGCTTAAAAGTTGGCTACCAATAACATCTTTGAATATCAGGAATTTCAAAAAAACGACAACCGGTAAATTTGTCATAAAACTCTTTTGATGTAAAAAAGGAAAAACATAACTATCTTTCCACTTTTCCTTTAACTTTTCTTCATAACGAAAGGTCATTGAGTCTTGGTATTTGGCCAGTAGGTTGTTCACGTGAATAAATTTAAGTTTTGTGAACGTTGATGACCTTGACTTTCGTTCAAGGTCACAAAAATCAAATGTGCTAAAATTAAAGTTTTTGTAACGGGAGTCAGACAAGGAGACCTTTCCATGCTTTATTTGTTAAAAGTTAACGATATCAAATGATATTTCTACATATTTTGTTTAATGAATGGGAAATAGGCAAAATGAAATAACTACAACTGAAATCCAAAGACTAACTAATACCCCCGCTCCTATATAAACCAGAACTGTAAGTCAAAGGGTTACTAGGCCAAAGCATTGCACAGCAAGCCATAGTCTCCCACCAGTAATTATATCAGTATAAAGGTCTTTGACATACTAACTGAAATCCCTCCCCATTCCAAAATATACTTTCATACCAAATCTTTTTAGCCAAAATGAATCAATTTTGCTGAAATCGTCCTAGTAGTTTAGTAGTTAAGGAACAGTTGTCAAGAAAAAGATTTTTAACAAAAGGCCATAACTCCTTAAATAGGGTCGAACTAAAAAAATACTACCCTGATGCATGAAATCCGGGGGTTATTACCATATCTGTCAACTTTCATTGAAATCGGCCCAAAAGTTTGTGAGGCAGACAAAAGTTTTTTCAACAGAGGGCCATAACTCATTTTTAAAGGTTCGGAATTGAAACATGCTACTTGGATGCACAATGTCAGGGACAGTTACCATATCTGTAAACTTCCGTTGAAATTGACCCCATAGTTTTGGAGAAGTTGTCTGGACAAGTATTTTTCAATCAAGGGCCATTACTCCGTTAAAAAAGGTTGGAATAAAAAACTAATGCCTGGATGCACAACTTCAGGTGGTAGTTATAATATCTGAAAACTTTCGTTGAAATAAGTCCATTTAATTAAAATTCAACTTCGTTGAAGTTTCTTTTATGAAGTGTATTATTTTTTTACTATCTTTGTCTATAACACAATCTCAGCCTTAAGGCATTCTTCAGAGGAAAGATTACTTTGGCAGAATACATATTCATGAATTATTATTGCTGTACATAACTTTAAATCATGTGTAATATAATAAAGTGTTTCGGTATAATACAAAAAATGAAAATGTATCGGTATCTATCATAATAAACACTGATAATTCAAACTCCATGAGTATGTGAAATAAGGCATTTATCATGTTTGACATGCTAAAAAAAGTATTTTACCGGATTTGATATTACATAAAAATGATTCTGTAGACAGAATATATATATGGAAAGTGTTTTAAGAAGTATAAAATATAGACTACCATTGTAACTATATAAAGGCAAGTTGACAATATTGGTTATATTTTAAATTTGGGAAAAAAATGCATGTTTTTCTAATTAAAAGTATCACTACGCTTACTTCATGTATAGCAATATGACATATTTAGTATCAAAATAACAGTAATTTTATACACTATACACTATCATAAATCCTTTTTTTAAATAACATTTGCCTTTGACATTTATCTGTCATTTTGTTAGGATACCCCCGTCACTCAACCTGGTGTTATGCAAGGAGGTCCACTACGGTTATCAGTAGTAATTATGAATAATCATTTATGCAGTTCAAAGATATCAAAGTAGAAGCCAAATGTTGACCCCACCTTTAACGTGATTGACTTGCCAACACGTAAAATAATGATACCATTTTGTGTTAATATTATCCTGCCGGGTAAATATATGGAAAACATAAGTTCTTGATATGTTTCTTACATGTAGATGTATGTGAATGTCGACTCAACCCTTTTACTTTACTGATCAAATTTGTATACAATTAATATGTAAATTTCAAAGCCCACACTGTTGAACTGTGTTATTTTTCTTTTATATCTAGGTGAGTGTTCCAGCATTCAGGGATGCTTCGGGACTTTCTATAAAACTGAACTGAGCTATTACTATGGGCGTTATTATGTATCTAGGAACTATTATCAACAGTATAAAGTCTGTGATGACATGTGCTGTACATTAAGTAGTAACGGCTACAAATACTGTTGTTCCAACTCTGGAGTTGTCCCGTCCTACACATCATCTTCTAAACCATCAAGCGAGGTCGTATACAAGTAGTAAGCTGCTGCTGCTACTGCTGCTGCTGATTATGATGATGATTAATACTGAATTTTTATATTCATAATCATACCATATTGACTGTAAAATATTATCCTAATGCATTCTTCTCAAGGACCAACTGGGCCAAGTTTCATAACCTTGATGATAAAATAAAGTCAAAATGTTCAATTATATGGTATTATACATGTATTTCCTCTGCAAGTTCGAGAAAATATTAGGCCTGCTGTATTCCATTACATGTCGTAAAAGGCGATACATGTGCACGTGGGGCCCCTTATAGAATCGGGGACTTTCTTATGTTTCTTCTGCTAAAGGGTTATTGACGAAATCACGATTGATCTGCTGCCGCCATTGCAACACTTTGGATATTTCAATTTTCTCTCTACTCCCTAAAAACCTTTTTGTTTCCTGGTGCCTTGCTTGTCAATAGCACATTTTTGCCTTAGTGTTGAGCGTTTGGAAATCAATGGGGTTTTTTGTCCCAGGCCGGGATATACCAAGTCCTTTAAAGTTGTGGTTATTACGTATACTCCCTCCTTAACGTTTATCGTTGAGGATTTTGAAAATAACTTGTTCATCTGTTGTCAACCAGAAAAAAATACTGTACTTGGTGCCTTCGGTATGGTATTTCAGTGAGGTAGCACTCTAAAGTCGGCATTAGGTTCATACTATCAAACGGAGGAACAACATCAACATACCCTGCCTCCAGCACACATACATAAAATAATGTATACATGACACGTGTAGAGGCACGTCTTTAAATTACCTTAGCTGTTTATAGGAAAGTAACAAATGAAAACCAAAACCAAAAATGTAATATATACTCAATGGAACCATATCACGGATTCAAGGTTTTCATGAATCTTGGTGAACAGGCGTATTTTTAAGCGTATAGTGATTATGACCACAAAGGGTATTACGGTCTTCATGCTATGATTTCCATGTGGTATTTCACTAAAAAAGAGCCGTTGAAAACATTATATAGGTACCGTTTACTTCTACAGTTACTTACTCCAGTGTGTTTGTTTCTCTGCTAGGGGAAGAATGTATGAAACAGAACATAATAAAACATGTCCTGATACACAAACGTGCACCTCAGATAAAATACTGTGTCACCCTTATAATTTGTAACACTCCCTTTGATTGGATATCTTGCCGGGGTCTATATTTCTATAGACCCCGCTCTGCCTGAGTCTATAAAAGCACGTGCGAGGGGAGAAATCTCAAACTAGAATCTCTCTTCATAGCAACAAAGATGGCGTCCGACACACACAAGTGTTCGAGCTTTACAAATCATTCACAGGATGAAATAGCCTACAGGCAATCTAAAACGACAGTAAATTCAACTAAACAGACACTGATGGGGCCTCTAGGATACTTATTGCAAGGATGGTTGTGTTTTGTCCAACATATTGTTGAAAAGATGTCCGGTATGGGCGTCTTTGGTAGCAGTCAACTTACAACTGAAACTCACAATGTGACTTATAATTTTGCAGTAAAAAAATGTAATAACAGATTGTCAGGGTGACAAATTTGTTATCTCTGGAATAGCTAATAATCTGAAAGCTTTAATATTTTGTATGTCATATTATATATATGCAACTATTAATTATACGCCATTGTTATCCCAGAAACACATGGAAAATTAAAATGGTAAATATCGTATATGCAGCTGAAAATTATGTCTTTCTAGTATTATTGTTAACATATTTTAAAATCTTTTCTATCAGAGATGTATGTTACTCAATGTTTAAAGTATTTATTGTAATTTATTTTACAGCACAGGAATCATCGTCGGTTGCACCATAGGAGGGACTCTTTTTGCCGTCGTGGTTATATTTTCATTATTGGTATTCCGTTGTATGTGGAGAGAACGTAAAAGGATTGAACCAGCTTCTATCGTCGAATCTGGATCAAGTAAAACCGAGGAAGCTATAGGTACGATTCTTGAACAATTATGCTTTAATTGTAGTTTTTGCATTGTGCATTGTTTAATTATTTATATCTGCAATGTTTAATGTAAACGGTTCCAAACCACAAGTTATAATCGTTAAAAATGGTACATTTTCAGTGATGTGTTTTTGACCTGGAATAGTTTCCATTTGTTTTTGTTTGGAGATTTTTTTCTGGCTAAGAGCTAGATTGTAGTTTTAATTGGCAAAAGCTAATATCTAAGTTACGTATTGTATTCAATTGGATAAAAAAAGTAGCTCATATTATTTACGTCGGAACAGAGGTGAACCGTATTTCACTTAAATGTTAAGTAGAATGTTTTTGAATTCACACACAATAGCAAGACTCCTGTGCTGCTTGCATCCCGTTAAGATGGGATTTTTAGTTGTATCAAAACGCAATGAAATTACTTTTTTTGTGTTAAATTTTATTTAGTGGTATTCATTTCAGAAGGAAAACAAAGTGATAATGCTTAAAAAAATACCAAAATTGTACCTCACTTTTCATGGTACAGTGTATTCATTTCTCATTTTGCTACCTCACTTTTCATGGTACAGTGTATTCATTTCTCATTTTGCTACCGTATGTCTATAACACCCTGATAACAGCATTGGTAAAGTGTCGGAGTGGCATTAGGTAGGTCCCGGGTTCAAGCCCTGTATATTTTGTTTTTATTCTTATTCAAATACTCCATTTGCTATATTTCTGGATGTGATTTATATGGAATACTTTTGTTGAAAACTTGAATAGTTATGTCATATTAGTGATAATAGTAAAATACGCCATTGGAATTTAATGGTACCCTTTCCCTTTATCGTTTTGCAAATATGTCGTTATATGCCATAGTCAGCAAAATCATAGTCAATGCATTTTTATACATTATCTTGACAAATGAAAAAACAAATTCTTCCGAAATGGAGACCGATGTTTAAGATGTGGCACGATTTTGGATACATAAAACTAGCACAAAACAAACTTCAAACTTTTAATGCCCCAGATAAGAAATTGTCTTATAAGTCATGCGTCAATATTAGTCAGACACCGAGGCATTCCGCCTGGATTTAGATTTATACTTTGCATCTTAAATAATTATATTTGTCTATGTCTGACATATCTTTTTTAATCTGTATCATAATAATTAGGATGAATTAATTTTCTATATCTCGGACCATAAGTTATTCATCTGAGTTTAATTTCTGTTTTATATCTTAAATCAGAAGTTGCAACATCATATAGCCAATTTGATATTTATGTGTGACTTCAAACATTGTGAAGCCCCCTTAATTCAAATATTTATGCATTTAATATCATAAATTATACATATTAAATTATGGAATGGATATTATAAGTTTATTTGTTTCAGACTATTCAGCTGACATTTGAAACATCATTATCTTGTTTCAGTTTCCAAGGTGGACACCCCTGTGATTGAAGACGGTTCCGCCATTATTCCGCCCTCTGCGAAGTCAACACCAGTACCCCATTACACTGTCAAACAGTAGAACGTGGTGACACCATAACTGATACTGTAAATTAACCAAATTCCGGGAACTGTATATCGGGACGTCCCCTATACTCCAGGGATCACGGTCATTTTCGCTCTCTGCACCCCTGATATATGTCATAGCAAAAATGAAGGCAGGCAGCTAGCTATTTGATTGATCTCAGGTAAAAAATAACTTACCAATCGCTAGGTTGATACCTGTCCTTTAAAGATTACAGAGGAGCGACATCCTACTTTGCAGCCAGTCAATTTTACCGTTACGTGACCGCATTGTTCTTTTTATGTAAATCAAAATGGCAGCACAATGAGCATTCGACTTTGCTGTGACATATTCCAGGGATGCAGAGGTCGAAAGTGAAAGTAATCCTTGGACTTTTGAGAATGATTTTGGAATAATCAACTTCAATTATTCTAAATGTTCTAAGTTAGATGAACATGTACTTATATGACTGCATTCTTATTTTCGTCGCTCCGGTGACGACTGTTAAGATATATGCACCATGCCGTAGCTCAAGAGCTATTTATAACACGAAGGAGTATAATGAGTTTACATTCATATATATGTTTTCAGTTACATTCAGAGGTCATGATAATTCAACGCTTTCGAACAGTTCGAAAAGGCGTGAATATATATTACTGCTGAAATAGGTAATTTTAGCATTAACACCTTATAGGGTTTTGTAATTGTTCAAATATATTGCTAAAACTTAAAAAAAAGTATATCGATATTCGATGTTATAGTTTTTGTACAAATAAGTGTTTGTAGTAATAGTGTTAAAAGATATTCGTCAAAATTTGGTTATTAATAGTATTTTATTCCACTACACACAACAACAAAGTATGTGAAAATCCAAACCATAATTGGTCTTTTATGAAACAAATAAGGACATATTTATTACGGATGTATTGGTTTGGCTTCAGGTTTGGCAGTAGTTTCACACTGTTTACATAAGGTTTGATAAATTATCAGGCTATATAGGTTATATTGCTCGCTAGGTTGTGCCACCGGTAGGGATGCCATATTTTGCAAATGGATCGGTTGATGTAAATACAAATTTGAGGTAAAATGCGAAGCGGATTTGTGCTTAAAGTGAGTTGGAGTTAGTAGCTCCAGTTATGATCGTTTTGGGATTCATTGCTTATTCTGACTCATGAACTGATTAGGTTAACAACACAAAATTAGGATTGTTTTGTAACAAAACGAAAGCACGGTGATCGTGTAATCTGTACCCATCTCATAATGGAACCGGTCTGCACGCCTCATATGTTTACTCATCTCTGTATACGCAAAACTATCATATGCCACAATATCTTATGCTTTCCATCCCTTAATATATATTTGAGTAAGCGCCGACCTACACACTTATAAAATGCTAATATAAACTTGTAATACTCACATTTACGAGCGAGTTATCTCCCGTTGAACAATCAGTAGGTTTTTTCCTGTATGTCGTAAAATGTGTGTTTTCTTTTTGGTGTAGTTTTTTCTGATATCCATCCGTGTCATCATATGTTTCAACATGCTCGACATCCAGGGGTTACGCTCACTTTCGCTCTCTACACCTCTGGAATATGTCATAGCAACATTGAAGACACGAAGATAGCTATTTGATTGGTCTCAGGTTAAAAGAACTGACCAATCGCTATAGGCTGATACCTGTCCTTTAAAGATTACAAAGGAGAGACGCACGACTTCAAAGCCTGTCAATTTTTACCCGTATGTGACCGCGAGATTCTTTTGATGTATATCAACGGACCGAACTAGTCTTCCTGTCTCATCAGCAAGGTGGCACACACTGAGCCTTCAATCTCCAGGGGTTGCAGAGAGCAAACGTGAGCGTACGTAATCCCTGGATATCGAGGATGATGTTTCAAGCAGTGTCATAGGAACACAAATGTGTCAGACTTATAGACACATACATCGAAATTTTTCTTTAGAGATAATTCTTGTTTATAGTTGTATTTACATTATAATAGTGTGACTAATCGTTTTATGTATAACCAATATTACGCTGCTTTATGTTAGTTACTTTATTGTATTAATATTTCTACTGAACTTAGACTCAATAAATCTTTATAGACTGGTCGAATATCCGGTGGGCGTAGGAATACGTCAGCACATGAGGAAAAGGCCCATCTTAAGATTATTGTAAATTCTTTTTCTCATACATTTCGGATCGAGTAACCATGATTTTATGTGTTCTGTTGTTTGTACATTATAATCGATGCAAAACAGCAGTGATGACGCCACCTGCGTCGGCACTCTCCGTAACATACACTTACAATAAAGTTCAATATATTAGAAATTATATTTTTTTTTTTTATCAAACTCGCACTGAATGTAAATATAAGGACTAAATCCTGTTAGGTTTATGGGATGTAAACCTCCATGAGTCATAAGACCCGTTGAGGCTTATACCCCGTATACCTCAACACAACAGGATTCAATCCTGCACTAAATATATACTTTTATACAATAGCTACTTCGAATCAAATAAAAAACCGTTAGTATAGGTTTGTACTTTGTAGTAAATCTGAACGTTTATTTGTTTAAGAGTTATGTGTTACCTGTATGTTACATTATGTATAGTGATTACCTAATAAAATGTAAATATATGCAGATTGATCTTTGAATAGATTTGGTGTTTATCAGCTACTGTATTGTGTGTAGTGTAGAGGTTCCCCAACGGGTGGTGGTTGGGTATCATGCTTATTTATACAAAGACACGAGGTTTACCGATTGTCTGTTACTATTTCTCTACAAATGTCTGTTAGACATGAATGTTCCCACCGCCATGTTTCAGCTCGTGTTCTATAAATAGTTAAAACGACACCCTGAAATATGTACGCAATTAAGGTATTATTATACTTCAAGTTGATAAAGGGAGAAATACAGGGACAATATGTCTATGAATAGCAAAATGCATTAGCCTATGATATATGAACTCATTCGAAGTATTCTTTATAAAAGAATAGATACCGTAAATCATCAAAATCTGTCAACAATGAAGTAGCTAGAGTGATGACACTGAATCATTTGATGACTTTCTATATGTATAGAAACAAGAACCTTGGTCTTGCCTTTCGAAACCTGAAACATAGGGATGTCAGAGATGTTCTCATAGTTTAAAGTGTTGTCAAAATCAGTAAAATTATGAAATTGCTAGTGAGTTGGTAATGAATTGCGAAGTGACGGGACGAGACGGGAAGGGTGGGACGGACATCATATTTTTCAAATCCAGGCAGATGTATCCAATGAAGCGTGAGTGAGAAACCCTAGAGTGGTTGTTGGAGAAATGGTCTTCTGAAAGGTGAATATTTCAGGTAATACATCCCCAAAATATTCTGAATAAAAACTATACGAACGAGAGATATAATTAACGGGACTTTGAAGTGTTAACAGCTCTTTTAAAAGCAAATAGCATCCTAAGTGTAGGAAAAATAGCAAAATACCAATGACAAAATTGGAATGTATGGTTGAGACGAAAATTACAACAGGCTATGAGGAAATACCGCAAATCATGAATAATGAATCCCCACCCCCCACCCCCACCCCCGTGCCCAGCCCTTCAAATTCTTCGAGAAGGAAAACCTTTGTTGACACCTGTAAACACTCATCCTGTAAAATCCAGGCCTAAGTTACAGTGAACAATATTTAATTTTGTCAGCCGCTATTGATAAGAAACTTCCTGGTATCTCGACGACAATAAACCTTATTCGATCACGACTTTGTATATATATATAGCTGATCTACCTGTCTCTTCAATATCGACCAGGTAAACATTAACAAAATGTACATATTTGTAAATAGGAATCTTTACTTCCTGGTTGTGTTTCATTATGGAAAGCTAATAATAGACATTACCTCAGCATGAAATCAGTTTCCATAAACGACAATGCAGTCATAAATGGACCTAAAATACGTATGTCCTCATATATATTGCTGGGTAGGTTTCCATTTACTGCCAAATAATAAATATAATGAATAAGTATTTCAAAGATAGGTAGTAGGGCTTGCATAAACAACCTATATTTATAATATTTGCCCTGCTAATATCCAGTATGAATATCATGATTATTTCAAGGTTCGTGAGCTAGTTGAAACGAACCAAGAGTTTGTATGAATGTTTTAAGTAAAGACATTTAAAATCAAGTGCGACATCGTTTTAATTTCTTTATCGGACAAAGCCTTGGCCTTTCACACAAGGCGTTTGACACTTTGTAGCCCTAACGCATCATGACGACTGTTAATAACATTTTCATATGATGTTAAAACTAATTTGCTTGTTTTTGGGATTAACCCATACAACGAGACAAATCAAAGATGAAAACCCCGTTTACATAGCCTGACGTTTTTGCGTTTATTCAGAGAACAGCTATGTTGTTGTTATCAATGTCATTTTAAACACATTTCAATAATTGATACGTTTCTAACGGTATTCTAGTGTTCTTTCAAGGTTGAAACTTGACTGAAGCTGCTCAAATTGTCTTAATAGTTTTTCAGTGAAAATGTTAAATAGCAAAAACTGATATATCGACGCAAATGACCAGATGTACTGTAGCTTGTGATTATTTATTCCGATAAATGTAGACCATAGATATATATCTGTTGGGGTTTTGTTCATGGATTTTGATTTTATTATGCATGTATATAGTTCATATGTCACAGAAAATGTTCAAAGCTCAATGTTAACATGGATACACAGGATCGATACGTATGGAAAAAACATTTCCTGGCACTTGTCCCAAATCCATACATAACTTATAGTGTGAACATTACTTTAACTATGTCAGCCGCTAATGACACGAAACTTCCTTGTCTATTGGTTATTCAACCGAAAATCATTATATATATATCTTCCCGTCTATTTTATGTCTAACAGGTAAACATTACCAAAACGTGTATCTTTTAAAAAGGAAATGTTACTTCCTGATTGTGCGTCATTGTGTAAAAGCTTACAATAGACTTTAGTCATAGCGTGCAATCTGTTTCCAAAAACGACAATCCAGTCTTGTATGTCGTTAGCATATATACACCCCCAGATCAGCTGTAGTTGGGTTTTTTACCCGTAGCTGTCATGAATTTAACATAATGATAGAACATCATGTGTATGGTGATCATAATGAACTTATATTGATAGTGCTTGTCCTGCTGAAATCCAGTATCAATATATTATCATGATTATTTCAAGGTTCGTGAGCTTGATAAAACAAGCCAAAAGTCTGTACGAATGTTTTTAGTACAGACATATTTAATTTGTTTATCGGACAAAATCTAAACGTTTCACACTTAACGCGTTATGGCAACTGTTAATTAAAATGTTTATATCATCTTCATTTATAATTTAATTTAAAACTGACTTCCTTTTTATGATTAACTAACAAATTACATAACTTCAAACCACGTATACTTCACGTGACGTTTTTGCAATATTTCCAAGAAGAGTTATGATGTTGTTACCTATGTCATACAATCACTTTTCAATAATATATACATTTTAATGATAAAGACGTATTGGTTGTACAATTTACAATTATCGCGAAATTATTTTTTACATGTTAGAAAGACCATGAGACAAGTTGCACAAATCGTTAAAAATATTGATACATACCGTTGATAATTTTCGGAACAAATTTTGAAAAGAACAAAACTCTATCTGAGCAAATGTTACCAGTTCTGTTGTATCTTATAACTGATCACGTAGATGTATTTAAACTACATGTATATATCTGTTTCGTTTATAGATATTCCACTTATCCTAGAGCAAACATAAGTCACAGAAAATGTACAAAGCTCAATGTTAGCAAGAAGGATACACAGCATCTTAACAGACATGTAAACAAATTAACCAGAAAGGAAACTTAATTTAATAACATACCTAGTATGTATGTCTCTCTTAAACATAGATATACATACAAGAAATATTTGTCATGTCAGATGTGATTATACATTTTGCAAAATGAGAATAAAAACAAATTGTATTGATTGTTAAAAGTTTAATAGAAATGATTATTCAAATCGTCTGTGCACAATTAAGCTCGCACATGTTAAATACCACTCTAAGTGATGGTATGCAGCTGTATATGTGTTGTTTTCATCTACGACAATCTGGTGCACTCACATGCATGTATATATACAGAAAGGTTTTAGACAGACAGATCGTGCGAACACCATCATGTGTAAACATATAGAGGCAATAGTCCCCTTTGTCAATGTCAATACATATACATTGAATTCTTATATAACTTAGAAATAATAGTACAAAAGCAATAATCACATCGATACTATAAATCACTTATACACTTATTCCTTTGGCTGGCTTGCAGCCGAATGATCGCCGAATGTATTTCTCCAAACAGTCCCTTTGATATCAATGTATATGGGAAAGAATGTAGAACTGATCCAACAACGTCTCTTAGAGGAAATTTGATTCTTATCATTCAACGTCTATGGACAAAATATGGTAATGTTCGATCAATTTATATATCAGAGATCAAGTTCCATCAATGGCTATGGGAGAGAATATGATCCAGTTCTATAGGAGTCATAGGGATAGAAATATGGTAGAAATCCAGCAACGTCTATAAGATAAGACATGGCCCACTTCCATCGTCATATCAGCATCTATGGGAAAATCCCGTGGCTAAGTCATCTATAACCACAAGTCAACGTTGTCGCTTAATACTTTGGAGGAGGAGGGTAAGCCGGGTTATCGTAGGTTGCAGGTGGTGGAGGGGGATACTGCTGCTGGGGTGGTGGGTAGCTCATCCCGGGCTGTTGTTGGTATGGTGGAGGTTGCATACCATAAGGCTGGCCGTACGGCTGACCGTGAGGAGGTGGTGGTGGCGCTGGTTGTGAATTCGAAACTGTGGCTAAAAATAGAAATAATTTATATATAATGTTATGAAACCATCAACACAATATACTCTCCTAGTCACAATCTTCGCCTAATCAGAACTCGCTGGATTCATGAACCCAAGCCCGGGTTCCAGAACCACGTGTATGTTTGCAACGAGGGTAACGCTCACACTTGTTGAACAGTATCTGTTGAAAACACAGATACAGATGTATCAACTGGACTCAAGTCATTCTTGTCATCTAGGTAATGATTCTATTTGAACTAAATAGAATATCTAGCTAAACGTCGAAAGACACCGGCCTATAAAATTCTTGTCTTTACAAAAAGCTACACTTTTTTAAAACTTTATCCTGCCACTTCAAACCCCTTTAAACACCTTACTATGCAATAGAAGAGACAGTGCTGTTCATTCGCCGTTTCACAAAAAAGGAGACGAAGTAACATAAGTACTTTGTACTTGTTTTCGAATCCTATATGCATATCATGTTTGTATCAATGGAATTATTATACACCGAATTATTATACACCGATAATAAAATAAAGTTTAGACTAAATAGAAAGTATCTAAAATTAATTCTCATTTATAGAAATGTCTTAACGGCTGAAATATTTTAAACTCCTGTAAACTATTATTACCAAACAGCAGACCTACAGCTAGCGGGCCTATCAGTTCTTGTTTACAGCATAGATTGTTAGATAATGGGGATTTAACACATTTTGTTTTATAAGATGGATGTACATAATTGTTCTACAAGAGGGGTGGTTTTAATAATTTCTTGCTTTTCAAGAGGGGTGTTATTCAAATATTTTACAAGAGTGATATACATGTACATCAATTATTTTATAAGAGGAGTTTCCATCATATCTTTTTCTATAAGGTTTGTTTTACATCATTGTTTTGCTTTACAAGATGCGTTACTATTTCATATTCTTTAAAAGGGATGTTCATCATATCTGCTTTATAAGAGGGGCTTTTCAACCATCGCTTACCAAGGCGTCCCTCAATCACTCATTCATGTGTATTCTAAATTCGTTCTAGTGTCGTAATTTCTACTTACTAACTGTCGTTCTGTTCTGTGGAATCACAACACCAGAGCGTCTGGTTGTATTCTTGGCTTTACAACAGATGATAATTACAACTGCACATATTGCCAGGATGATGATGCCCCCAATGACACCGCCAACAATAGATCCATAGCTTACGCTGAAATGAGATGATGCACAATACAAACAGATTAACTTATAATGTATATATATATGTTTCATATGCTTTTTCTTGAAATAGTTTTTTTCATGGTTTGTTTGTTTGTTAGTTTAACATCCTCAAAAAAGTCAAGGTCACAAATACGAAGACGGTTGCCTAGGGAGACAGGGTATTACGCCAGAAAGACATCATTTTCAAAGGAAAACCATTAAATATCCTCTAAATAGTCTTACTATTTATATATTATAGTCAATGAGAACACAGGACAATGGTCAATCGATGTTTGTTCGTCTCATGGCGATGAAATAACAGACTGGTCAAATATTGTTTGGAAAGATTAGGTAAGAGTAGGGTTTTCTCGCGAAAACCCTTTCAGATCTGTGTTTATTTGTTAAGCATCCTCAAAACAATCAAGGTCAAGACGGGTGCCTACGGAGACTGGACTTAAGGGTAACAGTAGGTAAGTGAGGAAGTTTTGCAATAGTGGACTGTAGACCAATTATGGTTACTTCAATGTCCTCTGTGTAGAAGATACAAAATGACGGAATTATATTCTGCACGATGCCACACATATATCGCCTCTTACGACATGCAGTTTGATACAACAGAAGCCTGTTCATCAATTGATAGATATCGACTCGAAATTATTCTATTAAAACGATTGATTGATTCAAAATGAAATACACAGAGAAGTATTGGCTGCATAAATTTGTTTAGTATTACAGTTGTACATGTCCCTTTTTTTGTATAAATTTCTCTTGCTTCAGGTTGATATTGCGTCTCATTAATTGTCATGTTGCAATTAAATGGACGAATCAAATGCCAGGGGAAAACTTAGAAACAAAAAATATAAACCCAGAAAAAATATATTGAATATGATTTGACGAGCGTAATCCTAATTTATGTTTGACCAGTCTGTTATGTCATCGACATTATAAAGAAAACAATATATTGACCCCTTGTTCTGTATCCCCATTGACCACTATACATACATGCAGTAGTAAGACTACATAGCGGATATGAAATGGTTACCCATTAAAAACCATATATCTTTTACGAGTATGGCAGAATATCGGTATAGTCTGCTATATGGGAGAAATATGTATGGTATTTAACGGGAAACCAATAAATCTTCTATTTGTTACATTTTTAAAGTAACACAAACGCAAATATTGCTGCAACAGAAAATTGCGAGAAATAGTAGCGTAATATTTGACGCCAGGTTATAATTGATTTAAAAGTATTTTTGCAAAGAGTGATCCGATTTAGTTTAAACCATATTTTATTTCATTTGTTTTTTTTTTTGTCATACATAATACACATAAGTGAGTACAGGATTCAGAAGAAAAAAAAGTATTGATCCTGCCTCCTTATGTATATATGCATATAATTACCTGCTGCAGCAGTAGCGAGAGTAGTAGTACCCGCAGCAGCCATCGGCACAGTAGTAAGAGTTGTAGTAGTAGTTATTGTAATAGGAATAGTAGTAATAGCTCCCATAATAGCACAGACTTGACTGGGTGACTGAAAGAAGAATCATTAGTGCTGTAGGCAGTTATATTATTTGCAACATGAAAGGCACATAAAAACCGTTTTTTTCGAAATATCTTAGTTGGGATATGCATAAAACTGAAGCTGTCAACTCTCCTTCATTAGGAGGGAGACTCTCTCATTTTGACCCAAATTTGCCAATCTCCCACGAAACTCCCTCATTCAAGTCCAAACTCACACAAAATCAAAATCTACACCTTGTGGCCATATGATCTCCTAGTTACATCAGGATGTGTGTAATGATCATAACACGTGTGTCTCGATAAAATGAATGGGTTTTGTTTAGTTATTTTGATACATACAAAGGCAAAGATAAATTGAGCAAAGCAGTTTCACGCATTTCCTCCCTCATTCGAAATGTGGAATGTGGAGGTTCCAGAGGTTGACACCTATGGATATGAAACAACTTTACGAACAATAAAGACTTTAGAATTGATCGAGTATCGAAGTATATCAGTCAAGAGATGTAATGATTAACTTTGGATTTTGCTTCGTGTATCGCGGAGGAAAGTACAGCTGAATTATTGTGAAAACTGACTTCGTAGAATTTGCACGATTTCAATGTTAATTCCCTTAAACATTTTACAAACCGGTAAATTAATAAGTTGAGTCATTGTATATCTTGTTTTTATTTATTTATCGATTTTCTTTCTTTCTTAACCTGTTTCGTTTTCATCAATTTCAGTGTTTTATGACAAAAATATTTAACGCTAATAGTTGTTTAAGCGACTGAAAAAACCCATACCTAAAACAGACCATTTTGAGTTTGCCCGTTTGTGTTCATCTTTACATCATTTACATTGACCTCTTGATGAAGGTCAAGGTCACGGTAGGAAACGTTCTTGCCTACATATATATTTATCACTGAAGTACTGTAATTCGGTTTTTTCCGGGTACTCTGGGTTCCTCCCACTTTAAGACCCCTGTGTGCTAACATCCAGGCCAACAAGAATGTTTAATATCAGTTGTATAACTTGTTTCGTAATTATTGTTAAATAAAATAAGTAAAATTTATATATATGATTGATAACCTTATCGCTAAATCCTTATTATCCAGATGCATGGCATTTTGTTTTGGCCCTGTCTAACGGTAAGTAGAATGATAAACCGAATGTTCGACTAATAATAAACCTTAATTATTTAGTTTAATTGAAAAGTCGTTGGCAAATACAGAATGTTTTTTTTATAATTTTATGCTTAAAAACGTATCCGCGGAAGGACTGTTGTAAAAATAGAGGGACAAGCAAAAAGGAGAGGTAGAAGAAGTGGGCCAAACAAAAGTTATATAGAGTCGGGTATGATTTAAACTGTTTATACAAATAATCTGCCATGTAGCTGTCGAACGACAATGCTATAAACGAAGTATTTAACCTATTTAACACGCACGGAAACACATTGTTAAAGTGTATGAGATTAAACGAAGGCGAAATATAAACCGGTATTCGAAATATCAATACTCAAAATAGTTAGGTTTCATTTTACACTACTACATAAACTACAAGAACTATACAATGTGCATCCAACGTTGGATTATGAATTCATCCTCATGTTGATACAATGGAAGATCATATAATATAATATATATAGTATTATAAATATTACTTACAGTATTATAAATAGTAATATAATATATATAATATCATATAAGATGTCATAGTGGGCAACGTGGCCGGATGTTATCGGCTTAATGATTACATATGTGTACTATTCTTCACTACAACTAATGAACTATCCTAAATTGAAGAAAAAGTAAGAAATCAGCATGAATTAGATAAAATTAAATAATTTAGTAACCAGCCTAAAATACTCATGAATACCTCATGTACAACAAAAATAACTTATTGACTAGTTTAATAGGTTTTTTTTCGTGATATTTACCGGTTTGTTTACCGTAATCAAATCAACAACAGGGCTCACAATTTTTTTCGTGTCAATTTATATCGTTCTGATAGTATTTACGCATGCCCTGATTATGACATTTTATTAATACACTGTGTATTGAATTATAGTCCTGCCCCTTGGCAGAGCTCAATATTAAATGTGTAGATACAGGTTTTTATTACCATTTAATTTCAATTGTATGTCGAGTTTCGATGAAAACCATTAAGCTCATAAATAATTCATATAAAAGAAGCAGGACGTTGAACCGTTCAATTCAGAACCGATCTCATCTGGTTCAGTCTTTCTTACTTGACACTGATATATATAATTTCAGTCTACTCAACCGTGTGTTATAAATTCTCTATTTAAGTTTTTTTTAGTACTGATTAGCTGTGTGGAAATACATTTGAATGGCCAGTTATACTGAAGCGTCAGGTGAACAAAGATTATGTGTATCGATATTGACCTGGAACATACCAAGGTAATCGGAACATGATTCCATCTTATAATAATTATGTTATGTGTTTTATGGATATAAAGTTTCGAGAATTTTCCACATACAGTCTTAGTTTAGAGGGTGACTTTTTATCGAATTTCGAGGTACGCGTCAAATTTTTCGAGTTTTGAATCAAATAACGGATGTTCGTGGATGGCCAACTCGTAAGATCTAGTAACAGTCTGTGACGTTAACTTTTTTCCACGCTAGTCATTTGGACTAGTGAACCCAGAATTTTAATAGTCCGACTATGAATTTGCTAGTCCAAATTACAGACTGGTCTTTTTTACAGCATGAAGTGTAAATTGTGATCTAAATTGGAAAATTATTAGAAATCAAAACTGACAAAATAAATCTGTGTAACTACGAAACATTTTCTTACACTCGTTGTCAAATTCTAACCAAGTTCTGTTTTTCTTCCACTCCGCCGAAGTAACTCGGAAATGTTCACTCGAAACTCGACTGAAAGTTAATAACTAAATACAACATAGAAATATCTCCTATGTTTGTTTGACACAAGTTTTGTGGAATGGCGTATCGAAGTCACCCAATCGTATCATATTACAAACTTTTAAATACGATCAATGATATTGTTATTAAAACAAATTATATCGTAACTATAACAAATGATATCGTATACGTAATTCGACACGTTTTTGATCATAATTAAGACATACAATTGTAATTTCAACACTTTTATACCGTAATTACGACCAATTACATCATGATTACGACACTCTATAGTAATTAAGACTTATTATATCGTAATTACGATATAATTATTATATCGTAATTTCAGCGGTCTATCCCGTTATGACGACCAATTACATCATAATTACGACATTTTATAGTAATTAAGACTTATTATATCGAAATTAAGATTTACTATATCGTAATCAATACATGTTATATCGTTAATACGACAAATATAATTAACTTCGTGTTGACAATGAAATGCTTCTGTATAACATAAACCACTTCCCAAATGACTGGTATATAAAGTATCAAGCTTGGTTAATGAATTCTTTCGTCCTTTCGTATAATTAAAATGACACCTTATTAGCACTACGTGCCAGGTGAGCTAATAACGGCGTAGTTTCAAAATCGCTGAAAACGATTATTGTTAAAAAAAGCTTCATCGAAAATGTATTTCTGATTTGACGACTTTTCTAGTTCTTTTACCTGAGTTAGAATATATGTATTGCATGTACATATTTATGGTTCATTTAGAATCATGGGAAATGCGGACATACATTCCAATATAAAATAAAGATAAGAAAATAAGACTAGACATTAAACAATTTACTCTGTCATACCATACAAATTTACGAACGTGTGAAAAGCTATAAACTTACGTGAAATCAACTGGAAGAGAGTTACAAACACCAGCCACACGGTTTGGGTCGCCATTTTGTTTGTTTATGAAAGGACCAAGCAACGCGAACAGTCGTCATTTACTTGGGAGAGAGTAAGCCAAAATCCCTTTATTAAACAAACGTCACTCGGCTCATACTTTACAATAGCAAGGTATTTAATAGCCAAACTATGTGGTAGGTACATATATATATTCAGTCAATGTAAGTGTAGGTCAGGGCTTACAGCGTACACTCACTGACACACAAGTTTCGTTATAATAAAGACGGGTTAAGCTATTTCTAAACTATGTTTGAAGTGTCGATAGAAATTTGAGTGATCATTTTATATCAAATTACTTACATCTTGGTCACGGTCAACACAATCATTCTTTTACAGCCTATTTACAACGTACGCAGGCATTAAATCTTTTAAACTGTCTTCATTTCTTAAAAAAATGTAGCGGTATGCATAAAGGTTCATAAAGAGGTTTGCTCGAACAATTTTTCATTGAACATAAGATTTAAAGAGAAGCTTGATTATGCTTCGTAGAGATTTGTGTCATATACAGCAAATCTTTCACTAAATTATTTTAAGTGTGTTTTAATACCTGTAAATACATATGTAACAGGAGAGAGAGAGAGAGAGAGAGAGAGAGAGAGAAATGCAACTGCCAGACCGGAGTTCGAACCCGCTACCCTCCGAACTTAAGACGGACACTCTACAAATTGAGCTATCGCAGATGGTCGCCGACGATCGAACCAGTCCAGTTCCGCTGCATTCCTCTCTCATTGTTCCAAGTCTTCGGCCCCGAAGACATCACTATTTACAACTCATGTTCGGATATTTCCTTACAAAGCATTCATCCAGTGCTTGCAACAAGGGTTGGCAAGCTCGCTAATTTTGTAACAGCAGAAACTGAGATTGCAGTGGCCAGACCGGGGTTCGAACCCGGGCCCCTACGAACTCTAGACGGACGCTCTTACCAATTGAGCTACCTGGTCGCCGACGATCGACCCAGTCAAGTTCCGCTACATATGTATCATTATATGTTTTAAATTCATTAGAAGATAATGGACTGAGTTCCAGGTATTTATGTTTGTGAGGCATTCAATACTTCTTAATTTTATTTTAGAAATAACAATTGATGAAAATAGTTTACGACTTATTACTTTTTTTCTGAGCATCAATGGCCTTATCATTATACGATGTTAACCATAACGGTATAATCAAAACACTGTACAATCAATAAAACAATATCATATGTCTCTATAATATTCATTGCAATATTATTCGATCGCTTCTTGTTCTTGTTTGGATTGAAAACTTATATCTTGTTTTGAACAATTTCTAAGTCCCCGTTTGTCAATACATGTACATTGAATTCTTATTTAACTTAGAAATAATAGTACAAAAAGCAATAGCCACATCGTAAATGTTAATCTAAAGCACTTATAAATTGATGCCTTCGGCTGGCTTGCAGCCGAATGATTGCCGAACGTATTTTTTCCAACAGTCCCTTTGATATCAATGTCTATGGGAAAGAATGTAGTACACAGTTTATCCTTATTATTCAATGTCTATGGGAAAAATATGATAATATATATATCAGCGATCCAGTTCCATCAATGGCTATGGGAGAAAATATGATCCAGTTCTAACGGAGTCATAGTGATAGAAATATGGTAGAAATCCAGCAACGTCTATCAGAAAAGACATGGCCCACTTCCATCGGCGTCTATGGAAAAGGGTATGTTCAAGTTCCACCAAAGTCTTCAAGAGATCGAATATGAAACAGTCATATCAGCATCTATGGGAAAATCACGTGGTTAAGTCATCTATATCCACAAGTCAACGTTGTCGCTTAATACTTTGGAGGAGGAGGGTACGCCGGGTTATCGTAGGTTGCAGGTGGTGGAGGGGGATACTGCTGCTGGGGTTGTGGGTAGCTCATCCCGGGCTGTTGTTGGTATGGTGGAGGTTGCATACCATAAGGCTGGCCGTACGGCTGACCGTGAGGAGGAGGTGGTGGTGGCGCTGTTTGTGAATTCGAAACTGTGGCTAAAAATAGAAATAATTTGATGAATAATGTTATGAAACCATCAACACAATATAGTCTCCTCCACATTACGGCTTTGCCGCATTTACTTGTTTATTACCAAGCTTTTAGTATACAATCTTCGTCTAATCAAAACTCGCTGGGTTCATGAACCCAAGCCCGAACTCCAGAATCACGTGTATGTTTGCAATGAGGGTAACGCTCACACTTGTTTGAAAATATCTTTTGAAAACACAGACGCATCTACTGGACTCAATTCAGTCTTGTCATCTAGGTAATGATTCGAGCTGAATTAAATAGAATATCTAGCTAAACGTAGAAGGACAACGGCCTGTATATTTCTTATCTTGACAAAAAGCTACTCATTCTTTTATATCTTAATCCTGCCACTTCAAACCTATTTAAACATCTTACCATGCAATAGAATAGACAGTGCCGTCCAATCGCCGTTTCACAAAAAAGAGACGGNAGAGAGAGAGAGAGAGAGAGAGAGAGAGAGAGAGAGAGAGAGAGAGAGAAATGCAACTGCCAGACCGGAGTTCGAACCCGCTACCCTCCGAACTTAAGACGGACACTCTACAAATTGAGCTATCGCAGATGGTCGCCGACGATCGAACCAGTCCAGTTCCGCTGCATTCCTCTCTCATTGTTCCAAGTCTTCGGCCCCGAAGACATCACTATTTACAACTCATGTTCGGATATTTCCTTACAAAGCATTCATCCAGTGCTTGCAACAAGGGTTGGCAAGCTCGCTAATTTTGTAACAGCAGAAACTGAGATTGCAGTGGCCAGACCGGGGTTCGAACCCGGGCCCCTACGAACTCTAGACGGACGCTCTTACCAATTGAGCTACCTGGTCGCCGACGATCGACCCAGTCAAGTTCCGCTACATATGTATCATTATATGTTTTAAATTCATTAGAAGATAATGGACTGAGTTCCAGGTATTTATGTTTGTGAGGCATTCAATACTTCTTAATTTTATTTTAGAAATAACAATTGATGAAAATAGTTTACGACTTATTACTTTTTTTCTGAGCATCAATGGCCTTATCATTATACGATGTTAACCATAACGGTATAATCAAAACACTGTACAATCAATAAAACAATATCATATGTCTCTATAATATTCATTGCAATATTATTCGATCGCTTCTTGTTCTTGTTTGGATTGAAAACTTATATCTTGTTTTGAACAATTTCTAAGGCCCTGTTTGTCAATACATGTACTTTGAATTCTTATTTAACTTAGAAATAATAGTACAAAAAGCAATAGCCACATCGTAAATGTTAATCTAAAGCACTTGTAAATTGATGCCTTCGGCTGGCTTGCAGCCGAATGATTGCCGAACGTATTTTTTCCAACAGTCCCTTTGATATCAATGTCTATGGTAAAGATGTAGTACACAGTTTATCCTTATTATTCAACGTCTATCGGAAAAATATGATAATGTATATATCACCGATCCAGTTCCATCAATGGCTATGGGAGAAAATATGATCCAGTTCTAACGGAGTCATAGTGATAGAAATATGGTAGAAATCCAGCAACGTCTATCAGAAAAGACATGGCCCACTTCCATCGGCGTCTATGGAAAAGGGTATGTTCAAGTTCCACCAAAGTCTTCAAGAGATCGAATATGAAACAGTCATATCAGCATCTATGGGAAAATCACGTGGTTAAGTCATCTATATCCACAAGTCAACGTTGTCGCTTAATACTTTGGAGGAGGAGGGTACGCCGGGTTATCGTAGGTTGCAGGTGGTGGAGGGGGATACTGCTGCTGGGGTTGTGGGTAGCTCATCCCGGGCTGTTGTTGGTATGGTGGAGGTTGCATACCATAAGGCTGGCCGTACGGCTGACCGTGAGGAGGAGGTGGTGGTGGCGCTGGTTGTGAATTCGAAACTGTGGCTAAAAATAGAAATAATTTGATGAATAATGTTATGAAACCATCAACACAATATAGTCTCCTCCACATTACGGCTTTGCCGCATTTACTTGTTTATTACCAAGCTTTTAGTATACAATCTTCGTCTAATCAAAACTCGCTGGGTTCATGAACCCAAGCCCGAACTCCAGAATCACGTGTATGTTTGCAATGAGGGTAACGCTCACACTTGTTTGAAAATATCTTTTGAAAACACAGACGCATCTACTGGACTCAATTCAGTCTTGTCATCTAGGTAATGATTCGAGCTGAATTAAATAGAATATCTAGCTAAACGTAGAAGGACAACGGCCTGTATATTTCTTATCTTGACAAAAAGCTACTCATTCTTTTATATCTTAATCCTGCCACTTCAAACCTATTTAAACATCTTACCATGCAATAGAATAGACAGTGCCGTCCAATCGCCGTTTCACAAAAAAGAGACGGATTAACATAAGTACTTTGTAATCGTTTTCGAATCCTATATGTATATCATGTTTGTATTATTGGATTATTATACCGATAATAAAATAAAGTTTAAACTAAATAGAAAGTATCTAAACTTAATTCTCATTTATAAAAATATCTTAACGGCTGAAATATTTTAAACTCCTGTTAACTTTTGTTACCAAACAGCAGACCTTCAGCTACACCATTTACAGCATTGATTGTTTGATAATAGGGATTTAACACATTTCTTTTTATATGATGGATGTACATAATTGTTCATCAAGCGGGGTGGTTTTATAAAAATTTCTTGCTTTTCAAGAGGAGTGTAATTCATATATTTTACAAGAGTGATATACAAGGACATCAATTATTTTATAAGAGGAGTTCCTTTGATATCTTGTTCTATAAGGTTGTTTTATATATATATATTGCTTTACAAGATGGGTATTCACTATTTCATGTTCTTTTAAAGGGATGTACATCATTTCTACTTTATAAGAGGGGTTTTTCAACCATCGCTTACCAAGGCGTCCCTCAATCACTCATTCATGTGTATTCTAAATTCGTTCTAGTGTCGTAATTTCTACTTACTAACTGTCATACTGTTCTGTGGAATCACTACACCAGTGCGTCTGGGTCTCATCTTGGCTTTACAACAGATGATAATTACAACTGCACATATTGCCAGGATGATGATGCCCCCAATGACACCGCCAATAATAGATCCATAGCTGCCGCTGAAATGAGATGATGCACAATATAAACATATTAACTGATAATGTATATATATATATGTTTCATATGCTTTTTCTTGATTTCTTTTTCATGTTTTGTTTGTTTTAACATCTTAAAAAAGTCAGGGTCACAAATACGAAGACGGTTGCCACGGAAGACATATGATTTTCAACAGAAACCCATTAATTATCGTCTAATAGTCTTACTATGTATATATTATGGTCAATGAGAACACAGAACAAGGGTCAATTGAATTTTGTTCTTCTCATGTCGATGAAATAACAGACTTGTCAAATATTACTTGGAAAGAATTTCAAAACAATAATAAGCAAACATCACTCCTGTTCGTTGTCCTCACCTGTAGTAGGTAAGAGTAGGTTTTTCTCGGGAAAACCCTTTTAGCTCTGTGTTTATTTATTAAGCATCCTCAAAACAATCAAGGTCAAGACGGGTGCCTACGGAGACTGAACTTAAAGGTAGCAGTGGGTAAGTGAGGAAGTATGAGATAGAAAATGTTTTGCAATAGTGGATTGTAGACCAATTATGGTTACTTCAATGTCCTCTGTGTAGAAGATACAGAATGACGGAATGCGATTCTGTACGATGCCACACATATATCGCCTCTTACCACATGCAGTTGGGTACATCAGAAACCTGTTTATCAGTTGATAGATATCAAAATTATTCTATCAAAACGATAGATTGATTCAAAATGAAATACACAGAGAAGTATTGGCTGCGTAAATATGTTTAGTATGACAGTTGTACATGTACCATTTTTTTGTACAAATTTCTCTTGCTTCAGGTTGATATTGCGTCTCATTAATTTTCATGTTGCAATTAAATGGACGAATCAAATGCCAGGGGAAAACTTAGAAACAAAAAATATAAACCCAGAAAAAATATATTGAATATGATTTGATAATCGTTATCCTCGTTTATGTTTGACCAGTCTGTTATGCCATCGACATGATAAGAAAAACAATTTACTGATCCCTTGTTCTGTATCCCCATTGACCACTATATGTACATGCAGTAATAAGACTACATAGTGGATATGAAATGGTTACCCATTAAAAACCATATATCTTTTACGAGTATGGCAGAATATCGGTATAGTCTGCTATATGGGAGAAATATGTATGGTATTTAACGGGAAACCAATATCTTCTATTTGTTACATTTTTAAAGTAACACAAACGCAAATATTGCTGCAACAGAAAATTGCGAGAAATAGTAGCGTAATATTTGACGCCATGTTATAATGATGTCACGCTTGACAACAAGGCAGAGCGCCAGTTTGAATGGTTCACTCAACACAATACTGCCGTTAGCTGTTATTATCTGGTGAGATTTTCCACAAAAATAATACATAATTGTGTTGTTATATAGATACAATAATACGATGGCCGATAGCAGCCGACACAAAACAACTACAATATAAGACATTTGTGTACATGTACACTTTTTAAAAACTGTACATGTACACAATACAACTACAAGTGCTATTAACATTCCTTAACGGTTCGGATCAACTTGATATTTCACACGTGCCTGATGCGGCTGTGAATTTAAAGACCAAACGACAAAGAAAGGGAATATGTTCATAAATCAGCGAAGAGGCGATAGAGGTCACCACACAGTGTTGCTACGTAGACTGTACACAATATTTCACTAGTTGATGCTTGAAGGCGACTTAATCTCATCACCTGAAAATGGATATACTAGAAAAGTTTGACATTAGTAATTATCAACTGTTTAATTTTCTTAATCTTTTCTTTGTATGTTGATATTTCTTATGTCCTATTTTTAATTTGAAAGAAATGTAACAGACATAAGCCATCGTTCTACGCATATCTATGTGGGCTTTACCTAATGTATGGATTGGAGGCATAAAGTAGAACGTTGCCTTGTTCAGTGTGAATAGTTGAGTGCTAAAGTCAAATATAATATAATACTTACTGTAACAAAAGTTGTATGTAGATTGTTCTGAGAGAAATAACTAGTGTTTATACCAAAGGCAATAGCCTTCAAACTTGTGAATATGTCACATGGAACACTTTAAATTACGTATTTGGGGTTATTGGGTTAATATTATAATTCTATATACAAATTAAGTAACTACATGCTTTTGTTTTGGTATACCTCTGATTTGTGACCGTCTAGTACTGTTTGACTTCTGGGGAATCTAGTAATTTCCTTGTCGTTTATAAGCCGCCGTATCAGACACGTGTGAAATATCAAGCTGATCCGAACCGTTAAGGAATGTTAATAGCACTTGTAGTTGTATTGTGTACATGTACAGTTTTTAAAAAGTGTACATGTACACAAATGTCTTATATTGTAGTTGTATTGTGTACATGTACAGTTTTTAAAAAGTGTACATGTACATAAATGTCTTATATTGTAGTTGTTTTGTGTCGGCTGCTATCGGCCATCGTACAATAAGGTATGTTGCAAAAGCGTACCAAAACAACCACGTATTCTGCCGTCGATTGATAACTTAGGCTAATAAACTAGGAGTCCCTGTAAAAAATGCAGTACCGAAACTGGATCACCAACCCATCCTTGTCTTCATTCATTGAAAATTCATTAGATTAATCATATTTAAAGAAGAATATCGATAGGTGTTCTAACTAACAAAATAAACACCCATGGTTCATGTAAGATATTTATAGAACACTCTGACGTCACCAATTTGCGTTTCCGTCTTTTCGCAATGTCAGAACCCAAACCGGATCACAGTTTGAATTTTAAAATAATTTGCGCTTCAAATGAACATTTCTTTGTAAGCATATAAACATTTTATGATAGTCTTTTTGAATTTGAATGGATACAAGTATTTCTATATTCTGAATTTATCCCTACAGTCCGAAACAAAGTGCATAGTCCTCGCACTCACCATTTTAAACAATGTAAGACAAAAAACTACATTTTGAGTTTGATGCTATTTTGACTCAATCATCTCTAGACTAAAAATGATGCTTAACTATGTATAATAAGTATACATTATTGTAATAACTTTTAACACTTTTGACACATTAATTGATTTAAAAGTTTTTTTGCAAAGAGCGATCCGCTTTAGTTTAAACCATAATTTCATTTTTTTTCTCCTAAATACATAACACACATAAGTGAGTACAGCTGTGATTCAGAAAAATTTTGTTTAAATACTTATATGAATCCTTCCTATCCTTATCTCTCTAATTTGGGTACTGATTCTGCCTCCTTATGAGTATGTATAGTTACCTGCTGCAGCAGTAGCGAGAGTAGTAGTACCCACAGCAGCCATCGGCACAGTAGTAAGAGTTGTAGTAGTAGTTGTTGTAATAGGAATAGTAGTAATAGCTCCCATAATAGCACAGACTTGACTGGGTGACTGAAAGAAGAATCATTACATAGTGCTGTAGGCAGTTATATTATTTGCAACATGAAAGGCACATAAAAACCGGAATTTTCAAAATATCTTAGTTGGGATATGCATACAACTGTAGCTGTCAACTCTCTGTCATTAGGAGGGAGACTCTCTCATTTTGACCCAAATTTGCCAATCTCCCACGAAACTCCCTCATTCAAGTCCAAACTCACACAAAATCAAAATCTACACCTTGTGGTCATAGGATCTCCTAGTTACATCAGAGTGTGTGTAATGATCATAACACGTGTGTCTCGATAAAATGAATGGGTTTTGTGTAGTTATTTTGATACATAAAAAGGCAAAGATGAATTGAGCAGCGCAGTTTCACGCACTATCTCCCTCATTGGAAATGTGGAAGGTGGAGGTTTCAGAGGTTGACACCCATGGATATGCAACAACTTTACGATCAATAATGACTTTAGAATTTACCGAGTATCGAAGTATATCAGTCAACAGATGTAATTATCGCGGAAGGAAACTACAGCTGAATTATTGTGAAAACTGACTTCGTAGAATTTGCACGAGTTCAATGTTTATATCCTTTAACATATACAAACCGGTAAATTAATAGGTATATTCATTGTTTATTTTATTTTTATTTATTCATTTATTTTCTTTTTTTCCATAACCTGTTTTATTTTCATCAATTTCTGTGTTTTATAATATTGTAATTTCAACACTTTTATACCGTAATTACGACCAATTACATCATAATTACGACACTTTATAGTAGTTAAGACTTATTATATCGTAATTAAGACATATTTATTATATCGTAATTTCAGCACTCTATACCGTTATGACGACCAATGACATCATAATTACGACACTTTATAGTAATTAAGACTTATTATATCGTAATTAAGATTTACTATATCGTAATCAATACATGTTATATCGTTAATACGACAAATATCACAAACTTCATGTTGACACTAAAACGCTTCTGTATAACACAAACCACTTCCCAAATGACTGGTATATAAAGTATTAAGCTTGGTTAATGAATTCTTTGTTGGGCCGTCAATTTTGTGATGTGAAGAAAATTACAATATATAGTTAATCGATATTTATTTTCAATACTCAATTCATTACTCAGGCGCATTGCTTACGCATACAAAATGCCATTCTTTTTTACATAAATAGAAAACCTAAAACGTATTTCATTGTTACGCAGTATTGTTTGGTAAACGCATATCACACCTGGGGCCATCAAAATTGGTCAAAATATAATTAAATTGTAAACTAACTTGATAGTGAGTCATCCTAGCAAACTACGGTCTAAAATATTACACATATAGACCTAAAGGTTCATTGGAAGCAGTCATTTAAAGATTTTCACACATTTGACTTCTTTGAAACAGTAATCGGGTTTAAATAATTCCTTTACACTGAGTTGGCTGTCCGGCGAGCTACAGGCGAAATAGCATTAACATTGGTTTATTGTTCATTAAAAAGAAGTGGTTTAAAATATTTCACGCGTTTCGACTGAAAGTATCATATCTCTGGAACTGATATTAGTCAACAGAAGGCATTTGTAGCTAATAAATTTATCAGATTTCTTTTTCAAATTTTTTTTTTTTTTCTTTTTTCTTTTTTTTTTTTTTTTTAAGACAAAACAAAATATATTTGACACCGTTCAAAAGTACATGATTGCTTAGTACATGATTCTATAAAGTTTTAAACATTTTTGTAAATTTATCAGATTTTATAGTCTTTTAACTATCATGCTACTTTGAAAAATACTTACCCAGCCCCGGGCCCGGAGCGACGAGACGACAGATATCGTCCTTTCGTATAATTAAAATGTCACCTTATTGGCACTACGTGCCAGGTGAGCTAATAACGGCGTAGTTTCAAAAGCGCTGAAAACCATTATTGTTAACAAAGCTTCATCGAAAATGTATTTCTGATTTGACGACTTTTCTACTTCATTTACCTGAGTTAGAATATATGTATTACATGTACATAGTTATGGTTCATTTAGAAACACGGGAAATGCGGACATAAATTCCAATATATAGAAAGATAAGAAAATAAGACTAGACATAAAACTAGTTACTCATGTACCATACAAATTTACGAACGTGTGAAAAGCTATAAACTTACGTGAAATCAACTGGAAGAGAGTTACAAACACCAGCCACACTGTTTGGGCCGCCATTTTGTTTGTTTATGAAAGGACCAAGCAACGCGAACTGTCGTCATTTACTCGGGAGAGTTAGCCAAAATCCTTTTATTAAACAAACGTCACTCGGCTCATACTTTACAATAGCAAGGTATCTAAAGCCGAAACTATGTGGCATGTACATATATATATTCAGTCAATGTAAGTGTAGGTTAGGGCATACAGCGTACACTCACTGACACACAAGTTTCGTTATAATAAAGACGGGTTAAGTTATTTTTAAACTATGTTTGAAAAGTCGATAGAAATTTGAGTATATTTGTGTGTAATATTTTAAGTACTATCATTTTCTATCAAGTTACATACATCTTGGTCACGGTCGACACAATCATGCTTTTACAGCTTATTTACCACGTACGGTAGGCATTAAATCTTTTAAACTGTGTTCAATCCTTAAAAAATATAGCGGTATGCATAAAGGTTCATAAAGAGGTTTGCATTTTCATTGAACATTAGATTTAACGAGAAGCTTGGTACTGCTTCGTAGAGATTTGTGTCACATATAGCAAATCTTTCAATAAATTATTTTAATGTGTTTCATTGTCTGTAATTACATATGTAACAGGAGAGAGAGAGAGATAAATGCAACTGCCAGACCGGAGTTCGAACCCGCTACCCTCCGAACTTAAGACGGACACTCTACAAATTGAGCTTCCTGCAGATGGTCGCCGACGATCGAACCAGTCCAGTTCCGCTGCATTCCTCTCTCATTTTTCCAAGTCTTCGGCCCCGAAGACATCACTTTTTACAACTCATGTTCGGATATTTCCTTACAAAGCATTCATCCAGTGCTTGCCACAAGAGTTGGCAAGCTCGCCAATTTTGTAACAGCAGAAACTGAGATTGCAGTGGCCAGACCGGGGTTCGAACCCGGGCCCCTACGAACTCTAGACGGACGCTTTTACCAATTGAGCTACCTGGTCGCCGACGATCGACCCAGTCAAGTTCCGTTACATATGAATCAGAGACGTTTCTCTTTTTACTTATTTATTGATATACATTATATATTTTAACCTTCCAAGCGTGGAAAGGGAATGTGGAGGCTTTTCGAAATTAACTCATACGATGGTCTTCATTTAAGATTCTTCAATTATTTCCTTAGAGACTCATAATTAGTGTACATATCTGTGAAATTAGAATTAGTAACGGCATCATTGAATGATGCGTTTTTTTAAATTTTAAAACTGTTTATTTTCGGTAATATTTACACGTGTACTATCTATAAAGCATTTTCTTTACTTTCTTTAACTAATTTACACCGTTAGAAATGATTGGTTACATCTTATGAAGACTTTTGATTAATACCGAGTTGAAAGACTTCATAAAATTCGCACAAATTAAACTGACGGAGACCGCGAGATATACATGTATATCCTGGCCTTGTGTCTGTCATTGGCAAATACAGACGGAATTGTTTGAACGGAATAAAAGTTACCTTTACTGCAAACGGAGCTTGTCCTGTGTGTAAACAAATTTTGTATGAGGGATATTTTAATTCAAAACAACATGAAAGTGCAGTTTATTCTGAGGAAACGCCATTGGTTCAAATTAGCAAAGGTAGGAGACGAGAGACCGAACCAAAGCGCACAGTAGTATTATTATGTTTGTCGAAGCACAGAGACTCGCCATCAAAACAGTTGCCAAGCAACTACCAGAAGCTGCAAAACATTTCAAATATTTAGTCTTGAATTATCTCCCTTTGACTTAGATGAATATTTTAATCAAAGTTCAAGTTAATACAAAACCAAAATCAAAAAATAACAAAATAATATTTATTGACAAAATTATTTTTCTCCATGTGCACAAATATAACAAAAAAAATAACAAATTGCATTATTGCAAAATGAAACCTCGACATTCATAATGTAACACGTACACGTGTACCCTATTTCGGCACGACAGTCAGAGTCTTAAATAAGGGACAGTATACGTCCCTGCTTAAATGAACGAGATTCCTGATTATTCTGTTGTATAACACCAGCAGTGTTAAAGTTAGAATATCACTGAATTTTCGTCATAATCATATACCTGACGAAAGTAATACTTTCAGATATCTAATCCACGCAAACTTCACTACCGATTGACACTTTTGTAGAAATTGCAATCATCGTAGATGTCCACGATAGTTTGGTTTCCCAAGCATTCTATACAATAATTCACCTTACATGTATTGTTTAAATTCATATAGTTGATTTGTGCGAAAAGAATGGTCTCGTCCCTCGTGATTTTTTACGCTTTTTAATTAATATTTTATTATCATTTTTTTTCTTGGACATTGATTTTCCTTTGCAATGCTCAAAAACCTAATAAAAGAAACGAGCACTTCCATATGTGATTGTTGTTATACAGCTTAAATGTATATAGAAAGGAGAAAGACATTTGTGGAGTTCCGTCGGCACCTTCCAGTGTTTACGGAAAGTGCCGACGGTTCCCGATTGATGATTAACCTAAAATCTGTATAACGAGCCCGCGTTCTAGAAGTTGGTGATGTGTGTCGTGGTGCTCCAGTAGGCAATGGGGTTAGAGACAGTAGGGCCGGATGGAGTCAGAAGTTCTTTCTAGAGATATGTGTCCTCGCCGATTCATGTAGACAAGAAACGCGGGTCGAAAGTTGAACATATTTATGCCCTCCGCGTTCCAGTAGGCTGGCCGGTGATAGTCTTTGGCGGAAGATGTTAATGAGTTTTTGGCGTTCTAGTAGACTGGTTGAGAGTGGGAAGGCGAAATGCAGGCTGGCGAGAGCTAAAGTTGATGTGTGCAAGGCGCCCTAGTACGCAGGTGGTGGATGAGATGGAGCGCTGTAGGCTGGAGGGGGCGGAAGGGCATTCTGTGGAGGATGAGCTGCCTGGCCATACGGGTATGAATGGCCATACGGTTGTGGTTGAGCATACGCCGGCTGACCATACGGCGGAGGCTGTACCTGGTTTACGGTCGCTACAAAAAATACAGAAAAGAAAGATTTATCACGTTTAAAAAAATGAAGCGGAGACACCAGATGTGTTTTATCAGACCAGAGAGTCTCTGAGGCTTGAAATCATAACAGCCCTTCCCCCATTAATATAATCCCATACTTTACTTTTGCCAAAATTATTTTTTATATCTACGAAGAATGGAATTATATGAAAATAATATATAAATGAAGAAGAAGAAAAATCAAATAGCACTGCATCAAAGACTGAGGGTGTGATCTATAAAAAGAAGCATTGTCTGTGATACAAACTTACCGACAGTCACCGTGTTGGTATTATTTGGATGGACAATTGCTCCCCGGCTCCGGTTCTTTTTTATGAGACACAAGAAGATAACCACACCGAGAAATCCGACCAACAGCATGGCTCCGAATACGTACCCGACGATTTGACCAGTATTTGTGCTAAAAAAAGCAATCATTTTCTGTCACAGCAATAATTGTTTTGTTAATTTGCTTGAGCTTTTAATTATTTATCTATTTACACGGTTATAATCAATTATGCAGATTGTGACGGTTATGAATGGTAAGATTGGACTTGATTGATGGGAAATAAAGGTCGAGCTTGCTGTCAGAATCTTAAAAAAACAATGTATTTTTTCTGAGCATGGCTACTTTAACCAAAGAAAACACTTCATCAATTTAACTTTACTTGAAAGGAACTTATAAATGCGGCCGCTGTTAACGTTCAACTAAGTGACATAAGGGAGAGAACTCCAACACACTATATCGCTTGTCACTCTAACACATTACAAGACTTACACACACAAACAAAGTCCAGACTACTTTATCAATCAGGGTTGTTCGATAGCAAAACTCATCACAAATATATAACCATTTTCGAAACACTCGGATTTTTATTATAAAATAAACCCCACTTATTGTCACAAACAAATACTATTGAAACCGAAGTTCGACTTAATTAAATTGGAAGATTCATTTGAAACATGTTTTATTAGCACTATAATTATCACAGCATGACGTCATCACAGATTAGGGTTCACCTGCGACTTCTTCCTTGTGACTTTGAACTTTGCAGCTCAACATTAACATATTGCACCAAGTAATCTGCAGCGCCTTTATATCTAAATTGTAGTAATGGAAAACCGGTGGTAGAAATTGAGAAAAACTACTTTAACTTGAATTTGGTTTATTGACGGTGATTTTTATTTACAATGTGTATTTGGATTAATTCCATGATACCACGTGGTTCATTTAAAAAAGAATACTTACTTATCACAACAGAGTCGGTTGTAATAATATCCACAGCATCCCGTACTACAGTAATAGTGGGAGGTGAAGTACGTGTAATAGGAACCATAATAACAAATTTCCGCCTTGGTTACTGTAAATAAAACCGAGATTATATTGTAATGGTAGTCATAGTAACAAACATCTACCTTGGTTACTGAAAACAAAACGGAAAAAATAGTGAAATGGTAGTCAAATTTATAAACATTCGCCTTGATTACTGTAAATACAACGAAGATTATAGTGTAATAGTAGTCATAGTAACAAACATCTACCTTGGTTATTGAAAACAAAACGGGGATTCTAGTATGATGGTTGTTATAGTAACAAACATTCGCCTTGGTTACTGTAAATACAACGGAGAATATATTGTAATGGTAGTCATAGTAACAAACATCTACCTTGGTTACTGAAAACAAAACGGGGATTCTAGTATGATGGTTGTCATAGTAACAAACATTCGCCTTGGTTACTGTAAATACAACGGAGAATATATTGTAATGGTAGTCACAGTAACAAACGTCCGCCTTGGTTACTGTAAACAAAACGGAGATTATAGTGGTATGGTATTCATAGGTACAAACGTCCGCCTTGGTTACTGAAAACAAAACGGAAAATGTTATTGTTATGGTAGACATAGTAACAAACGTCCGCCGTGGTAACTGAAAACAACACGGAAAATGTTATTGTTATGCATGGTAGTCATAGTAACAAACGTCCGCCTTGGCTACTGTACACAAAACGGAGATTACAGTTGTATGATATTCATAGTTACAAGCATCCATATTGGTTAAAAACAGGTCAAATGATTATATTATCTCACAGGAGGTGTACCAAATATAGTCTTTTTAGCAGTTTCAACAAAATGATATTTGATGTATCTACATGTATACACGAACCCTTTAATTGGAAAGAAGAATGATTACACATGTTTCATGAAATCAAGTCAACTTGATATATCGCCATCCTCGCTTAACGTCAATTGATGAAAAATAGAATGTGGCGGTATATCGAAGTATCATTTTTGTGCGGTAAATTCATATTGAAATTAACTAAAAATTGTTCCTATTACATCTCACATTTACGGACTCCTCCGAAACTTGTTTCATTAATACAGTTGGAAATTGTTCGAGATCCCGGCACTTTCTATTTGTTTAAACGTGGCTTTTTTCTTAGTATAACTAAATAAAATACTCATTTCCTCATAATTAATAGCAGATTTGATAATGCTAGAAACCCTTACTTTTCAATGTGTTTTTAGTATTGTAATGTTTCAACTAGTTAAGGAGAAAACATAAATGTCACGCATGGATCTATAAATTCTGAGTAGATACGTGAAAAGCACAGGGGCAAGGCACAGACCAGCCCCTCACCCTCTCTGCTTATACATAAAGTGTCAATGACACTCTATGAGCATATAGGGGGTGGGGCTTGGTCTGTGCCTTGTTCGTGTGGTGAAAAGTACAATGAATTAGTAAATACTGCTAAAATCAGTTTATGACACCGACTGCTAGCAATGTATAAAAAGATTTGCCTGAATAGATTTATGTCGTGTGTCAAGGCAAATTTAACATTCAAATACAAATTGATTATGTTTTATATAGCATCCAAGCGTGTGTATGATGTGATATATGAAATGATTTCTTTACTTTTATTTCGCCTTCAAATATCATCATAACAGACTGTAACCTAATATAAACAGTGGTACAATGTTTATTTTAGAGGTTCAGGTAGAGCCGACTTACAAATACAAGGGTTTTCAGCTTTTACCTTGCTTTAACATACACATGTACATACAGATTCGGATACGATTTACATTTCCATACCCCGATAAAATAGCATCAATGTTGAAAGATTTGTCTTTATCAGCTATCTTTTTTGTGTATGAACATCACAGCTATATATACCCGTAGCAAATTGACAACCTAACATTGTCCACACTGTTGGAATTACTTCTTTGCCCCACACAGCTATATACATATATATATATATATATTAGATGCTGTTTTTAAGAAAAGTGTCGTACTTATTACGCTGCAAAGTCAAAATTTGCTTATAATTCTCCAGTATAAATCTTAATGTCAACATAAAATTCTATAACAATAAAGGAAGACGATGATTTTTAAAAATATTATACTAAAGAGTACGTTATACATTTATATAAATATATACGGTACATGTATTACATATGTATTTACACATGAACATGTGCCCTCGGGAACTGGTTGAATGATTCAATTTCTTATTACAGGAACACTTTATATGTACAGGCATATATACATAATATTCAGTAACACATATATAGATGGCAATTCTCCGTATTTATAAAATGTATGAATTGACCCTTTGAAACCCCTTTCAGACACATATAGAGATGGCAATTCTCCGTATTTATAATATGTATAAATTGACCTTTTGAAACCCCTTACAGACACATATATAGATGGCAATTCTCCGTATTTATAATATGTATGAATTGACCCTTTGAAACCCCTTACAGACACATATAGAGATGGCAATTCTCCGTATTTATAATATGTATAAATTGACCTTTTGAAACCATTTACCCCTTGCTTTGTAAATATAGAAGAATCTGGGATAATTTAAGAAAAACTCACCAGTAATAAGTTTGAAGAGAACAGTCGCCAGAAAGCAATATGTTCGAGACGCCATCTTGTTTGTTTGGACAATGTCCAAACAACGCTAATGACCACACTCGTGCGTTAAATTAGGTCGAGCTAGATTTAAATGGCTCTACCTGTATTTTAATGTGTGTCCGTGCATGTGGCCGTAATTCCACAATGTACATATCCTAAAGTGGACATCTACCTCGTGGCTCGTATACCTGGCTCGGACAACAATAGGTAGACGGTTTTATCCCAATATAAGCTGATTATCCGAACACGATCTGTCCAATATGTTTTTAAGTTCGATGATCTGTTAACTGTTTTCTCTTGAAACTAGTCCAGAAAATATAAAGAACTGTTAAAAATAATGGGGCTTATTTATTTAGAATTTCAGAGAAATTTCAGTGATCAGTTGAAGTTGACGGTATCTATACAAAATCAATCGTCATTTTAAAAACGTTTTCAAAGTATTTAATTAGAATGACCATAGCCATGTAAACCATTATAATAATGGAATAATGAATATATTTAAGGTATCTTATACTACAGTAACGAGGTTCTGCAGAGTGATTGTATTAGTGAATCATTCCCATTTTTTAATGAATAAATTATGAACATTTAAGACCACAAAAACAGAATTTTACAAAAAAAATCATTTTAAAAAAGTAACCGACATCGCAAATTAAACCTGTATTAAAATGTCGCCTATGTTTGAAAAAGACAAATAAAATAAATTGTTGGTACTACGAATTCATCTTTAAATCATACAAACAACATTTTAAAAATGTATATAAATTACAATATCAACCCTTCGAGCATCAAGCCCTACGTACTCCCATCCTCGAGGATAATGCTAAATAACTCGTGCAGAATTATCACTCTATATAAACATTTCTTATCTTTATATATTTTCCAACGGAACTAAAAGAAACTTTATCGAATTGATTATAATCTTCTTCTTTGACATGAATTATAATAAATGATTTATTTCCCCTGGTAAGAGTGAGATATGGAGGTTTATTTCCCCAGAAAATCACAATTCCTCTGGGCTTCAAACTTCAATAAGATGAACAGGTTCTTCTAGACAGGGCCATTTTACAAGTAGAAATCTGATACTGTAACTGTTTGTATTATATCGATATGAACCGCCTTGACATTTTTGAAAAGAAATATTCCAAGACGTAAGTTCGATCATCCACTGATAGTCTTTAGTGATAGCCCCAACTATCAGACAGTATTAAAACGTAACCCGTAAAGACAATATAAACACGGTAGTTTAGTGGTGTGACGCCGGGGTCGTGACCGAATGGTTGCGGATTCGAGTCACGTCACGGCACTGTGTTGTATCTTTGAGTAAGATACTTTACTCCGCTTGTTCCAGTCTACTCAGCTGTAAATGAGTACGTGGTTGGGCAGTGCTAGAATTGTTGAATGCTAGCTGTGAGCGCCTAAATGGTAGCTGCGGCTGTATGCTCCCCAGGGAGTTGAGAAAGATATTGGCTGGTTGCAAAGGCCCTAAAACCACGGATAATAATTTGTGAACCGCTTTGAGACGACCAACGAACTAGGTTGTGATAAAGCGGTATATAAGAACCTCGAATTATTATTAATTATTATTATTATAATGTAATAATTTAAATATAAACAAAGAAAAGAACATACTCTAAAGTTGAACACATAAAGCTCGTATATCTAGTATTTTTCTCATACACCAGCATGTAGATGTTGATATGAAAATGAAAATGCATTTCATTTTATATTTGAATGCCCACTCTATAACAACATTAGAATGCATTTAGTAATAGAAATTTCTCAATTTGGTATAACTGATAATCATGATCATTTTAATCTAAAAACTCTAATAAATGGGTGCTTAATGTGGAGTACTGATATCAACATATCCATTTTATAAAGTATATCTGACTATATTTGTCAAACTAATAGACTTGATATGTAGTCTCACTCACAGCTAAACCTTACATTGAAAGTGATGCTATTATGTATAGTGTCATGATCACTCTGCTAATAAGTATTGAAACTGGTGTATATACATTTTGTATATCTATCATCTAACAACATCTCTGGTATTCGGCTTGACTGGATGGAATTTATGAATGTACTATTCTATAACCTGTTCTAACTATTTCATAGTTACATGAATATTCTAAAGTGCTTTGTTAGATAAATTTTAAAGGATCAACTCCAATAATAGATAGTAATAACTACATTTTCCTACATGAATCCATATCATATTCTGAAATTTTACAAAATGTTTATTTCTTGGTAACTTATCCTATATATCCAGTGGCTGGATATAGCCAATGTGTTTATACACAGGGACTTTTGGGCCTGTGTCCCTTGGATTATACATGATTTATTTAATTGTTAATATCCAAAACATAAACAGAAAATGATTGAATAAAAGTTGAAAAATATTCATTTCACAAGCTAAATTGGAGTTATCTCCCCTGCACTTTTTAATTGGATTGTTATGACAGAATATATGCAGACTTAAAAAGGCCTAGCTGATGTCCAATCCAATTGCCATATATAAAGTCAATAAATCTGTTGAAACTGAGACGACCTACGAACTAGGTTGTGATAAAGCGGTATATAAGAACCTCGAATTGTTATTAATTATTATTATTATAATGTAATAATTTAAATATAAACAAAGAAAAGAATATACTGGTGTTTTTTTTTAATAAATCTTATCTTATTTTCGCAAAATTATCTACTCTAAAGTTGAACACATATAGCTCGTATATCTAGTATTTTTCTGTTCCACACTCGGCCACCAATAGTGGACAAATGGACAGGTGAGCGCTAGTATCATTATACAATGTGAAACTTATATTAGATGATATATTTTGAAGTGTGACGTTTGCTAATGAAGTTAAGTCACTAAAATTCCTTCTGTTCTAATATTTATACCAATGAGGTAGTGTAAATAGCAAATAAAAGACGATTGACCACTGCCGCCGAACTAGCTGCATTAAAGAATGTTGTATTATATAGGATCTTACATGAGTTTCCATTTCATATGAGATCTATGAAATGAGTAAGATTTTTTTCAATTTAGCGAGCCTAAATATATCATATTCAGCCAAATCATCACATAAATAAGATTTGTGGCATTTATTCGTGTAAAAAGACAATTTCATGCAACCTTGTGGAAATGAACAAGCCATCATTTTGACTCCAGTGCGTAAGTCTGTGACGTCATGTACTTGTCCTAGGCGTGACGTACTAATTGAAACTTACAGAAAAAAAACAAGCACATGGCTGATAGGTCATATTACATGGGTAAATACGCAAAACAAAATTTGACATGGGTATATTCATAGAATAACACAGTACATTATGTGAAAATGTACTGTGCATCTGTACATGTCATCATTGTGTCTTAGACGTCACTTGGTACGATTTCCTGAGCATGCGAATAATTCAGCGGCGGGCAGGTTATAAGCTACAATTCTGTAGGTCTAATCGTTTCTTTTTAAATAAGACAAACATATACAGTACATGCATGTCGTCATGGTTATCTTGGTGGTCAACACTCGCTAGGTCCTGAGTACTGCATGGTGCACATTTGCCATTTCGTCAGTGTCAACACATTGTATGCTGACGTTTTTTTCTTTTTTCCCCCATATATATGTACATGTAGACTCCTGCCACAACGACTACTGTCTTCTATCTGGTGAATATGACGACAATTTGCCGCAGACGGTGTGGACCCTTGCATTGTCTTCCTTAATAATGATTTCTGCTGTCACAGTAAAATTGAAGCAGCTTGTAACCACGTGTCCTTAATATTGTCTTCTATCGCCATGGAAAATATGTTTCTCTTGTATGGAACAGGAACTAATCTTTGTTTCTCTGAGATTTATTATGTTTCACGAGGGCTTTGGTCGCCCTATCACAATGACAATAAAACACCAATATATCGTAAAAGAAAATAATGCAATATTGAAATTGGTCAGGCTTACGCGCCATTTTTGTGATCTGCTTCAGTCACCCGGAACTCAGATGTGATGTCTCTTACGTGTTTAGAGAGAACCCGAATGAGGGAAAAATCGAGCGCGTAATACCAACACGAAGTAATATTTCTCCGAAATGAGATATAACAAATCCAATCAGATAAGCTGTTATATATGAGGTATAATGATATTGATTGTGACTACGTAGACTCTTCCCGTTCTTTGTCTTCGTGTAGACAATACGGTGGTGGGTCGTAACTAGGAATGCTCTCGTCATCCTCTTGTATAGGGGGGTAGTAGTCATTGGAGTGAGGATGTCCCGCGGACGGCGATACTTCGCTCTCTGTTCTTGACACACCTGTTACAATGTAAGTAAAGTACATTTTATCTTTATTTGATGACATCATGCATGTTATACGACGAGGAAGGTCAAATACAAAACAATCGGGAACCTTCGGCACTTTCGTTTTTTTTCTCTCATTTACGGAAAGTGCCGACGGTTCCCGATTGACCTACAATAGTTAATTACATTGGTATACACGTATCAAATGTATCAAGTTACATTTTCAAGACACCCCTGATAACCCTTAACTGCCTCATCCGAGTTATCATTTAATTAAAAATTAGCTAGTTCTACTCCACATTTAATTAAGGGTTTTTTCATACATGCCCCTCTGTTTCAACAGTACTTTACAGGGGCGGATCCAGGATTTTTACTGGGGTGTCACCATTCCAGATTTACAGTTATTTTGCTACGTATTAGACAAATAGGATTTCTAATGTTTGGGTCCCTAGCATCACGGATGAGTCCTAGAAGACCGAAACAGCTGTATGATACAGTGTGATTCATTTCCGGTTTACTGTTTCTCTTACCAAATTTTACGTTCATCTTTAAAACATCAGTGTTCGAAGGTCAACGCGTTGAATAAACTTACATTCTAAACTGCTCTCGAACTCGGACGGGAGGGTGATCCGTCGTATTGTAGTTTTCGTAGATTTATAACAACAGCATATGATGATAACAGAGATTGATATCATCAATGTAGTCCCACATATTATTATACCGACAACAGTCGCAGTTATACTGAAAAAGACACAAACATTTATATACATAATTAATAAATATGACTCTGTCGACTTATATAACTTACGGTTTATCACATAATCATAATTAGTGACAGCCCCCACTTTGTTCGCCGGTATAGGGTGATTAGACTGTTGTAAACTGAGATTGAGTTAAATTGATATTTGCTAAAATATAATCGCGATTTATCTATCCAAATCTTAACAAAAGTTGTTGGTATATCTCCGTTCTAATTTCCATTTGTTCACAAACGTATTTTTTGGTCGCGGATGCTGAATATAGATACGTTGTTTGCCATGAAACGGACGCGTCAGTGACGTCATTACAAGCCATATCACCCCTGTGATGTGGCATTCGCTAAAGTATCATTCCTTTGAAACAGAGAAGATATCGTCAGTTTTTTTATTAATTAATTCATACTTTCTTTAATCGGAATTCTCCCGGGGTAGTTAGTGCCTCGCGAAGTAATATTTAATAATTGTATACATGTATATGTTTTGTTGACAGTTATGGTTCCGCCCACTTCTCCATCAACATGTAAATGTACATTGCATACTGTCCCAGGGAATCTCAAAATAGTAATATATTTTTTACTATGATTGACAAACACTTTCCTGATCATCGATTGATGAGCACATGAGAGATATATTACGCCCTCACACCAAACCCCTATCCCCTTTTCCACTGTTATACACCACCACATCACAAAATTCTTTGATGTCCTTAAATGGACAATAGTAAATAATAAATATGCACCCATCCCACTGTGAATAGCTGCCGTTAACATTCATGAATTATTATGGTATAGTTCAGTGCCGGATCCAGAGAACTGTTCATGAAGCCCCCCAAAAAAACCTCTGTACCGCCACTGTAGTTCCTTCTCATTGTAATTGTAGTAACCACCGTTATACGTCATAGCTTTGTCTCCCCTGCGCCTTAGTAATTTCTCTGTCAGCCTGTAACAGCAATCTCTAACAAGAGTTGTCGCTCCTTAGGGTGTCAGACGTTTCGCCCCAAACCAGTTCGCCCCAAATTTGATTCATATCGCCCCAACCATTTCGCCCCCCCAAAAAACATAACGCCCCAAATAGTTCGCCCCAAAAACATAACACCCCAAATAGTTTCGCCCCAAAACATATAACGCCTCCTTCCTAAAAAAAGGAGCTTGCTTATTTTCCCATTATTATGTGATTCTTAAGTAAAAAAAAATTGACACGATTGTTCTAATACATATTATAATCAATTTTATGTTGGATGAACTTGAGAACTTTTTTGTTGTTGGTATTGATGCTAAGCGTCTAAGAAAGGCTAATGTCACTCGTGTACAGTGATTTTGTTTACAAACAGAAACTAATTAAAGTAGGCTTAAACGTTTGGAATTACATATCCTTATTCCAATCCCTGCTAATTAGGAACTTGAAACAAATACAAATAATTGCGGAAAAAAACCCATCTATACAAGTTGAAATATTGACAGGTTACCGAGAAAAATTAAGTACATGTATATATTATATACATAATGAAGCGTACTTACGAGGCACAGCACGATCTGTCCTGTAGTGTTCCACAGCAATCTGTCGTACAGAATATTGTTCCCTCCAATTTATTACTGGCCTGGTCTGTATAGCTGTAGAAGCAGTACTCCTCTGATCGTACCTCTGCTCAAAGTAATAAGATAATCAGTATAGATACAGTACTGCTCTGATCGTACCTCTGCTCAAAGTAATAAGATAATCAGTATACATACAGTACTGCTCTGATCGTAACTCTGCTCAAAGTAACAAGATAATCAGTATAGAAACAGTACTGCTCTGATCGTACCTCTGCTCAAAGTAATACGATAATCAGTATAGAAACAGTACTGCTCTGATCGTACCTCTGCTCAAAGTTATACGATAATCAGTATAGATACATTACTGTTCGGATCGTACCTCTGCTCAAAGTAATACGATAATCAGTATAGAAACAGTACTGCTCTAATCGTACCTCTGCTCAAAGTAATAAGATAATCAGTATAGATACAGTACTGCTCGGATCGTACCTCTGCTGAAAGTAATAAAATAATCAGTATAAATACAGTACTGCTATGATCGTACCGCTGCTCAAAGTAATAAGATAATCAGTATAAAAACAGTACTACTCTGATCGTAACTCTTCTCAAAGTAACAAGATAATCAGTATAGAAACAGTACTGCTCTGATCGTACCTCTGCTCAAAGTAACACAATAATCAGTATAGATACATTACTGCTCAGATCGTTCCTCCGCTCAAAGTATTACGATAATCAGTATAGATACAGTACTGCTCTGATCGTACCTCTGCTCAAAGTAATAAGATAATATGTAAATATGCAGTACAATTTAAAGTATGCTACAACAAAGGTGCAATACCAATCATCCAAGTGTAAGATGCAGTGTAATAAGATAGGGATTGAACTGTATTTTTTTCAATTTCATGCTAGTATGAACACAAATCGGTTACATACATATTCCATGAAGCCCGTTCGTGGTAAATATGTATGTATTTCTACACGTACGTGTGGCAATACTTACCAAAATATGATTTATTATTATCGCAAATTGTGTCTCGATCAAAAATAATTGCATTATAAATTCGTCTGTTTTGCGGTTGGGCACTACAACCCGGGCGTCTGTATACTTTAGATTGTCGTCGCCATTGACCCATACTAGGTCTCGATTGTGTAAGATTTGTCAGCTTCATATCACATTAAATATTAAATGTAGCCCTCTGTATTTCTTATTGTAATTCCTTTATTCATTCATCGTGTCGATGACAAACTTAACAAATAATTAGAGTATGCAAATTGCCGAGTTATTTTTAGTGGAGACTTGTACATTTTTGTTATACATTTTTCTAATACGCATGGATATGTCCGTGGTTTTGGATGTCTCGAAAAAATCTCCTTAAATGTCAAAACACGTACTCGTAAGTTTACTATCAGAACTATGTATTTACAAATGTATCATATTTAGACAAATAATATAACACTCAACTGACAGCGTTTGAAGCACACGTACCTGAGAGGAGCAGATAGCCGGTCATAGCCAGAAACAACATCGCCATGTTGGAACTTCCTGTTTTTGAAAAAAATGGGGCCCTACAACTGGGATCGATTATTATAAAAAAAAAATAACTCTATTTGAAATCCACTTCGGTATGATGTTTGGAAAATTAAAATATTTTTAATATAATTTTTTACATGAAAGAATAAATCAAAGTGTAAACGTCATATTTATTTAAAATAGATTCAATAAATATTATTTTCATAATGAGGTATGAACGATAAACATTTGGATATAGTTCAAAATTGTGTTTAGGTTCCTTCTACATGTGTACATCAATGCAATACCTTGTATTTATCAGATACCTGCTTCTACCGAGGATTTCTTTGTTGTGGTTATTATCTAGACTCGTTGGGGTCTATATGACATATATACGTGCCGGGCCGTTCCAACTCATTGCGTGTCAATAGGTGTGCGTTCTAGCACGTCATCAAACGTGGAGCATGTTGGGAGATTTGTGTTGATAAACACAGTTCTTTAAAGTTACGTTAGCTTAGTGGTATATTTGGAAAATAAAAAACTCAAATAAAATATAAAAACAGATTATTAAAAATGTATCGTTAAATAAAATCACTAGAGCTCAAACTTAATAAAGTAATATAAGAGGATTTCAAATGAAAATAGAAAATCTATACTATTGATTTATTTTTTTGAAACTTTGAGTCTTTCTGAATAAGCTAATCATGTTTAACCAATTTGATTCCATTGTAAAACTTAAAATATGATTACAGATAAAAATAAACTGTTTACACGTGTTTCCGGATCTATTTTTCGATTTGGCACATTTACAACGTAGTTCTCTATAATGTATGCTTGATTTGAATGTATAATATATTCTTGATTAATAATCGATTCGATTGATTTTCTGTCAAATCTATTGAATTTAATAAATACTGCCGTGATATAACACACTGATTTAGTCATAAAGAGGTACTGTTTTAAAAATTAATCTTAAGTTGCAAGTAAGTTAAATATGTAAATATCCCTCCCTCCGGGATCCAGTACAAGGCTATTATTTGTTACGGTAACCTTGTTCAAGAACGATAGCATTTAGGTCGGAAGCAAGGATTCAGGCACCTGTGGCAGAGAACCTGAATTTCAAGCTTATAATAGGACTCAAAAGAAAAACAGTGGTTAATTTCCTGAATTTCCCGTTGAATAAGACAAATTTACGGAATTTTGTTTCCACACCCATTTGATAGGTATACACAATTATTAATAGTCTGATACTGTGGTTAAATAATAAACTCCGCTTTAGTCTGTATAAAACACACTAACGTTTGATCGTTTGTTTGTGGTTTAACGTCTTTGCAACAGCCAGATGCACATGAGGACGGGTGCCTGAAACGGATGGTAGATAGAAAAGAACGACGACAGGAAAGATAGGAAACGAAAAAAACAACCCAAACCAAACAACCAATCGGTACAGTCAGTTAAGTTTTATATAATTTATGGGTGATTGCATAAGACATTGAAAACAATACTGATAAATCAATTTGATTGACATATATATTTCTTGTCTGACCTTAGTACAAAAATATATACAAAATGTACTTGCCGGGGGGTTAAGTCAGTGATCAGTGCTGAGCTCTGACTTTAATATGTTAATAAGTTCCTTTCCTGACTACTTATTTGTACGATTTGTAATGCGGGAATTTCAATACTTTTGATACTTGTAAATATCAGGGCCCACTTGTATAAAACATCTCAACTCTTGAGATTTCCTCAAGTCTAAGATGTCCCATAGACAATACATTGCTTGAGATTTTTTTTATACAAGTGGGCCCAGTTGTTTAAAACATTAAATATCGAAATATCAGAAATCACATTTATTTTGAAAAATATAATATTTGAAGTTTTTTTCGGGAAGTAAGAGCTTAACAAAGTACTCTAAATAATTAATTCATGGTGGTTTCATAAGGTGACTCGATGCTATCGTAAAATCACCATTATCAATTAAATTGGAAACTCCTTAAAATTACATGTAATTTGTTTTAAGTTGTCTCTCTTTCGTTGTTTTTAAAAATCAATATTAGGATCAATTCATCCTCATATACAAGGGGTCTTCCCACTCTGATTCTCAATCGCATATGCAATACAAGAACATATCTTAAACGAAAGTGTCATTTCCTTCCTCCTCGTCTTCTGGCTCGTCCTTTGCCTCCACGCTAAAGAGTTCGCTTTGTTTGTAAAGTAAAGAGTAAAGATAATCAACCAATCCACTGATCTGATAGTATTCTGCTTCGGTAAGCAGTTCCCGCCATAAGTTCTCGTTGCTAGGCAAAGTTCCGTCTTTAATTCCGCCGTCTCTCAAATAATTAAGAATGTACCGGAAGTGGGCACCGTCTCTGTCAATGAAGTAACTTCCGTCAGCCTCGGTTCGGAGTTGATGACGTCCGCTAAACATGGCTGCCAACATCGAGCCAGAATCTTTTTTCAGTGTTGCCAATGAGGTCGTGTACTGGACACCACCAATGTCGAGTTTTATCCGGCCTTCTTGTATCTCATTCATCTCTGTGATTCGCTGTAAAATAATATAATCAATATAATGAAAGATACAAAAAACAGCATATAAAGTGAGAAAAGTTGAACGGTTTTCCGGTTTTCGTATGAGTATGAGGCCGTGGTTTGAATCATGTAATGCTACTGAAACAATAGGAGATGTTTAAACAAGAGGTCTAGCAGGGTTGTATCGCTCACCTATTCCTTAACTAGACAGGAAGTTACTTGTTAACGTTGACCATTGCGTTTACCTTAGATTTCTTACTGACCCTAATGTTAAAGATAACCGCAGTAGGTAATCATAATCATTTTTATTTCACATTTCGTTTAAATTGACTTGGGGAACATGAGTAAAATGTCTCTGCCAGTCAAATGGACATCTGTCAGTGATATTGGGGTGGTCATTATAGACAGATGTCTGTGATACATAAGTTGCCACTTGAGACAGGTGTTTGTTATATTGGAGTGGTCATGGCAGACAGGCGTCTGTGAACAGAGGTTGCTATAATAAACAGGTATTTCAGTTTGTGAAATAGGGGTGGTCATTATAGGTAGGTGTTTTTGATACTTTTTTGGCCTTTATAAACATGTGTCTGTGATACAGAATGGCCTTTAAAGACAGGTTTCTGTATACAAAGTGACACATGTATTACCTGTCAGAGCCTTAAGCAATTGCCGTATGCTTACCTCTAACTCCTCATTAAAACGCTTCCTTTCGATATCAAATTTCTCTCTTTCCTTTAGATAATCGGTTTTTCTTCTCTGTTCAAGCTCTTCGAGTTCTTGTAATTTTTGGTCATGTTCGGAAGCTAACTCTATTTTTTTCATATCGTAATCTTTGGCCAGTGCTTGGCATGATGCCAATTCTACGTCCAGCGTCTGTTCTTTTTCCTCAAGTCTCCGTCTTGTGTCGTCAGAGAAGTTTTCGCAATGTGTTATCTCTCTTTCCCTCTGACGAAGTTGAGCGTCTCTTTGGTCAATAAACTCCTTCGCTCTTTGAACGAAGGCACTGAAGTTCATATGCAATCCATCAATTACACTTTTTCCGATGTGATCGATTTGATCATGAATGTCAATTTCCCACGTACTTGTGACGTCATCAAATATGTCCTGTTCGTAAAGTGGCCCTACAGAAGGGTCCTGACTCGGTTCGACTCCTTCGGGAGTCTGCCCCCAAATATCGTCACACCCACAAATCTCCATCGCGATTATCGGGCGAATGAAATCGGAATCAATGTCAAGGCATTTACCAATGGCTTTATCTCGACACGTAAGCGCTCTCCATTCCCCATCCGCATCCGGTTTTCCCCACAAGCGTGTCTTTTTGTCTGGCTCTACACCATACAAGGTACGTGCTTTCCATTCAACATGTCCAACTTTCTCCATTTTACTGAATTTCTCATTGTGGAAATCTTCCGGAGGAGAATTTGACAACATCAGTTTGAAAGCGTTGATGTTGTGTTCAATATCTGGTGATCTGTTATATCCATACACAACCAACTTGATTGGTTTGTGTCCGTCCGCTAGTCCGTACCACTGTATGAGCATGCGCCAAGCGTCTTCGTGTACTACGTCAACGGTATGTGCGTAGTCCCGTCTGGTGATAATTGGTCCTGGATAGGACCTCTGATGATAGTACTTCCGGTTACTCGGCACACCAAGATACCGTTTTAACTGTTCAAGCCATTCTGCTACGATAACGTACCAGAAGTCGCCCTCTTCTGCCCGTTTAAGAAATATTTGTTCCAAAATAGCCCTTTGGGTCATTAAATCGGTACTGCTTGAAACTGGAGGTGGCTGTGAGGTGGCCATTTTAGATTTCTTTTCCCCTGTGTTATTTCTGTAAACTGCCGTACCGCCCTGTGAGGAACTCCCGGCACTGTGGCTACTGCCAAGCCCGTTAGACGTACAGCTAATGGCGCTGGAACTAGCGCTCAGCTGAAGTGAAGATTCAGGCATTCCAAAATTCTGAAAATAGTAAGGGTAATTTGATATACTAACTACAAAATCATGTATCTGTACACGCTCCTACTCTCTCGGTAAACTTTGTTGCTAATGACTCACACTGGCCGTATGGCCTCCTTTGGTTTAAAACTATCTCTTTTATTTCTTGGCAAAACTACAATATCTTTAACATACATACGCAGTGGTCTATTGCATGCCCCAGGCCAGTGGGTTATAGTAATGATGCGCTGAGATCTTGGTAAACCCTGGAAATGTTATTTTTATCTAGAATACACTTAAAACTCGCATGCAGACAGCGTTCGTTAGCACAAAAACATGTTTATTTATATATTCATGCGCGTTCGTAGTCTTATCAAGTATTGCATGTTAAACAAAGATAAGAGGTACAGGGAATCTTTAGATGAGCTAAAACACATGGTGTTATGTCTGCGTCGTCTTCCTGACTGATACGTTTTCTAATTATATCACGAAATCTTAATGATATTACAGAAATATTGCAGGTAAAATAATTCGGTAATCAATATATGTTATCTTTATTTTTAAGTATGGATATTGTAAACATCATTTGCGACTGTCTACCGGAAATTGGCCTTATGCCATGTGCGTTTGTTTACAAAACAAAGAGGATGGCTGACGGTTCAGCCTAGTGTAGAGTATATATATATATATGTAACGGTAGTTTTTCATTCATACAAAGCATTGTCATCTTTTGACGGGTTAACATTTATTTCGCATTTGTTAATTTTTATAGGTAAATAAGAAATATAATTAGAATATATATATATACGAAAACAAATGTTTTAGTTCAGAGAACAATAATCGTACACTGAATTAATACGATGATTTGAACATAAAGGTACATTAATGTACATGTATATATTACATAAAGTATACTGTTCAAGCTGAGAATACTTTTTTTTGCGTCAGAGAGTGCGCAAAACACGTCTGTGTTATGATTCAAGAATAATATCTACAAGTAGTATATGTGTCATTGACCAATCATTAATAGCATTCAACCTAGGTGCCAGCATAATAATATGATGTAATTCTGTCAAGAGATCTCATTGCTAGGGTGCACAAAGTTTAACATAGCGAGATTTTCTTTTATAAAGAATGAATTTCGATAGAGAGAGAAAGAGAAATAAATGTGTTCATAATGTTTAAGAATAATCGTTAAGTTATTTTCCCAAACATTGTTCCAGAGGTACGTCAAGAGGTCGGAAGGTCTTTTGAGTCATATATTTAGGAGCCAAAGAAAGTTATGTAGTGCCCAAACAACTGGTCGGAATTCCGTCTGACATTTGCCAGAAAGCGATGTGGTTTTGAGAGGGCACCTCTTCAAATTACCCACACCCTCAATATTTAAATCAATTAGGTAATGGAAAGCCACCCAGATAGCCAAGAATACTTTTTGGAACAAAAAAAGGATTTACATCAGAAATAACTTCTTTTTATTTCAGTAAAGTTTGTATAAATCTGCAATGCTGAGTGAAGTATACGTATCTATCAACCGATAAATGGAAATTCTATGTCTTAGATTCGATCTTTTCTCCATTCATGTGAAATTAACCTCATCAGTCCGGACAATTTTCTTGTTTGCACAATGGCACCTCGCTAGTACGGACAAGTTCGTTATATGTATATATATATTATATGTATCGTTTTGTATGAAGGTGGAACATCGCTGTTGGAACACTTGTTTGTATCTTAAGCGAAACATTGCTAGTACGGGCACGGGAACTCCTCTAGTACAGTCTGTACAGTGGAAACTCGCTTAAAGTAAGACACTTTTATGTATGAAATGTAGAAAATCGTTTGTTGAAACATTACTAATACGGACGATTTTTTTTCAATGTATAGCGGAATCTCGCTTGTAGTGTATATACATTGACAACTCTCCAGTATGGTCACTTTTGTTTGTATGTATAGTAGAACCTCGCTAGTTTGGACGCTTTTGTTTGTATGTATAGTAGAACCTCGCTAGTTTGGACGCTTTTGTTTGTATGCACGGAGGAAACTCGCCAACACTGGTTTTTGTATCTAAAGTGAAATATTACTAGTACGGACTCTTTTGTTTAAATGTATATAACGGAGCCTTGCTACTACGGACACTTTTGTTAATACAATTTTACGTACACTTTTTAAAATGTATATAGCAGACTCCTGCTAGTACAGACACTTCTGTTTAAATGTATATAACGGAGCCTTGCTAGTACGGACACTTTTGTTAGTACAATTTTACGGACACTTTTTTGAGTGTATATAGCAGACTCCTGCTAGTACAGACACTTCTGTTTAAATGTATATAACGGAGCCTTGCTACTACGGACACTTTTGTTAATACAATTTTACGTACACTTTTTAAAATGTATATAGCAGACTCCTGCTAGTACAGACACTTCTGTTTAAATGTATATAGCGGAGCCTTGCTAGTACAGACACCTCCGTATGTATGTACACCGGAACCTTGCTAGTATGGACTTTTTTGTAACAAGTAGATTTAAAAAGCAACCTCGCTAGTATTGGTGCTTTTGTTTTTATGTACCTCGTTAGTAATTACGCTTTGAAGGCATTTATGTCGCTAAGCTGACCATGCAGTTTTCTTTTGTTTGATATGTGTTTATTTATGGATAAACGTCCTAGTGTGCCGGGAAAAATAAAAATACGATACATGTTTATATAGTAACAACTGTAGTGATATCGATGTAACATGTGTATTCATATAGATATTATTATATGCCTCTACTAACTTATAACTTATCTACACACCTCCACCTGGATCAGCTGATGGATCTTATAAAGCGAACGTGCTTTCGCGTGAGTATACTTGATGCATGTGCAATCAGTGGCGGATCCAGAGACCTATCTGAGGGGGTTTCCAAATTTCCTGGGGGGTTTCCATGTGGGTAAAAAGTGAGGAAAATGGTGAAAATACATGATTTTTAAAGAAAATTCTTAGGGTGGGGGTGGGGGGGGGGGGTTCCTGAAGCCCAAAAAAACCCCCTCTGGATCCGCCACTGTGCAATGTACATGTCTCTATGTATTTATATACAAAGGATTTCCACAAAGCCACTTGCCGTTATATGTTTCCGTAACACGCCGTGTGTGTTGTTTTGCTGAAAGGCGTATAACCCTTTGTTCCTAACGTTTATTGGTATGGACATCATAACTCAGATTGCATAAAAAGTACATATACCTATACCATGAAATGCTGTGGAATTCACATATTACCAAGGTTTTTGTTTGTGAAAAAAATAATGAAAGTTATTTGTGTACGCATTGTTTCCCTATCCTCCAGCTTTTCTCTTATAACACTATTTAGTATAAGGGTTTATTATAGTATTGTGCTTAACGTATTGGTTGAAAACCTCACTTACAAAAAAAGCTAAGTTAAAACAGAAAGTGTTTTGCTCAAATTGTCATCTTACTTCTTCCAAATTGATTTTGAATATTTCGAAATTTTATTATATACAAACTTAACATTAAATCCGTGGTATTTTATCCAATATTGACTTGCAAAATAATGGAAAAGTGTAAGAAGGACTTTAATTTCGATAACCAGTCAAAATGTACCGTAATTTTACATCTGACGTAGATACAATAAGAAACCATAAGCTAACTCAAATATAATTTGTCCCTTAAAAGAATAAAAAAAAAACTAGAAAAAAACGTCGGAATTGGACACATATAAATCTTCTAATCTATCTTATGATTTGCACACGTTTGTAAACGAGCTACGCCAGAAATAACGTTTATTAACTGTAGCAGAAACCAATGTATTAATGAGGATTAATTGGTAATTAAATATCGACTTGTGTAGTATTTTAGATCGAACGTTTAATACACAAACAAACAGAAGAAACTTACCTTATTTCAGAACTAAACAAAGAGTCAGCTGATGCGCAGGTCTATGAAATATCTGAAGTTTCAGTCTTAAAATAGCATTATATATACCTGTACTATCTGTTGTTGATGCACGTGATGTAAACACACGTGCAAACCCAGTCACGTGGTTGATATAGCTAAGTTTTACCTCAAAGCTTCAATGGATGCGTTGGTATATAGTGCGTAGTAAGTCTGTGTATCGAAAGCTGACATTTCTTGGCACGGAGCCTTCGTACAGGCTCCGACCCAACACACATTACGTTATAATTTACTTTAAATAACGGATCTTGCGGCTGATGATGGGGGAAAGAGGGGGTAGGAGAGGGAGGGGCTTATCATGGGCGTGGTTTATTTTGATCGTATCTATAGGGGTGCTAAAGGGATACTGTATATCTCACATTCGTTGGAACCAAGGTATATACAGAGATAATATTGTTTGGGGCACTAGTGGGGTTTTATTAACGGAAAACGATCGTTCATGACAGGCTGAGAGATCAACCAGGAAAGAGGTCGATAACTAAGAAAGGGATATTATTATTAGAGTAATAGAAAATCAACGAAATCACGGGCAGATCTAGAGATCAAGGAAACAATGGAATGGTCGACTAGAGTGAGGCTGAAAACCGGAAGAGGAGGAGTACCAGGGGATTCCAGGAGGAAGTAGAGGGTGAGGGAGGGGAAGGGTGAAAGGGTAGAGACAGGGATTGGATATATGGTGGGTCAAGACACACACAAATCAGAGTACTGACAGACAGTGAAAAAAGGTACAGAGAACTAAATGGACATATGTAACCAGGGGATGACTAGAGAACAGTACCAAGTACAGGGCAGAGAAACAAGGCCAGGGTAGAGAGCTTGATCGAAAAGGGCAGAGAATCAGGGAATGGGTAGGGAACCAAAGATTGGACAGAGAACAGAGTAAGGGAACTAGGAAAGGATTAAAAAACAGAGAAGATGTAGGTTGGTTTGGTTTTTTTTGTTTAACGTCCTATTAACAGCCAAGGACAATCAAGGGTGTGCCTCCATGTGCTTTGTGTAAACGTGCATGTGTGTATATGTGCATGAGACACGGTATGTTGGCGCTTGCCTTTTGTTGATAGCGCGGATCTGATGCCGACTTTATTGTGCTATCTCACTAAAATACCATGCGAAGGCACCCTGTAACATTCCATAACATTCCGCCAGGTGACATTATACTGACAACGGGTGAACTAGTTGTTGGCATAACTCATAATGCTGAACATTTAGCAGGGGATAACAAAAATACCATTTTTAATGACTTTGGTATGTCCCCGCCTGGGGACAGAACCGAAGTAGCAAAGCAACAAGGAAGGGTAGAGATTCAGAGAGGGGGAGATAACCATGACAGTGGTATAGTACTGGGGAGGGGCAGTAAAAACAGAAAGGAACAGAGAGACAGAGAAAGGGCAGAACACTATGTTTTACATATGCACAGCAGCTGACCCGGAAAGGGAAGAAGGGGAAGAAAGGGAAAAGGCACATAGACAAAAAAGGTAGTACGAATGGAAACATGTTGCGACACCAAGCCAGGGACGTGGCAAGAAACAAGAAAGGGGTATAAAACTACCACGGGGCAGATAAACATGGCATATAGTGCTAAGAAACGGGCAGTTAAATAGAAAGAAGTAGAACGCAAGGAATGTGCAGGATGCAAGGCAGGGCTGACAACCAGAGAGGAGCAGACCACCGTCCTCAAATTACCCTGTCGAAAGCACGTCAAATCCCAAACAAACAAAGGGTAGACCATATCAGAAACAGATATATTTATTGAAGGTTCATATAATAGCTAGAAACGGAACGGGGCACTATGAAAGGATAGGTAGCAGAAAAATGGGTGATTTAATAAGGAGGGAAAATAAATGGATAAGTACCGAATGTCAGAGAAATTATAGAGCGCAAGTAGAGTAGATATTTGAGGAGAAAGAGTGATTTCATACATAAATCTACCAGATTACAATAACGATGTATATGTATTTGAGATAACTCTGACCGGTTATCAACTCTGCCAGTACATTAAGTCCTACGGGCAATAATCTGACACTAATGGCTAAAACAGGAGGGGAACTGTGTGGTGGGGGTGTGGGATTGGGAGCGATGACCTACCTACCGGAATGGGATATAGTCAACCCGCGGAGTTTTAGATCAAAATCAGTAGATACACACTTTTGATTTCTTTTCTGAAAACTTTTTACTAGAAGCAAACTGTTTCACCGAACACGGTAGAGCAAACAGAAACATTACCAAGTAACAGGTCAATCGTTACAATACTGAAGCTTCAACTGTTTCATTTGTCGTTTTTTCTCCGGAAATCGTCTTAATGATGTAGATGTAAAGACGAAATCTTTATCGCTGTTTATACTCCTTTTCCCAGCAAATTTCTTTTTTTCTTAAGTTTAAATTTCTGCGGAATTCTTTGCTTTCAGAACAAATAAAATGTTTTATTACCATACTGTGACTACTTAATAATAATAATAATAATATACAGCATTTAAAAAGCGCCCTATGTATCTAGCTAACCTAAGCCACTCTTAAGCGCTTTACAGTACATAGATATTCCGTCTTTGCGTATTGCAGAATTATCTTCTCTTGGGAGCAGGTATTGATTGTTACGTCATTGGTTTGTGTGAGAAAATTACGTCGTTTTCTCAAAAATTGATGACGTTACTCTCACAAACAAGTGACGTACCAATCAATACCTGCTCCCAAGTGAAGATAACTCTGCAATACGCAAAGACGGAATACAATTTTCTTTTATCAATCAATCTACAGTAATCAATACAATTCGAGGAATTCACAGGAGCTGCCTAATTATCAGGCGCTAACTTCTAGTCATACGCCACCAGGCTAATATCTCCCTATGTATGTATGCCTGCGTGTATGCTTGAGATGTATTGTGTTCTGTTTGTAGTGGGACCGTGTTTCCAATGGTATCATTTATAGTGCCACCTCACTTGCATGCAACAGCACAGATAATGCAACATCCACGCCAGACCATTTTATACTCCACCTGGGTTGTTGGAGTTGTGTGGGCAGGAGAAAAAACACTTTCTCTGAATATTCCATGCGTGCGACGACTTCCGGGATCGAACCCCGGCCGCCTGCGTGGAAGTCCAGAGTGTTAACCACTCGACTAATCCGCCCATTATGGAAAAAAATAAAACAAAAAAACACAAACAAAATTAGTTGTTTGTTTCAGTTTTGCCAAAAGTCTTGGCATTTAGTCGTTTACAGAGAACGAAGTCTAGATAGAGATTAACAACTGTCCTGACCAGTAATCTCAAACATCACCACTAGCATAAAAAAGTATCAGTCAGCACACGTGAATCGATGAAATATTTTTTCTTAAGGATCCCTGTCCCACAGTATATATTGAGTAACCTCTCCTAACTTCCGTTTCGATATACATTTGTATCTCTACAACATTTCGACCAGAATACTTTCGTTGATCAGGTAGCTCAATCGGTTAAAGCGATAGTATATTTGAACAATCTTAAGTCCAGTGTTCGAATCTCCGTCTAACCAACTGATGTTTTACAATCAGAGCACTGCTGTTGATTATATTTTGTTTATGCCATGCATCTGTATTATGTTTCATAGAAGTCCCACAAGGTATGGTTTTCTTTTCAGAAATGATTTATCAAACCCATAGTCGTGCCTGAAATAACAGTTTTCAATATTTAGTTATAAATTTTGGTAGTGGTGCGGGAATCTTTAAGCTCCTCCTTTATGAATGAAATGGCAATCTCTCTAATATTACGAATGTATGAGCTCCAAACGCTCGCCCTGTGGTGAATCTCATCTTGTTCGACGCCAAGCTTGATTAAGACTGGCTTCTTTTATTGCGGGAAACCTGCTGTCAATAACGACACATGCTACACAGTGTTATCGCTGATTGTAAAATAATTAACTTTCTTAGACCAACGCTTCCGAATTAGTAAAGAAGAAAAGAATGTTTATCATAACTGTAGCGGGACTGAACCAGATTATCAGGTCCCTGTGAACCAGGTAACCGTCGTCGACCAAGTAATTCAATTGGTTAGAAAGCCGTCTAGAGTTCGGAGGTTCTGGGTTCAAATCCCGGTCTGGACCCTTTGCATTTTCCCTCTCCTCTAAGTGTTGACGTGACGAACCCTTGTTTCAAGTAATGCCATAAGTATAATACAATGTAGCACGTGTTAGCCGCAGTGAGTGGTGAATGAAATATATGTGATATGAATAAGAATGTAAGTTTATATGATTGACTGATAATTATTTTATCTCGATAGCACCTGTCTAGATTTCATAATTACGAACATATATTAGGTCTATATAACTGATACATTGTTATGAAACCTATCTAATATTGTTCTTTTAATTTTTCATTTTAACAATGGAAGCTATGGGTACAGATGGATCCTTATTGGATTTATCTGATATCTAACGAGAGGAGGAGGGGAGGTGGGAAGTCCCGTTCAAGGCCAAACCACATCTACCCCGAATGACGGCCAAATTTGCAATGAGTGTGGTATTAAAACACAGAAGAAAAATTTCAAACGGCACATGCTGTTGCGTGTCACCAACAGAAAATGCATCAAGTGTTCGTTAGGCAGCAAAGATGAATGTGCCTTACAATAATTACACATGCATTCCCATACGGATGCACTCAACATGTGCAATCATTGCGGGAAAACGTTTCCACGTAAATCCTCAGTTGTAGAGCACATCAAATCAGTGCATGAAGAGCAGGGAAAGTCCTTTGAGTGCAGTGTTAACCTTTGTAATAAAAGGTTCAAAGATTGGTACACTTGCAGAGCCATCTCAATACGTATTCTAATCGAAAACAACACAAATGTAGATGTCTTAGGAGGTTCACTTCACATGCTGCTCTGTCGAAACACGAACAAAATTGCGATGACCTTAAAAAAACATCAATGCCAAACACGTTCAGTTCAAACACCACCCTACAAGACGATGTTGCACGTGCACATGGTGGAAAACGATTCGCGTGCGTGTGCGGAAATGTCTATAAGTGGCGTCCAAATATGTGCATGCATCAGAGGTCTTCCCCAGAGGTATTGTCGAAAAAGAAGTAAGGGCATGGAAGGGTGAATTGTCTAAACACCAATTTACCGTATTTATTCTTCAATAAGCCCAAGACACAGCAAGTTAACTCAAAATCAGGGGCGGGATTGTTACAGGACAATAGTATAATTGTGTGCTGGCATTTCTTCAGAACTATAATGGAC